ATACATACATACATACATACATACATACATACATACATACATACATACATACATACATACATACATACATACATACATACATACATACATACATACATACATACATACATACATACATACATACATACATACATACATACATACATACATACATACATACATACATACATACATACATACATACATACATACATACATACATACATACATACATACATACATACATACATACATACATACATACATACATACATACATACATACATACATACATACATACATACATACATATGTACATGCATGCATACATACGAGAGAGGGAGAGTGGGGAGAGAGAGGCTTGGGGGGATGGGGAGGATGGGAGCAGAGGGAGGGAGAGAGGACGACAGAACACACAAGGGAGACAAGGAAGAGAGGAAGAAGGAGAAAAGGGAGAGGACAATGTCGGCGGACTGAGCCGGAGGCTCTAAAGTAATCATTGTCCATCAAGTTGAAGGTTAAAGATTCTGAAACAATCATTGGGAGACCTGTTTTCCAAACCCAAATAGTCTCCGCAGTCCTGAAACTCGATTTGGCAGCGGCTTGCCGGTTTTTGAGAAACCCGTTCCATGGAAACTGGGTGAAATAAGACGGTTGGGGGCCTTTCCCCACATAAACCACCACTTGGGGTGAGGTCGTGTGAGGTCGTTATAATTCACCCAGATGGAAACAACGGAGGCGCGATTCCAAGGAAGACATCTGCCGCTGCCAGCTCCCACCTCTACTAGGTCCTCCAGTTGAGAGGTTAGAATAAGGGTACCCGATTTTTTTCTGTAGTCTATTTTAGTAGGGGAAACCCTGCCCCAAAAAAGAAACGGTAAAAGGGCACTACTGGGGGACCTAGTCTAAGATGGTTTCCACAACCAGCTGCTACCCGAGAGAGTTGGTTAAAATTTGACCCATACCCCTATACAACCACTACAAAGCCACTCGATGCCAGCAGGTACTTCAAAGCCCAGTGGCCATGGGGAAACTTCCTGATCGATCTTGCCCTTCCCAAAAAATAGGAACACAGGAAGCAACCCACGCGGCCACTACGCTGATGGAATTCTACTCGCTTGCCCAAAGGCGTAAATGGAAGGTTAACCGTTTGGGGGTCATGACTCAAAAGACCGACATAGGAAAAATATAAGGTGAACGCTTTGGACAACTGAGACTATATAGCCGCTAACACGGTGGATAGGGCAAATCCGCGCCAGGCACGGATGCACAAACTGGATAAACCGTCAATCCCCACCGGTACCGATCCGCTTGGATTTCGTCCAGTGCTCTCCCCTTTTTTTTGGCCCCGCACCAGTGGAAGACTGAGCGTGCGAAGAAGTACCCAGTCGGTAGCAGTGCCTTACGAGACTCTCACCCAGGAGGTAGCAGAACTGCTGGTTGTTTCTCGTCATCCTGTCCCCTTGAAATGCGGGGAAATTTAACTTTTGAAGGGCAGCACCCTCCAATAAAAGGAGAAATGTTCGCCGTGTTCTTGGGTTGCCGAGCAAAAACAGGGACGGACGTACACCGATGATTTTTTGGGGGGGAGGCGGGTTCCGCGATTTGGACAGAAATCCACAGTGTATGTGTGTGACCCTTGCTCTGGGCCAAGGCACATGTGGCTCGGGTGTTTCCAAAAACAGAGGCCACCATAGGTGTTCTTTTGGAAAAATGGATGGCCCTGGCAAATGGAATGAAACCAATCTCAACCAGTACCATCAATTTCTAACCAAACTAACCAAACATGGACACCGATGGTGGACGCCTTTCTCAGACGGTCAAGAGAACCAGAACTCCCATTCTCAGACTTGTTACAGTGGTTAACAATGGCCCGATGTGTGGTGGAAGCGGACAAACTAGGTCTCAAAATTGCAGACCGGACTCAATTGCCCAAATACTTGGAAATAACATATTAGCCTTTTGGGGGACCTTGACAAAAATGCGAACCAAAACTGGAAAGCCAAAAGGTCATTGCAGGCCGATTCGCTTTGGGCAACTGAGTGAAGCAGCCCTTGAGACCACGAAATCGGGCAAAAGACTGCCAAAAGATACCGCTTTGAGCCTTTGGGGCGGTTTCTTTGGTGCGGTGGCGAAAGAAGCCACAACAACTCTGGATGGACGAAATCCATTTCGCACCGCCTAAGAAACCCAGGTTCCCCAACAAATACATTTGCTTCAACCATGGTTTCAAGGCGCAAAATCCTGGCTGCCGTAGCAACAAACATGAATTTTAGCAGTTAAGTGGGGAGTTCAACCACGAAACCACAATCAGCAAAAATGAGAAATGCTGTTCAACAACAACCATGAAAACTATTTCGCAGCCATCCACGGTATGCAAGACAAGCCAACCTCCAGGTTTCGCTGGCTACAGAACCCGGAACCGCCACGCGGTCGAAATTAGATATGGCGGTGGGTCAAAACCCTGCACCCCTGGTGAACATCCAAATAGGCGGCAAATGGATGTTCCACCCCAAAATGGAGCCATAGGTTCCCCATGGCCAGATCCGGCCCTCGGACATGGGAGTAAGTCCAGGTTTCAGGTGGCGAATTACTCATTCCGGATGTCGCGTTGCTTGTTCTTTCTCGCATGGGGGGGATTTGCCAGAAGCCTGGACTTTGCTTGCAAGTACAATTTCAAGGAAGTCGGGAAGTGAGACACCAACGACTTTTCAAGCCACCAAATTCAATCCTATTTATGAAGACAATTGCTGAGCCAAAAGTAAACCCAACCCCGAAACAGCCTGCGGTTCATATTCAGAATTCAAGTCATCTTTTCGACCAGTCCCATCATTCCAGCAATGGCTGCGCCGGAGAAACCCAATCCCCTTCTCATTTTAGCAAAGGGCAAAGAACGAAGCTTCAGTTTAGGGACAGGAGGTGCAGGTTGTGACCCAAGTACACCTCATTTACGATGTGGGTGTGCCGTTCTTTGGGGAGTACCCCTTTTTGCGGTTGCTTTCAAGGGAATCCCAAAGCAAAACCATTTTGGGGGTCCCTGAAACAAAGACACGCTTACTTGGCTCGCAAACGACCTCCTGGGGTTCAAACCCCCATGAAAAGGATGGCAAGGACCCAATTTAGATGGGAAAACAATCTGAAGGTCAAAACATGGTGGCTATATAACACAGCCCAGGGGACCCACACCCTTTGACCCCCAGAAAACCCAACGGCCTGCTTGACCCCCATGCCAAACCCACGCGAACCCACGCTGGGGCTCTGGCCACCACGGGGGAGCAGTCGCCATGGCCATCCAGAAGCTGCAGCAAGGCCTTGGAAAGCCGAAGGATCCGCGGGGGGGGGGTCCAGCAGACTCCACTCCAACACATATTTCCTAGACGAACAGTTCACATGTCAATCGAATGTCGGGAGAAGCATCACGGTGCAGTATGCAAGATGCGCAATCATTGTAAGCATGCGGGCACGCAAACAGAACATGACACAAAAACTGCATGGTGGAACATTGCAGCGCATTCAAGTGCGTAACCCAGAACGCGTGCAAAAATCAAGATATATGAGGAAGAGAAGCAAGCACTTCAGTGTGAAATGTGTGCGAGGTGGGTGCTGAACGTGCAGGACGTGCGGGACGCGGCCGAGCAGCTTGCTTCACCACCGCCAGGCTGACGGTGGCTGCGCCGCCTTTTTTCGGCACCCTTCGTGCGCCCAGGGGGCTGGTTGCAAGCGAAACCAAAAGGAAAATCCGCCCATTGGGCTCTCCAGACCCTATTTTGACACGTACCAGAATCTTCATTCCAGGCCCTCTGGTGGTCATCATTTAGGTGGGGGGTTGGAACTCAATATCCAATCCCCAATTAGAGATATGCGCAGCCTAACCCTCAGGTTCCTGATACCTGACCTCAAAATATTACTCCGAAAACTCACCTCAAAGGCTGCTAAAAGGTGACGATTGGGGACGGAAGTGTTGGTCTTTCTGTGGGACACCCTTGTTGGGTTCCTACACGCATGTGATCTTGCAAGGGGAAGCTGTTTGAGGTTCCGGTGGAACGGAAGCATGTTGGCCTGCACCTCAATGCTTGCATCTGTCGAATTGGCATGGGTTCTTGCGACCTGGACTGGCTGCTGCGTGAAAAAAAAACAGCAATTGGGTGAAGCAACGCTCGCTTCTCGAGTGGGTGGCCCCAAAAAAAGTCACCAAACTGTTTGTATGCCAAATGATCTCCCCAACAAGTATCAAGTCCAGGAACTCGGGGAGTATGGTTGAAAACCCGCTGGAACTGCCAGAGAGAACCTAAACGAGTGCTTCAACTTCAGGTTGCTCCCAATCGACGTAGCATCACACAAATGATGTCGCTCCCTGAAAAGGCAGCAGACCCAAGTTGGCTATCGAATAGTTCCCGTGCCCTCAAAAAGGAATTGGCGTGCAATTCGACAGTGTGCTGGAATACCAATTGTCTGCCCTAATTCAGGCAACCCTGAGTTGGTGATTTGGATTGCTTGGAGACTTGAACCACTGGTTCTTGTAGAGGGAAAAGGGCAACCACCCAACCTCCACGCCTCCATGCCACCAACTCCAACAATGAAGTAGATACCTCACTAATGCTTCGATTCCTGCGGTCAACTTACACAAACTTCAAGAAACCGCGACTCACAGCTTGGACAGGAAAAACACATATCTTCAGATTCTGCTTCATATTACAATGATTCCAAAATGTCAAATTTGATCCCCCTGGAAAGTGGCTGGACAAAAAGCCGATGGATTGATGTCCACCATGTCGGGTCCCTAATCAAAATTCAAGCCTCGATATCTACAAACACAAAACACACCTTGGCCCACATTTTGGGTGCACAAACCAAACCATATCTTCAGAATCTGTTCAATCTTCTTAGCCCACCCTAACAATCCGCCTAAAGCACAATATATTTATTCGAGTGCGATCTTCTTTTGAGGGGACTCCCCAATCATGTTTTTCTTAAGACCCCCCAAAAGAATAAACAGGAAGGGCGCCTTCCGACCAAAATCTGCGTGCCATCGGCCCTCGAAACCCCGGCCTCGCACCCCGGAAGCGGCCGCCATACCCGCCTCTTCCACCTGGCGATCTCGAGTCCGGGTGCTACGGGAATGACACGCGGGATGTTTTACCAGAAGCCAACTCGGGGCGAAATATTTTTTCCTTGGGGTCACGAACATGTCTCCTTCCCTGCCCAACAAAACCCGGGCTGTGGGAAACTTGACCACTGGCAACAAAACAACACCTAAAGACAAACCACCCTTTTAGAACGAGGGGAATCCGGAATCCCCTTGTATCACAGTGGGGAAGAAGAAAAAACACCTTGCGATCCCCCCCTGCCGACTTTTTCCCCACCGATCCCCGCTGAATCCCGACGTCGCCGCCCATCGCCGCCCACGAGCCGCGCCTCGGGGAACTGGATACTCACGGCCGCCAGGCCCTGGGAACGCCTCAACACCGCCAGCTCGTCCAGGTACCTCTCCGGGTGAAACCGGCAACTCGTTCAACGGGGCGGAAAAATTGGGCCGGAACGCACACGGGCTTTTCTGAGCGTTTGCTTGGGGTGGAAAAACACATGCTATGAGTTCTCTTTGTCCTTTCGGTGTCCTTTTGGGGAAATTGACACATGTGGGTTATAAAGCACTCAGTTGGAAGCGGGTGGAACATCTCGGTGTGTACTTCAGGACCCACTTTTGGTGGGTTCCTTTTCCGCGTGAAACGCAATGCAACGTCGGGCCACAACTTTAGAACACGACCATCCCACTCCTAAAATTCCGACCCACTATTTCACTCCTCGTGGCGGGGCGCCCGGGTTTGCCCGCTTCTGAAGAGACGTAGATTGATCACAACTGCACATAAACTGTGCAAATATCCAGGGCTTGCCAATCCTTATCCGGAATCCCGATTGGGAAGTATCACAATGTAAGTAAGGGCACAATCTACAAAGGAACCAAACCCCTTCGCAACTCGAGAACAATACCAGGGCTTTGTTCTCCACATCGTCTGGCCCCAACAAATTCAAAGGCGGCACGTGTTGGCAGCGGCATAGTTGTACAACCTGAGCGGGCTGGCTGCGATCCGAAACCGGATGCTTGCAAGTGGTTGATCTTTTTGGGTACCAATCATTTGTTGTGGGCATGTGTCAAAACAGATGAACCCCTCAAAACGATTGGATTCCTGTTGGCTTCCCTCTCTACCAATTCAAAAAGGGCATGGCAAACACAAACCCACACACGCACACGCACACAAATTCACGGAGTACTCGTCGCGTCCTGTTCGCACAAGGCTTCGCCTCCCGAGTGTCAAAGCGAGCTCCGTTGCCTGGGACCTTGCGCTTAGCCCCACGCCCTTCTGTACCAACACCGCCGGAGAGCGAGGAAAACAGCCACATCGCCTGATTGGCAACGCACTATTCACCAAGGGGGTCATACGTCTCTCTCTCTCTCTCTCTCTCTCTTTCTCTCTCTCTCTCTCTCAGTGGGTGCGTGCGTGCGTGCGTGCGTGCGGGCGGGCGGGCTGGCGTGGGCGTGGGCGTGGGCGTGGGCGTGGGCGTGGGCGTGGGCGTGGGCGTGGGCGTGTGTGTGCGTGTGTGTGTGGGTGGGTGGGTGGGTGGGTGTGGGTGGGTGGGTGGGTGGCTGGGTGGGTGGGTGGCTGGGTGGGTGGGCGTGTTTCTTTGAAGGTACCCCTTTCACCTTCTATGGACACCATAACAAAAGGACAATGTTCCTATCTTTTTGTGTGGAAATATGACAGCAACAAAGTATCATGGAGGTTGCAAACCTGGAATACAATTTGCAAAAAAACATTGGACCCCGTCAACTATGGTGAGCGCCATGTCCTTCCCTGGGGATAAAACCAGAAATTCTATGTCTTTGCTTCTCCAAAACCAACCGTTTTGGGCAAAGCGCGTAATCTGCACGGAGAAAACACGGGAAAAGCTTCCAAATGGGTGTGTCTTTCCTTAGGGACACCCCCCAATGGCAAAATAGTTCCTGCTGGCTTCTCTTTAACGCCACCCAGAAAAAAAATGACAGACCCCTTTTCCAGCTCGAAACCCTGTAGGACCGAGTTCCAAAGCAGAAGCCAACGGAGGGCCCGAAGAGTTGGGCGTGTCTGTTTGGGGTACGCTTTTGTGTTGCTCGTTTTTGGGCCCAGACTCAAAAACGACCTCCAGGTCCATCCGCCTCCCTCATGCCTCTTCTCCTTTCTAAGGCACCGGGAAAAAGGCGTTGATGTATATTTTCGCGGTTCAAAAGCCATCCAAGACAACTGGGTATGGGTCAAAATTCAACCACCGGGGGACCGCAGGTTTTGGTCCATGTTTCCACTTACTAGGGTTCCATTTGGGGTACCTATTTTTGACCCACAGCCAACTAGCTGCCTTGAGAAACACCCTTGAAATCAGCCCAGTGCTGTGGGGGCATCATGACCTTTTTTGGCCACCTTCCTCGCATGACACCGAAGCAAACCGGTTTGACCCCGAAAACACCTGAAGTTGAACGGGTTTAAGCTATGTGAACAATCAAAGGCTGTTGTACTCACCCTAAGGGAGTAGTTACCCGTGAAAAAGTGGGGTTTGGAACCAAGTGGGCTGAACATTGAACAAAGTACTTCGAACCACGTCCTTTTTTCTGAACCCACCTGTAGCCCCCAATGTCGCCAATGTTACAGCTAAGTGTGAACTACGGGAAAATTATAGCCAGGGCCTCATATTTGGAAACTTTGCGCTTTGAAGGTACCCTTTCAAACCGCAGGGGAAGGTGTGGGAAGTGTCAAACAGATGTTCCCTCTTCGACCATGCCAAAAGCCCCCTCGCCTCAAGGTCGTCATTCAGAGTGTTCCTGCACAAGATCTGCACACTTTTCACGAGCTGCAACTTGTCCTAGTAATTCCAGTTCACTCTTCCGGTCGGGTGGATTTGCAAAAGCACGTCACCAATTTTTGTCAAGGCCACCATTATGGTCTTCCCAAAGACGCTAAAGTCCAGGAACTGAAGGAGTGAGACTTCTAGGTAACCAAGGGCTCCCCAATTTGTAAGGGGCCCGGGGAGGCTTCGCTCTTGGCTGACCAGTAATGGACTTGAAATTGTTCTTGCGCCTGATTTGTTCAGCCGAAACTAGAACATGGCCGCCCTCATTGGCTGATAACCCTCTCTTTGGAATTCGCCTCAAAGTTGAACTAAATCTGGGTTCGCGCGTGGGGAAGTCCTGAGTTTATGCACGCAGGCTTCTATTTTGTATTTCCCCCTTAATCCTCACCCCACCGACAGCAACTTCCTGACATCTGTCATTTCAATCATTCAAGAAAGGATATGTGCCAGCACCCCTCCCCCAACAACTGCTGTTACTGTCCAGCAAACAGTGGTTGACATCCCTAATTTCATGGCCCGGCTATGTGGCATCCACATTTCAATATGGGGGGTTTCAGAAGCTTCGGCTTTCGGTTTGGTTTCCCTTTAAGCACCACGAAACGGTAGCCCCAAAGAAAAACACACGCAAGGGTAGACAAACGCAGCCACACACAAGCACACAGGCACAGCGACAAAGAGACAGAGAGCCACAGAGACAAGGAGACAGAGAGAGAGAGAGAGGAGAAAGAGAGAGAGCGAGAGAGAGAAAGAGAGAGAGAGAGAAGGAGAGCAAGAGAGAGAGAGAGAGAGGGGAGAGAACGAGACAGAGACAGGGACACACAGAAACACTTAGAGGCGCAGACACAAAGGGACAGAGAGAGACGACACAGAGACAAAGTCAGATGCAAAGGCGCGTCTGTCTTTGCTTTCCTCTTCTTTTTTATTCTCATCGGACTTGTAAATCGAACCTGACGAGTAGCCATGAGCTTCATATATGGCGTTGGGGTATGGAAGCATCCAGGCTTTCGAGGCAACGGTGATGCTGTTTTTGCTACGCTGCCAAGGTTCATCTTTACAGCAATATTTGTCGACTTCTGGTGCCTTTCTGAAAAGGACAATTGTTTGCTGCACCAGTTCGTGGCAACTTGAGAACTTGAGAACTTGAGACAGGAAGACCAACTCGCCGGTCTGTTTGCTGCAACAAACGGGCTGCAACATGTAGGAGAGTCTTCTGTCTGAATCTGAGTCTGAGCAAAGCGGCAATCAAGATGAGTCAGGCACGCAGGGTCACTTCGGACCCATCGTGCGATAATGTCCTTTGCGTTTTGCGGGCCTGACGGCCATGAGTTCTCCATCACGAGCTCACGGCACCACGAACGGTACCGGTGCCCAGACACAGTCTGACACTGTGTCTTCTCATGTTCTATCATGCTTTCTCTCAACACAGAGAGAAACAGACACACACACACACACACAGAGAGACACAAGCACACAGAGAGAGAGAGAGAGACACAGACACACAAACACACACAGACACAGACACAAGCACACAAGCACACAAGCAGACAGGCGCACAAGCACAAAAAAACACAAACACACAAGCACAAAAACACACAAACGCGCAGCGGACGGGGCTTGTGACGGACTTGCCCTTGCAATGGGACCCACCCACGCGAGCACGTGGACGCCAGCACACGCGCTCCCAACACAAAAGCACCTAGAGCAGAAAGACAAACAGCACGACCTGGGGTGCACCCCTGCAATGGGACACCAACCACCCCACGCAAGGGCGTGGATGCCAGCGCACGCACTCCCCCAACATAGAAGCGCCACAAAAAAGGCGAAAAGCCAACCACCACCAAAGCATAGCAGCCGGCAGCAGTGCTTCATTGCTTGCTTCAATGGGATCAACGAAAACCCCTTCGTGGACCCGCTTCAATCCGAATACTGGCAGCAGTCCAACCAATCACCTTCAAACCAAAACGCACTTGCACGCGAGTTTCGGTACCACTTGCCCGTGCTGATGCCTCTTTTGCCTCTTTTTCTGAAATGACTTTCCACATACTTCGTCATCGCTACAAGCCTTGGGCCCCACCTCCCTAAAATGTTTCTGTGTAGCCTTTGCTGTGGGCTTCTGCAAGTGAAGGCAACGGGAACGTGGCCAAAATGCTTGCTGACACAGAGTCGCGAATGAGTTCATGCAACAGGCTGAATTGTCATGGAGCTGACCTGAATCTGACCTCCGGGAATGGCCCAACCTCCAACTTGATGCAAACGCAGACACGCAGACAACCACACACACACACAAGCAAAAAAAAACACAAACGCACAAGCACACAAACACACAAACACACAAACGCACACATAACAAGCAAGCAAGAAAGCAAGCAAGCAAGCAAGCAAGCAAGCAAGCAAGCAAGCAAGCAAACAAACAAACAAAACACCCGCACGCAAAGCTCACACGCACACACGCACACACGCACACACCGACACACACACACACAGACAGACAGACAGACACAAACACACACACACAAACAAACAAACAACCAAACACGCAATCACACAAAACACACGCGAAAACAACAAAACAATAACAACACACACAAATACATACACACAACCACACAAGCACACAAGCAGGCAAACACACACGGACACAGACACAGACACAGACACAGACACAGACACAGACACATACACACACGTACAGACACACAAACAAACACACACACACAAACACACAAACACACAAACATACAAACACACAAACACACGACACACACACAGACAAACACACAAACACACAAACACACGACACACACACACACACACTCCCACCCACGCACGCACGCACGCACGCACGCACGCACGCACGCACGCACGCACGCACGCACGCACGCGCACCCACGCACGCACGCACGCACCACGCAGACACACAGACACACAGCCACACACACACACACACCCACACACACACACCACACACACACACGCACACAGATGCAGACGCAGACACACAGACACACAGACACACAGACACACACACACACGCAGACACACAGACACACAGACACACAGACACACAGATACACAGACACACAGACACACAGATACACAGACACACAGACACACAGACACACAGACACGCACAGACACACAGACACACAGACACACAGACACACAGACACACAGACACACAGACACACAGACACACAGACACACAGACACACAGACACACAGACACACAGACACGCAGACACGCAGACACGCAGACACACAGACACACAGACACACAGACACACAGACACACAGACACACAGACACACACACACCCAAACACGCAAACACGCAAACACGCAAACACGCAAACACGCAAACACGCAAACACAAACACACAAACACAAAGACACACCTACAACACACACAAACAAACAAACAAACAAACAAACAAACAAACAAACAAACAAACACAAACACACACAAATACATAAACACACACACAGAGACATACACACAAATACAACCAGCCCGCCTAGCCAGCCACCCAGCCACCCAGCCACCCAGCCACCCAGCCACCCAGCCACCCAGCCACCCAGCCACCCAGCCACCCAGCCACCCACCCGATTTGCCCGAGGTTCGCCTGTGCAGAGCCCAGGCTCCAAGGCACTTGGGGTCGAAGATGTCCTCAAGTTGCTCTCGGGTCACGTGTGTAGAATCCCCCTAAATTGACCATCATCCTCCATTTGCTTAAGCACCCAGAAAAAGAAAAAAAAAGAGACACAATCCCGGTAAACAAAACCAACAGGCGAAATACAAAATAATATTTTCTGCAAGTGAAGGTAATTTGCTTGGGTTAAGTGTGGTTGCTTTACTCGGAAGATGGGTGTCTTTCACTGAGGGGACCCTTTTGGGGGAAAAATGGTTTCGAAGGGAAGCCAAAAGGACAAAAGCTTGTATAAACCCTCTTTTGGGGTACCCTGCTTTTGTTGACAGTACCCCTTTTTGCTTGGTTTTACAAGGAAACCACAAGGACCACTAGAATCTTTGTTGGGGGAGTCCCCTAAAAAGACACACAAAAGGGCACCTGGACTTTCACAAATGTCCCGAACCAAAACGGGGTCTTCAAACAACGCACCTAACCAACACCGCAACATGGGCGGTGTTGGTTTGGCTCAAAACTGCTTGGATGGCCCATTGCCCAGCCCTGCCAGTTGTCTTAACCAAGGAACTCACTATGTTCAAACCCAGAAGGAAGAAACACTAAGAAACCCTGCTTGGCTCTTAACCTGGCGAGTACAGTAAGAAACCCTGAGCTCTTGTAGCCGCAATTGGAAGATACTGGAAGCAGTGGAACAAATGCTTGCGCTCCCAGCCACCAAATCAAGTCTGCGACCCTCCGCGGGTGTGGCACCCTTTTGGCAACCTGCTCGATTTCCAACTGACCGGAGGCGATGGGTGTGTCAGACAGAGGAACCCTGAGGTATCTTCCTCCCCCCCCCAACATAAACAATTAGAAAAGAACGGCTTCGCTATATATCTGGACAAGGGCACCCTCAAAAAACGACACACCCCAAACATGGCTGTACAAAGCACCCCGGGAGTCGATTAGGGCTCATCTTCTCAAGGAGCCGGTTGTTTCCGGCTCCCGTCACTCGATGAGCTTCGGCTTCCCGAAGCACCGGCCTCCGCACGAATCGTTTTAGCGTCAGCTCTTGCACTGTACAGGCCGACTCCATCTCTGGATCAACGATCCCAAGAGCTCCCACCACCTCTGCACTTTTCGCCAGAGCCAAACAGACCCGCTCGCCCTGCTCACTTGGGATGCTCTCGAGCTCCGAGCGAGGGCCAGCAGTTGCTCAACCGAAGGCCGGTCTTGAGAGGTTTGGGAGTAGTGCACAAAGGCAATCGTCCCCTGCAGCAGCTGTAGCTCATACATGAGCCTAGCGCCCTGCTTTTGTTGACTTCATGCGAGGTGGCAATGGTGGATCTGGGCATTGCCAAATTAAATGGGCATTGCCACTGTGACCTCACCTTTTTTCCATCATGTCCATACCTGGATCTTCCAAAGTGTGAATATGTTCTAGCTTTTTCGTGAAAAGCTGCTTTTTCAGACAAACAACCCTTTGTAGTTCTCCGCACTTTTCACTTTGTTGCTCTTCTGGGATAAATCCATGAAGGCGAAACGGCGACAATACCCGACCAAACGGTGACTTTCCCCGACCATGGTTCCAGCCAAATTTGCAACGACACGTTTGCAGTGAAAACGAGTATTTTCGAGTACAAGACTGAAAATTCCGCTTTTTCAGCAAACGGCATAAACAATGCACACCTCAGGGTTCCGGCATCAACGCAGCAAAAAACAGATTTGAGCGTATGGGCCTGTGTCAAAATGGGGGTCGCATTCCGCTTGGCGTGTCTTTCAAACCACCCCAAAACGGGTACCCGTAAAAAACACACGCCCAGAAAGGAGCACAAAACACACACACACACACACCGACCCAAGCACACTCCAAGCACCATGCTCCTGCCTGGTTGTCCAGGAAGATATTTCCTTGGCCCGGCATGCGAAAGCTGGGCACGCGATGTGCTTCCAACACAGACCAAATGTCCTAACTACAGCCACCAGCCCCCTTGCATCGGTTGTGTCTGCAACAAGTCACCTGGCATTTGCACGACTTCTTCCCCACCCCAACCCCTCCGATTTTCCTTGTTAGCATTCCAACAGATCCCCATAAAAGCACCGAGGACCGAGCAACACTTCCACCCGTCACCCGTCCAGGCGTCCACCCATGCGCTGGAGGTCCTGTCCCAACGCCTGGAGGAATTGGTGGTCGGGGATTTGGCTCGATCGAGGGGATTGGCCGAAAGCAGCTCCCAAACTTTGTCGGTTTACCACCAACCTGGGCTGCCCTCAGATCCCCCGCTAAAAGTGACTCACTTTTGGTGGGTTAAATGGAAACCACCACTAAACACTAAAAAGCTAAAAGGCTAAGGGGATGGCTGGGAGCCGCCGAGTAACATGGTCCAAGTCGTCCAAGTCCAACAAGCTCAAAGTCCAGCGACCCAGGAAGCGAGTTGCAGAGGTGGTTTGAAGGTTGGTGGTTTGGGGGTGATCTGGGCTGGGAAATCCCAGACACCCCACACAACGGGCCCACATCCAAATCCAAAACGCCAATCAAGGGTTACCTGGTAGACAGGACCTCACTTCCGATCGAGTCGGTTGGCCAAAACAAGTACCAAACTTTGTGTCAAGGCCACTGAAATGGTCCAAACTCACAAAGTGACCAAAGTCCATGAAACCCAGCGCAGTGAGAAATAGTAAGAATGGGGTGGGGCACTTCAAACCACAAGTAATGAAGGCGGGCAAACTGTTAGAGCAGATTTTGCCCCTTGGAGTCGACCACTCGGTGTTAGATAGGAGCTCTGGACAAATCAAGAAAGCAACCCTCCCCATTTGGCTTTCCTTTGGGTAAATTAATAATGGGCCATTCAGCACCATATACACACTCTTCTTGGAGTTCCCTTTCAGAGAAAGCTGGGATAATAGTGGTTTTGGGAATAGGTATGTTCTTCCGAATCAGAAAAAACAGTTCCCCGTCAAACGACTAATTCTATTGAATTGTTCAAACAAAAAAGGAAAAACGTGTTCCCCCACCCCCTTCAAAAAACAACAAAGAGAACAACCACGTTGGCCCGCTGGCGCGCCTGTGGGCGGGGCACACCGTCGGATCCATCCGCCAGCCGTTGGTCCACGTAGAAGCGCAGCGCCTCGGGCGCCCAGACGCCCAGCGCCGACTTGCCGAAGCCCCAGCTCCTGGCAAGGCATCCGCGAGGCCGCGCGCGGCCGCGTGGCGGGGAGACGTTTTGTCGGGCAATCTCCGGAGCCCCGCCTTCGTCCAAAAGCAAGCTTAGGGTGTCCTTTGTACGCGAAATCCATTTCGCACCACCGTTCAGAAAGCCCGGAATGATGATTTCCCTGTGAATACCAACAAACAGTGGTTTCCCATGGTTTCAAAGTGCAGTTCGATCGATTAGTGTGGATAGAAATGGATGGGTTCCAGCGGTTTAGATGGGCTTCTTTGCCCCATACCAGGGAGATGCAACGATTTTACCCAAAGAACACCTCCCGCAACCCTAAGAGAAACCCCTCGGAGCGATTTCTTTCCAACAACCGGACTCCGGAAATGCAACGACTTTCCTCGTTCGAATCGGCCGGACATTTTTTGGTCACAAGATCCGATCACCTTCTATGTTCAGGTCCCATTTAATCCGCCTTTAGAGGTCCCAGAAAATGAAACCATCCAGGTGTGTACACAGTAAGGCGGCCCGAGGACATGGCCAAGTTGTGTGGCTCCATCTTCCATTCCAAGGACCCGTAGCTGGGTGCCTTTTGTTGGCTTGACACCCTTCTTGGGTTGGTCAAGGAAAAACAACGGACGCCCAAATCCATTCTGTGGTTCCCTAAAAGCAGGCGCGCCGATTTCTTGGTTGACGTTGGAAGGGGAGCAACAATTTAAATTTTAGCAATTAAGTGGTTGGATGTCAACCACTAAACCACAATAGGCAAAAATGTAAAATGTTTCCCAACAACAACCCTGACTTCTCCCTGCCTCTCTGGCCCCCAGTTTGCTCAGTTCAGCCCCCTCTCGCTGGGCTCCCCGCTCGTATGCGCTCCCAGCATCCCCCGCCAGCCCCGGCGTAGAGGGATTGATCAGGTGCAGAAAATCGCAGCCCACCTCGGAGAGTGGGGCGCGGTGCCGGGCGGTGGTGTGGCTCAAACCCAACCGCAACCATCTCCATGTGACGCATGGCTCCAACCAAATCAGTGAAAGGAATTTGAGCCATGCAATTCTGGCTTTCCTTCAAACGAATTGTCATGGTCTTGGTCCCCAGGGAATGAGGGGCTTGCCAGCTCAACCACTTGTAGATCCTCACACTGTGAAGCGGAAAGAAGTTGTAACTGTTGGAACAGCTTGGTTTCACGATTGGCTGACCATGCTTTGGTTGTCCTCCATTTGCATTCTCGTCCCCTGGCAAACAAAAAGAGTCCCAGTGGTGATAGATTTCCCTGAAAAAAAACAACGGGACCACATAAAACTTAGCTACAACATGTCCAGTTCTTGAGCAAATGGGAGTGTTGTTGAAACCACATGTTGCACCCGGGACCCCATTGCCTCAGCGTTCCATCGTGCGGCTGTCTGCGCATCTGGGCAGAAGCTCACCTGGGTGATTTTTGTTTGACGGATGCGAGCCCCGGGGATTTTTGTTGACGGATGCGAGCCCCGGCGGGCTCGCAAAAACAAATCACTTTGGGAAAGCAAGATGTCAACCACAGATGTATTCCTCTCCTTTCTACTCCTCTTTCCCTTTAACCCACTTCTTGATTTACCTTCATTGGTTGGGGAAGTGGTTTGGTGAAAGGGATCAAGGAATGGTATCTCTTCCTTTTGCTTTATCATTTTGCAGCTTGAAAGAAACTTGCTGCTCAGCAGGGAATGTGAGGAATGAACCCAGGTTTTCTTTGGGCCCCTTAAAGAAAACCACCAGTTGGATGGTTTATAAGTGTCATTCCCTCATTCCCAGCTGAGCACCAGCAAGGAAAGAAACTCAGGGGCCTGAAAAAGGGCAAGGCAACTTGAGTCTGGCACTGTCTGGAAGTTTTACCAGAAGATTCAATGTTGAAACAGTGATGGTCTCTTTCATTTGCTTCAGCCCCCTGGAAAAAATGTCCAATAGTGATAGATTCCTTTTAAAACCAACAGGGGAAAATAATAATAATAACAATAACAATAATAATAAAATCGTAAATAAATGGAAGGTCTGTAATGACCCGGAGATAGTTCATGCCCTCTGCCCAGGGCATCCCTTTGCATAAGTTTTGGCGAGCCAAGCGTCGACAACGACTGAGACGTTGAGTGCTTGCAGTTCATCAGCATGCGCCGCGAGGGCGGCGACATGGTGCCGTCCTGAGACGTCGCACACTTGCAACATGTTTCGAGGCTACCTTTTGAGGTTGCTTCAAAGAAACCAAAGGGAAACCAACATTTGGTTGATCCCCTGGCTTCCTGTTTCCACACATACCCATATTCATTTGTGCTCCATGACTGGCCCATAATTAGGCTTTTCACTTGCAGTTGCCACTCAGGCAAGCGTTTCGATCCAGGACCCCCCAACCACTTTTTGGACAGCATTTATTTGGGAGTTTGGACATGGGAACAAGCAGGCAAGTTGCAGGGTGCTGGATCGTCACAAAAAAAGACCCACAATCATTCCCAAACCCGGAGAAAAAAAACTAAAAGTGCAGGACCTACATCATGGCTTTCGCTCGTATTTCCGGGTTGGTGAGTTCAACACCCAGAAAGAGGCGAATCGGTACATGGGCAGCTTCCTGTTGGCCCCACTTCAACATGGGAACGTCAGTGTCAGTATCTCGGACAGAAAGAGGATCACCTACTCAGTTACCCAAAGGACTTGGCAACAAAAGGGGAGCACCTCAAACTGCCCTCAACACGAGACATCCCGCCAAAGTTGTAGGTCAATCTCCTGACAGGTGTTCTCACTTGCCCAGTTTGGACCCAGAAATCAAAGGTGATCACCTGTTTGGGGTGATAGGACAACCAGATTCGGTGAGATCCGGTCGCTTCGCCTCTTGAATCTAAGGCTCAGGGAAGTCAGCCAAAGTGCCGGAGCCAAACCATCAGCACTCCACTAGGGCTTTTCGCCAAGATCTCCTGCAAGGAGATTCGCTGACCTGAAGCGAATGCCGCGAGTTCAGCGGGGTGGCTTGTCTCTTTTTGAGGCTCGGAACATCTTTGTTGCGGCTTTGAAGGGAAACCAAAAGGAACACCGGAGCCATTTTTGTGGGGTCCCCCAAAAACAAATGCACGCACACACCCACACCCGGAACAGCACATCTTGCGGTATCCAAGTGGGCCGCAGTGAATCTTCATTTACGTCGATTGTGCAAGTAAAACCTCTGTCCTAAGTCACCGTGACGCCACCGACAGTCCATAAGTACATGAACTTGCTGAACCAGCGCTTTCCACATTTCTGTCACTTCCTGAGTGTGTTGGCCAGAACAAGTCCCAAATTTGCTTGCCACTTCGCACGTGGTCAAGCTCCATCAACTAAATGATTTCCTTTCATCGGGCCAAGAAAGGCAGAGAAGACGCGCGGGGCGGACGTGTTGAGGGAGTGAAGAAGGTTGGTGGGTTGGAAAATGTCAAAAAGAACAGGAAGATGTCCAAATACAGACAACACCAAGCGTGTTTTGAATAAGTTTGTTCAAACAAGCAAACAAAAACAAACACACACACACACACCGAAGGTGCAGCGACTAAATTCCCTCGCTGGAAAGTGCTTGCCCCGAAAGGGTTTTGGGGACCTGTTTGGGGTGACCCAAAAATGGGCTCTAACAAATGGATTCTAACAAATGGGTTCCAGGCTGCGACACACACACACACACACGCACGCACGCACGCACGCACGCACGCGCGCACGCGCGCACGCACGCACGCACGCACGCACGCACGCACGCACGCACGCACGCACGCACGCACGCACGCACGCACGCACGCACGCACGCACGCACGCACGTGATTGTGCTTGGTGCAAGCTGGAACCGGTTTCTCAGATCTGGTGAGTGCTCGAGACGTGTGTTTTTTTCACAACTTGGTGAACCTTGAAGTGTAGAATCACACGAACTCGCAATATTTGGCGAACCTGGACATAAATACGAAAACACTTGGGATGCGGAGATATGATACAAGAGCTGGTATGGGCGTGTCATTGTTTGAGGTTACCTCCTGACACGTCCTGATCCTCCCGCCCCGTTCAGGCGTCCCGGCTGGAAGAAGGAGACTCACTCGACAAGGGAGCCCCCAGAAGTGGGGGCTTTCTTGCGGGTCAGCCTGCTGACCCACTTTGGTAGAAGCCGGGGGCCACTTGTGTGTTGATTCACTCCAACATGAGCCGGAAAAGCGAAAGGAATCCACTGAAAAACAGCCAGGACTTCAGCTGGAAAAATGCGTCCAGATTCTCGGAGTTGAAGCTGGACAAGCACAAGGAATTCCCAAGCCTCCCACCACGCCTGTGGATGCCAGCAGCTCTAACTTGGGCGCAGGGTCACCCACCGCCAGCCGAGAGATTGATCCGAAAGACGCCTCAGGGAGGGACCTAGCTGACAGTCCCCGGTTTTACTGGTAGATTGACATGGGGATCAAAATAGAGGGGCCAAACAAATGCTGGGATTTCTTTTTGGTTTCTGTTGAAAACCACCGCAAACACGGTACCCTCAACAAAACCAACCCTACACACCCATATATGGACCACATCGATGCTTTGCACAGCTTACCAAGCTGACATGAGACATCTCCTGAGCTGTCACAATCCCGTGGCATTCTCACCGGTTTGGGGATTTCCTCAAAGAAAACCATAAGGTTGACCTGATATTATTAATCAGCCCAAGTTGAGTAATAGGGGGGGTTCCCCTCCAAAAGCGGTCTGATTCCCCACTACGCCCAGCATACATCCCTCTAGTAATAAATAAACTGGGGTTGCCTCCAGGAACACCAGATTCGGTCAGATCCCTTCGATTCGCCTCTGACTGAGATTATATACCCTCCCGCTAACATGGCAGCTGACACAGGGTACCCCCCAAGAGGAAAGTCATCTTCCGGGTACCCTCCCACAGGTGCTAAGTCTGTTGGAGGGAGGGTAGCCACTACTGTGGATGGACAAAATGAGCGGCCAAACACCACAAATGGATGACACCTAACAAAAGTACTGATTGCTAAGCCCATCTTAATCGGTGCGAAGCTTAAAAATGCTTGAACAGCTGTCCCCCAATTCCATTGCTCTATAGTCTTCTGGAAAACGGGACGTGACCCGTAAAGATCTCCACAGCCCCCTCTCCCAATTCCACCTTTAAGGGGCTGAAATTTAATGATGTTTCTGCACATTTTACGATACTTCAAAAACCTGAAATAAGAATTGGATCCAATTCAACCGATCATTCCCTTGGCTTTCGCTCGTTACGCCCCCGAATCAGAAAACTCGCAATAAAATAGGCAAATCTACGGGTCCGTCTGTTTTTTCTTCTTTTTTTTCGTGGGGGAGGGGGGGGTACTTCGTCTTCAAAAAATGAATAAAAAGGAAACCAACAGGAAAACCACCCTCTTCTTTGATTCTTTTGGGGTTAGGGGTTTGGAACCGCTTTGAACGGGTGAGCTCACTTGTCCAAGCTTTATGCTTGCCACTAAACTGGTCTTCCAACCAAAAGTAAAGCCCCATGAGCTCCAGAAAATTCTATTATTTGATTCGCCTGCTTTTTGCACCCATCTTTTTCTTCTTCTTCTAGACACCACCCATCGTATTTTTTAAGACACCAACCTATGTTCCAGGGGTTTGGCCCGTTTTTGGCAGACATGGATCCCTGAAGAGACTGGGCTAGAGCCAGAGTGAATGTTCCTCCGGCCTCGTTGGCGGCCAGAAGTTCCCGCCAGGCGGCCTCAGCGCCCTGCAGCCGCTTCCGAGCCTTCGGATCCATCCGGATCGATCTTTTGGATGTTGATGGTTTGGTGGAGTACGACTGAAGAGTTTTGAGTGAATCTATTAACTAAAGCCATGTTTTGTAGTTGTGGGCTTCGAATTAAGGCATTTTTTCCCCAACAGCTGAAAGGTTTGGTGTCTCAGCCCAGATAATCTCTGGGGTGGTCCGGGGCGGCCCGGAGATAAGGTTCCACGAGGGTTCCGACAGGGTTCCACGAGGTCTGCGGGGTGGCGCGAGCACTAAAACGAGCACCGCATGCTGTTGGGGATATCACCTGAGCTTATTACCCCAGCTTAAGAAATCAAGGGATAAGGGACTAGACGGAATGATTCGGCCGAATCGGAGCAGGTGGTGTGAGATACCGCAAAAGCTGAAGCCACTGAGTTCCCATCTACTTTTGGTGCTCGGAAATCTACATCATGGTGCGGGAAAATGGAACCTATCCCCTTTTGCCAAAAACAACTTGGGCTACAGGGAATACAGGACAACAGCTGATTTAGGGTGTTTGGGGGGTCATTTCCCGGAGATGTTCATGTAACGAAATCCCTTGAAATGTGGTTTTGGAATATCAACATAGTTGTAGGGAAACATGAAACCCATTTCTAGTTGATGAAAGGGAAAACAAGGGATACAGACTCGTCAGGCACCACGCATTGGCCAGAACAAACATCTATTTCTGACCCGATCCCGCACGACCAAAATGCAACTCTGAGACCTTCGACGGAAGCAGACCCATGGATATCGTCCGAAGATCAAGGATGTATGGAGATGCTTCTCTTTTGTTTCACCTCTTCTTGTTTTGGGGGGTTCGGTCCTCCAGTTTGGGGCACCGCCTTTTTCGGGTCGTCTGCATCTGTTTGACACCTCTGCACTGGCCTTCCCGCCCATTCCGGCGATTCCGCCTCCGCCACATGGTCGCCGCTTGCCGCGTCCAGCGCAGCCTCGAAGGCGGCGAAGGAGTGGAAGCCGCAGAGCGCCAAAGCGCGGCGCTGGTCCTGAGGCCAGCGGCCTAAGGCCAAGGACCCAACAAACCAGCAAGAACGCCACAAAAACTCACAACCAAACAGAACCCGACAAACCAACAAACAAGAACCAAGACCCACAAACAAGGCCCAAGCCAACAAGAACCCAAAACGAGCCACCCACCAAAACCAAAGGGTTCACTGCACCCTTGAGCTTCCCAACGTTCTTTGCCACAACTTCACTAGGGCTCAGGGCCTACCCTACCAGAGTGGCTCTTTACACCCCTGGTCCTTCACGTTTTTCTGTGGGCCTTCGGTAGCTCCAGTGGACTCCCGTGGAATCGGTTCGGCACCTCTTGGTGGGTGACGTTCAAGCAGGTGTCCCGCACCAATAAAAAGTGACCCCCCCCCCCCCAAAACCAAACATACCAAAACCAACAAACAACAACCAATCAAAACAAAACACCAAACCAAAAACAACCAAAAGAACTCAGTCATCACCAAACATCCAGAGCAACCAAACACAAAACAACACAGCCACCACCAAATACCAACAACCAACAACCAAGCACCAATAGAACCATCAAACACAGAGCACCAAACATTCAAAATGACTTAGCACAACTGAAAATAACGACAAAATATTTAGAAGGGCCAAAGTGTTCCCTCTAATCGGAGGTTTGGAGCCCGGTGGCTTCGAGGTTTGGAAGGGTTTCCCGCTTCCCCCCTAGAAGGAATTCAAATTTCCAAAGTTTGGGGGTTGAAAAACCAGGCTGAAGAAGACATACTGAATGTTTGTCTGCATCTTCATTGGGCAAAACGAAGAAAGAAGAACATGTTTCAAGCCGAAGAAACGGAAGCCCGGTTGAGAAACCTAGCTGAAACAAGATGTACCCATGCTCGTTGCTTGAACAACATGTGTCTACTACATCTTTAAACCGCCTGTGTTGCGCTTCTCGCACAGCTTGAAGCTAGGACAGTGACTTTTGCCAGTAGACACAGTTGCAACCCCTTACCATGGTTAAACTCACCAACCCCTGCCCAATCTGGAGTCAGCAAATCATGTTTTCAGATTCAGTTTGGTCAAGCCCGTCTGGAGGTTCGTCATGGTTCGCCTTGTGGCATATAACACCCCAATAGCAAAGTATATCCCACGTTCACGGCGGACTTGTAAGTGGGTTGTGACGCAAGGTTTCCAACAACTTACTAACTTGGTCGAAGACCAAAGTAACTCACTTACTCACTTCCTGAGTTGATGGGCAAAACAAGTCTGAATTGTTTGTTTACCATTAAAATGGTCTTCCCACACATAGAAAGTCCATGAACTCGGGGAGTGAGGCAAAGCAAGAAGTACTTCCGCCAGCTCTAAGCCGCCGGAGCCCGAATATTCGGGTCTGCTTGGTCCTCGATGAGACGCCCCAGACGCTTCACCGAGGAAGTGTCAGGAGAGGCCTCCGGTGCAATTCGCATGGGTACACCAAACCAACCCATCCCCGAAACCCGAGTTGCTTAAGTCCCCTGGAAGCAACACAGAAACCAAAGGAGTGGTAGCTTCCCTTTCAAACCAAAGAAATTGTCACAACCTCTTGAACAATTGGAAGAGACAAAGAGAGACAAAGGGCGCCACGCGGCCACTGGGCTTGGCGGTGCTGTTTGAGGCTCGGTGCCCTTGTCACCTGGGCTTCAAAAATGGAAAAGCACCATTCGGGGGTGCTTGCCCCTATGTTCACACATACCCAAGTATGTAGATGGGTATGGGTCAAAGTTAAAAACCACCAGGGGACCACAGGGGACCACAAGTTTTAGTCCATGTTTTCATTTACCGGGGTTCCATTTCGGGTACTGATTTTTTTACCCACAGCCAGATGGTCTCCCAAGTTTACACAGACCTTGCCTGGATCTGCTCCAGCACAGCGATGATGGCATCTGCTATGCAGTGAGCTGCGTGCACGGATCGATCCGTCGAATCCGCGACCATCGCCGCGCTCGGCTGAACCATGGCTGCCAGGTGTTCAGATTGAGAGCAAAAAAAGGCATATGAGCCGATCGGAGTCCGTTGAGATTGATGGAGGCCACTGGTTAAAACTCAAATCCGCCGACCCTCTGCCTCCCGTCCCAGCCTCCTGCAGAGGGGACCGGCGTGGGATGCAACTGGAAGTGATTGGAATCAATGATGGTCCCTGGGGGGCACGCCCGAAAGTACAAAAAGTGGATTAACAGGACCGGTCCCGGGACCGGTCCCGGGACCGGTCCCAGGACCGGTCCTGGGACCAGTCCTGGGACCAGTCCTGGGACCGGTCCTGGGACTGGTACTGGGGCCGCTTCGGATTACTTGCAGTCAGGGGACCGGTCCTGGGACTGGTCCTGGGACTGGTCCCGGCCAGGACCGCTTTCAGGACTGGTCCGGTCCCAGCCGCTGGTATCGGATCCCACTTCAAACCGCTGCAGAAACCCGGTGCCACCTCAAACAGCTCCAGACACCTGTTTTTTCAGTGTCGCTGTTTCCGGACTGGCACCCGTGTTTCAGGACCGGACAGGGTCCCAAGTCCCATTGAGGGGCGCCGACGGCCTTGTTTCTAGGACCAGCTCAACGTGACTTGGGCGCGAGCCGGCCCGTGCGGTCATTGACGGACTTTTCCGCTAATCCTTGTGGTAGTAGAGGATCCCTGGATCTACTGCCGGCGACCGGTCCAGGGCCACTAGGGCCACTGTCGCCGGGGCAGTTTCGGGAGGGCCAGTTTCGGGGCGACCCGGGACAGGCGACTGCTCCCGGGCCAACTCGAAGTGACTTGGGCGCAAGCCGGCCCAAGCGGCAATTAACGGACTAGCTGCCATATTTCTGACTTTTCCGTTAATCCTTGTTTGTGGTCGTAGAAAATCTTATAAGTGGTCCCTGGGTTTCCGGACGTGTTTCAGGACCGGTCCTTGTGACTTTTCCCTTAATCTTAGGCCAATTCTAAATCTACATCATTGAACTCCAACGCGCAGGAGTGACGAACTCAGCCGCTTTTACCCGCCGCGGAGTGACGGTATGAGGCCGGGTCTTTAGACGACGAGGGCTTCTTTCGGCCTTCTCAACTTGACCTCCTGCAGCGTCCAATGATACCCGCTGCCCGCCGGCTTGGGAGCGCTGGGTTTCAACGCAAAGTTGGCAGAGTAGCTGAGGAAAAGCCGCAGGGAGCCGTCTTGATCGAGCTCGCCCACAAACTTGCTGGGGATGTTTACAAAGTACGCCTCCGGCCCAAATTCCCTCAGGTAGCTGATGTAGCGGAAAGGGCCCGTAATATTGGGGCTCTCAAGGAAGTAGGTGTCAAACTGCTTCGTGGTGAAGGGGCTATATGTGGGAGTGGAGATGCACACAAAGTAGCGCTGCACCGCTGCGATGTATGTCATTGTGACCACCCCAGTCCTGTTGCCCCACTTGATGATCGGCTTAGCCAAGTGCACGTCCCCTTGATGCCATTTGCCTGGGTCGGTTTCCCATCAGCTTTCATCTTTGCTGTTTGGGCGCCTTTTTTTTGGGGGGGGGGTTCCCCTACTAAAATGGACCAGCAAAATAAGAAAGGGTACCCTTATTCTAGCCCCATCTACTGGAGGACCTTGTGGGGCTCCAGTGGGAAACTCACTCCCTGAGTTCATGGACTTCAAGTCGTTTTGGAAGACCATTCTAGTGGCAAGAAATACATGTTTGGACTTTGGTTTGCCTATTTACTCGGGAAGTGAGGAAATCCAAGTAGGGGGTGCCATTTGTTACTTTTCTGGTTTTTGCAACCAGCTTTCTGAGTGGGTTGTCATTTGGTTTCCCTAACCAAAGGAGAGAGGGCGTATCCTACTTGAATGTGCGGCTAACCGAGTTAGTAAGTTATCACGGAAACCGTTCGATCATAGTCCCTTCATACGTCCCCCGTTCAATGGGATTAGCCATGGTTAGGGGCTGAGCAATCCCAAGTGGCTGGCCACATGTATACCAACTTGGCGAGTCGACCATCCAAGTGGGCGCAGTTATACTTTTCTCCTTTTTCCCGACCAGCTGAAAGCTTTGGTTTCGGCCTCCTGCCCCCTTTAGGCTCCGAAGCTTTGGAGTGGAGCAGTCTCACTGCACCGGCTCTCGGCTTTGCTTCTACTTGAAACTCCAAATCATGGGCAAACTTGGGCGGTTCCTTTCAAGGGAAGCCACCCAGAAAAAGAGGGTGTCGTTTTTTTGGGGGGCGCACCGGGGCGCACCCAAGTTTATCCCAAAAGGAACCTGTTTTGGTGTGTTTTATTTTGGCCAATGGCCAAGGCTGGTTCTTGGTTCAGCCTTTGGGGCCGACGTCTTGGTGAGCACAAGGCATGCGGTTTTGGCTTACTGTATCCCTCACGTGGTCAGAATTGAGTTGAGGTTTGGACGTAAAAGGGCACTACTGGGGGACCTAGCCCAGGCACAAAGCAAGCCGAGATGCCATCCCCGAAGAACTCCCAGGCGTCCTTGTCGTTGACCCTGCCGATCTCCGGGCGTACGCGAGCCATGTAGACCTTGGAAGGTTCGGAATGGTCAACCCCAGGGAACCCAAAGGATGCGAAAGCTTGAGTGCTATTATCATCATTAACCTTTAGCTTTTTGGAAAGCATGTTCTATTTTCCCCACTAGCCTGCAAAAAGCAGGATAACTTCTTGAGAAGGGGTGATTGCCGGCAAGGAAGCAGGTTGCTTGAAAGACTGATTGTCCAAACGCGTCTCGACAGGCAAACCCAACCCGATCGCCTCGGAGCCTTGCATCCATGAAGTGGGTGAGTACGGGGAGGAGGCGCCGTGCCCTACCACGTACCTTGGGACCAGCGAGTCATGGCTGCAGTGCTTCGCCACTTCATCTAGGCTGGAGTTAGGACCCCAGCAAGAGATAATATGTGTTGTTTTGCCTGGTTAGTGGAAAACAAAGGGGGCCCCAAAAATGCAAAAAAAAAGGAGCTAATTCTGGGGAAGTCATCTGCTTGCTCAGACTCAGCTTTTCGTAGCTAAGGGGTGGTTTCCCGTTGAGGCTCAAGAACCAGGGGTTCAAACCCCAAGCTACCAATCCAAATCATTCATCCATGAGCACCCGAATCTGGTTGCTGTGGCTCTGCGCAGCAAAAAGCATCCAGACACTTGGCCCTTGAGAAAGACCCGCTGAAAACATAGTTCACCTGTTGCTTTCCGCATACCCTTGTTTCGCAACAAGAGAATGGCGCTCAGACGGATGTTGTGTTGTGCTGCTTGGAATGGATGAAGGAAACCGAAATTAACTTTCGGGGCAAAATAGTGAGTTAATCTGGGGAATAGCTCAACTTGTTCCCTGCCTCGGACAAAAGTTGATTCAAGTTGGCCCAGCGATAAGGTTCCTCACAAATCCCATGGTCCCAGGGTCGTGCTGGTGTGAAAGCCCAACTTCGCGCCTGACCTGCGTCATTTTAGGGGAGGTTTCAGTTTCTAACCGCGGACAAAGGGCATATCCTACTTGGGTGTTCGGCCGGCCAAGTTAGTAAGTTATAACAGAAACCCCTCGGTCATTACTCACTGAAATAAGTCCGCCGTGATTATCAAAAGGCTAACCGCTCACTAGCTTAAAGAATCGAACACCCAAGAAATCCATTCCTTGGTTCCGCCACAAACGGTACAAGGCCAAATGCACGGGGAAAGACTATAATTGTCTTACAGCCCAGTCTGCCCATCGAAAAACTAATACCATCCGTCACTTGCCAGGACTTGGACATGAACGGTAATCACCTTTTCTTTTGAGGCCAAAATTTGAACTGGGTCATGAATCAACATGGTTGACAAAATTGGAAAACCAAAAGGGTCAAAAGATGTGAAAAGGTCAAAACAAGTCGAAAGGTCAACAGATGTTGAAAAATGCCAAAAGACGTCAAAGGGTCAAAACATGTCAAAAGGTCAACAGATGTTGAAAAATGCCAAAATATTTGAACAGGTCAAACCATATCAAACGGTCAAAACATGTCAAATGGTCAACAAATGTTGAAAAGTTGCCAACAGATGTGAGAAGGTCAAAACCTGTCAAAATGTCAACAGATGTTGAAAAATGCCTAAAAATGTCAAAAGGTCAAGAAATGTCAAAAGGTCAAAAGGTCAAAAGGTCAAAAGATGTCAAAGGGTAAACACATGTCAAAAGGTCAAACAAATGTTGAAAAATGCCAAACGATGTGAACAGGTCAAAAAATGTGAAAAGGTCAAAAAATGTCGAAAGGTCAAAAGATGTCAAAGGGTCAAAAAAAAGTCAAAAGGCCAACAAATGTTGAAAAATGCCAAAAGATGTGAAAAGGTCAAAACATGTCAACAGGTAAACACATGTCAAAAGGTCAAAAGTTGTGAAAAGGTCAAAAACATGTCAAAAGACGCCAACAAAAATGACAAAAGGCTGAGATGCAAATCACAACTTCTGCCAACCAGCTTTGGCCAAGATGCATCAGCTGCTCCACATCCCCCGCCGGCCGGTGCCTGAGCGCCTGCCCCAGATCCACCACGTGGGGGGCTCCGAACTTGACCTTGGTCTGGTTGTCCTCGGGGCACAAATCTCTACGCCTTAAATTAGGGGACCCCCCCAAAACAAAAAGAAGAAGCTGGTTTCTCTTTGGTTTCCCTTTACACCAAACCCCAAAGAAGGGGTACCGACTCCAAACGATCTACGGGTAACTTCCATTTCCATTCTTTCCAGGGATTCGGATCTTTCAAGAAAACCAAAAACCCTGGGGACATGGCCATCGGTTTTTGAAAAGAACGATGGCTGAAAAGAATGGAATCGGAATCAACCCCTGGAAAAACCGGCTCCGCAGACCCCGCTGTCCGAGCCCCGACCTAAGTCAACAACAGCACCAACATTGGCGGCTTTCATGTGGCTTCCATTCAACAGAACACTTCCCAGTGCAACAGTGCCAAGTCGCTCTATATATCTGTATATATATATATATGTATAAAAAGGACATCTGGGTGAAGAAAAGCTCATGCTCGGATTCTGGCGCACAGTCTACGCGAAGAGACATTCCCAACCGTAAGCTAGTGTTCTTGTGATTTGCCTCTAAAGAAGGGCACCCTGAAAAAAAAGAGACGCACATGTTGAGGACAAGCGCCATTTTGATTTTGGGGGGTCTATCTTGAGACAAACCCATATTTGGACCAGACCCCCCCCCTTTTCCCACACCTTCGTCTCTGCCCCTTCGGGACCCGCTCGGGGCCTGAGCGGCTTCGCCAAAGATGGTGTCCCCATACCCTTTCAGCGGCCCGGGCCTTGGCTCGTGCCAAGTCTTCCCGTTGTCCTGATGCATGCAACGGAAAAAACACCCAAAGGACTCTGAACAAACAAGTAATCCTTTGGAGCCCTGGTTGAACATGGACCAAGTCAGGGAAACTGAAAGGTACAAATTGAAAACTCAATTGCCAGGTTTGGACCCAGGAGAGAAAAAAAAAAGGATCACCACAAAACCCCCCTGGAACCCCTTACAGGAGCCTTGACGGAATATGGACCAAATCAGGAAACTAAAAAGCGAACAGGTCAATTCGCATTGGGCGCCCGTGAGTCGCAACCCTTTGAGCCGTAGGTGTCGTTTTGGTAACATAGATGGCCCTGGTAAATGGAATATATAGCATAAGGCTATTCTGATAACCAGTGGAACCCATTTTTTCTGATCAAACTAACATAAAGGACTTGCTTTTTGAGGGAACCATGTCGTTGGCCAACGGTTTGTTGACCCCTATGCTTTCAGCCCGATTTTCCACAACTCAAAGGGGTAAACCTAAGCCTTGGTCTCAGCTCCGTTTTTTGTGCGTCGAATCAAATAGGGAATCCTGATCGAGGGGCTGGGGTTCCTATCGGGTTGCCCGTTTCTTCAGCAACCACAAGGTTCTGAATCAACAACTGGGTTGTCTCCTTTTGCAGGGGAACCCGCCTTTGTTTGGTTTTACAGGGAACATCAAGGGAAACCGAAATCCATTTCCTCCATTTGCTCAAGTCCCCTGGAAAAACTAAAATAATTCTAGTAGTGATAGGCTCCCTTGAAAACCAACAGGAGAAAATGAAAGACATATTCTTCACCAAAGGGAATATTTTTGGGGGTCCGCCTATGTTTTTACGACAAAGCCCGAATTTGGTCCTTGCTCCAGCGGAAGCCGATGAAAGGCCCCTGAATGCACCAGTTCCCGCAGTAGCCCGCAGATCTGGACTCAGACCTGGGGGACTTCTGTTGCAACATGTGGAGTCGAGTACCCGCTTTTGGGGGGTGGTGTAAAGGGAATCACCAGGACACCCACGTGTGTGTGTGTGTGTGTGTGTTTTTTTTTGGGGGGGGTTGCTGCCCCTATTTTTTGATCCCAACAAATCAGGGGAAATCACCAGACCTTGTTACTCCCGAAGGAGAAACAAAAGGATTCGCGGTTTAAGCAATGCGTGTCACTGAACGTGTTGAAACAGCGGGTCGAATCGCCCAACGCTGATGCGAGGAGAGTCAAAACCCAGATTAGGAGTTGATCCCAAACCAGGGACAGAACCAAAAAGCTTCTTGCCACATCTAAAACAGTCCACTACTAACCTTGATCTATCTTGGTGTTGGTTGCTTGAGTGGTCGAACTCAGTTGCGCACGCTGGCTGCCTGTCAAGAAGGGGCAACCCGAATCTCGCTGCGCCTAAGCATTTGAAGAAAGGCAAGCCTGCCTGTCGGGTGGAATATGGGTATTTCATTACATGTGGGATTCGTTTGTTGTTTCCACTCAACACGATCCAAAAGCTGTTCCCTCCAAACACCCCCCCCGGTATGCTGTAATTGCCCAGCACTGACAATTCCCGGTTGGCGCGGAATACGTTCTCCTATTCCCCACTTGAGAAAGCCAAGCAGTGCGTGGCCTCTCTTTGAAGCCCATGCGCCTGTGAGGGAAAACCCAAAGAAATCCAACCCATTTCGCAGGTGCATGTCCTCGGCTGTTCCTTTTGGTTTCCGAACAAATCTGAAACAGGTCCCGAAAGACGCGTTGCCGCGCTCTTTGCATGTGCCCAACCAGCGTCGCTCATGGTGTTTTTTTCAAGCCTTCACCTCGCGGATGATCGCAATGGCTGCCCTGGTTGATGGTTCCTTGGTGCCGAGGGTACGGTGCACTCGGTGACCCCAGCGGAAAATATGACATGTGTTGTGAATATTAGTTGCTTTTGCCCCAGCTGAAAGCTATGGGGGCTCTGCCCAGCTAGGTTGGGGCAGCTGTCAGGGAGGGTTCCAGATTTCAGAGTTTCCTTCTGGAAGATAGCACCTGAGCTTAGTTTATATCTTGTTTTCCTTACCGCAAATGAACAGGACCAAAAAAGACCAAACACTTTAAACTCGGTCTATCAAAGTGATATCCTGAAGAGTACCCTCCTGGTGGCTTGAGGAGAACCAACTCCCAAAAGGATTTGCTATTTGCTTTAAGGCACCTAGCAAAAAAAAAAGACCGCACATGGAAGCAGACGTGAAAAGGACGCAAAAACATAACCCAAATGAAGGCATCAAACTTGAAAGCGGCAAAACTGAGTAACGACTCGCCTCAGTGAAGGTTCTCATTGTCCAGGGCGTAGGTGCCATAAAACCACACCCCGTTGAGGTGTAAGTTGGCACTGGGGTACCGCCCATGGTATGGCCATGGGGAAGATTCGTAGGTCCCCGCCTGCGGTCAAATGGCTGGAATGGTTCCTAGATCTTCCGGGGGCGCCGAATTTTCGCCCCGGGGCTTAGGTGTCAAAGTTTTTGACCCCAAAATAGAAAACAACCCCGGACCAACAAAACTGCCCCTTGCGTTCGGCTCCGACCCGTCGAGCTCTCTTATGCAGCCGCGCACAGCGGACATCATGGTTACAAATGAGCTAAGTTGAGCCCAACACGAACCATATTTAAACAACAGAGTCCCCCTGTAAAGATTTCAAAGGTCATTACCTGCGTCTTCACCAGTGTGCTGTTTTGCCCTTAGGAAAAAACAGGTTCTTTCTTGTAGGGGCGGTTTTTCAGGCCAGGGGCGGAAATTGCACTTTGCCCGCTCTGGCAGCATTTGGGCACAGAAAGCGTGCCTCTGAGTGTGGCATAAACCGACCTGGGCACATCCCGCATTTCAGGCGCGCCCTCCCGCGCCAATCGCATCAGTTGAGGTGCAAAACAGGCATGCGCCTCGCCTGCGATGCGACCTGGAGCCGCTTTTCTCGAATGTTCTTTTTGGCCCGCAGAAAATGGACTTTTGGAATTGCAGCCATAACGTGGTGAACATAGCGAAGGCTGAAGGCTCAACCGGGAATATTGAAGGATCTTTGTGTTGGTTGCCCTTCTGGGAGACCTCCCAACGGTTGCTTTTTTGGGCATGTGACTTCAAAGGACTGCGCAGGGCAGGCAAGGTTCACTCATGCCCAAAAACGGTTTGGCCCACTGCTTTGTATGCGGCGGCCGTGCCCTCAACAACGAGCAGATCAGGGAAATTGCAACAAACCATCGAAAGCAAGAGCCGATCAAATCGCTGCACCTTTGCTTAAGCGGCAGTGGTGCTTGTAACAGCTGATTATCGAAACGCCTTGCGGCCAAGCCTTCAATGCTGTTAGCTAGGGTTGAGTTAGCAATGCTCACCTTGGATCCGAGACCAGGCCCAAGCTCGAACCGATTGCTTCGGCGCCTTTTGCCGCGCTAGGCAAAATCTGAAGCTGGCCTGCTGCCACCTGCAGCAGCGATTGCTCTGACCCGGTCATGGACAGTAGAAAACGCACCGCTGCTGTGGCTTTGGCGCTCGTGCGAAAGTTTGACATTCCTCGGCATGAACCCCCGAGCTGACTAACATGGATCGATCCAATGTGACTACAAGAACCCCTGGATTTACGGAATGCCGCAAAGCCATTATACATTTTCCACAAGTTACGTGCTTGTACACGTCTGTCTGCCATGGAACCCAAAAGGCAATCAAGACAGCCAAAAGGAGTTCCTCTAAGAGTGTTTGGGGTCCGTGTTTCCCCTCTTTAGGTCGGGTTAGTTCAACACAAATGTTAATCAGCTAGGTTCGATTCGACTTTCTTGTTTCATTTCATGAAACCTTGCCATGTGCATACGCAAGTTTCATACAACCCTGAAATGTGCGCAGCGCATTTCATGAAATTTTGCAACTCTGCGACACTTCTTCGGTCTTCTAGTTCGAGGTGTTCAAGGTGGTAACCGGGCTGCCCTCGACAAGAGTCGGCGAGGCAAAGGTCATCGACAAACGCGGCTCCATCTTTTCTTGAGCCCTGGCCCCGGAAGACCCGGCCGGCCAAAACCGCCCCGGGACCGGCAAAAACCGCCCCGGGACCGGCCAAAACCGCCCGGAGATGTTGACAATTCCGGCCTGGAAAGCGTCATTTCATGAATCCAATCCGCAAAAACTCATGAAACTTGGTCCGTGGATCGACTCTTGAACTGTGGACTCATGAAGTGGCAGGGTTCATAAAGCAGCATGTGCCCTCAATTGATGAAACGCTCTTTCACAGTCAAGACAGTTTCACAGTCCCGGGGCGGTTTTGGCCAGTCTCGGGGCGGTTTTTGCCGGTCCCGGGGCGGTTTTGGCCGGCCGGGTCTTCCGGGGCCAGGGCTCAAGAACAGATGGAGCCGCTTTTGTCGATGACCTTTTCCTCGCCGACCCTTGTCGAGGGCAGCCCGGGTACCACCTTGAATACCTCGAACTCTTGAGACCGAAGACATGTCACAGAGTTGCAAATTTCATGAATTGCGCTGCGCACATTTCAGGGTTGTATGAAACTCGCGTATGCACATGGCAAGGTTTCATGAAATGAAACAAGAAAGTCGAATCGAACCTATCTGATTAACATTTGTGTTGAACTAACCCGACCTAAAGAGGGGAAACACGGACCCCAAACACTCTTAGAGGAACTCCTTTTGGCTGTCTTGATTGCCTTTTGGGTTCCATGGCAGACAGACGTGTACAAGCACGTAACTTGTGGAAAATGTATAATGGCTTTGCGGCATTCCGTAAATCCAGGGGTTCTTGTAGTCACATTGGATCGATCCATGTTAGTCAGCTCGGGGGTTCATGCCGAGGAATGTCAAACTTTCGCACGAGCGCCAAAGCCACAGCAGCGGTGCGTTTTCTACTGTCCATGACCGGGTCAGAGCAATCCCTGCTGCAGGTGGCAGCAGGCCAGCTTCAGATTTGCCTAGCGCGGAAAAAGGCTCCGAAGCAATCGGTTCGAGCTTGGGCCTGGTCTCGGATCCAAGGTGAGCATTGCGAACTCAACCCTAGCTAACAGCATTGAAGGCTTTGGCCGCAAGGCGTTTCGAAAATCAGAAATTGAGGCCCTTGCTGTTTCAAGCACCACTGCCGTTTAAGCAAAGGTGCAGCGATTTGATCAGCTCTTGCTTTCGATGGTTTGTTGCAATTTCCCTGATCTGCTCGTTGTTGAGGGCACGGCCGCCGCATACAAAGCAGTGGGCCAAACCGTTTTTGGGGCATGAGTGAACCTTGCCTGCCCTGCGCAGTCCTTTGAAGTCACATGCCCAAAAAAGCAACCGTTGGGAGGTCTCCCAGAAAGGCAACCAACACAAAGATCCTTCAATATTCCCGGTTGAGCCTTCAGCCTTCGTTATGTTCACCACGTCATGGCTGCAATTCCAAAAGTCCATTTTCTGCGGGCCAAAAAGAACATTCGAGAAAAGCGGCTCCAGGTCGCATCGCAGGCGAGGCGCATGCCTGTTTTGCACCTCAACTGATGCGATTGGCGCGGGAGGGCGCGCCTGAAATGCGGGATGTGCCCAGGTCGGTTTATGCCACACTCAGAGGCACGCTTTCTGTGCCCAAATGCTGCCAGAGCGGGCAAAGTGCAATTTCCGCCCCTGGCCTGAAAAACCGCCCCTCCAAGAAAGAACCTGTTTCTTTTCTAAGGGGCAAAAAAAGCCACACTAGGGAAGATGCAGGTTCTTATCCTTTTGGCTTCCCTTCGTTGAAGAAACCCTGATATGATGCCCTTGTGCAAATCCAGGTTTTCCCGAAATAGACCTGGGACATTTGATTGTCTGTGTTTGGTGAACTTTGCTCCTGGTGCCTCCCTGTTCTCTTGAACAGTAAACAGCCAAACACATGCCAGCGATTTGCAGGAGTACTTCCTCAAAATAAGATCCCTAAGATGGTGTCCATTCCTTTAGCTTCTCTTCAAATTCAAACACGAAAAGGGGTCCAGTCTGCAAAACTCTCATGCGGGCTGCTCCTCTCAAGCGAAAGCTTCAAACTAGTCGGTGTCCCTTTGCTTTCGAATCTGATTTTGAAGAAACAAAACAAAAGGGTTCTCTACCCCTGGCCCACAGTTCGAAACCTTTAGATGTGACAAAATCCCAGACCAATGTCAAAAAGTCTGGGGAGGGACCTGGATTTCTATCAGGGGACACTGGATTTCCTCAAGTCAAAAGTTCAATAATGATTTCCTCTGAATTTCACCATCCCCCCCCTCTTCCCACCCTGCAAATGCTCTATGGGGCATGGCTCGCCTGTGATATGCTCAAATTCAGCGGGTCGTCCCCGACTATCACGGCGAAGCCGGCCGTGGAGCGACAGGTTGCACTGGCGCAAGAGCTGGCGGCTTGCTGGTGGCCCACTCGACCATCCGTCCAGGGGGAGTACAAGTTCCTGGGCGCCGCTCCGTGTCCGCTTCATTCTGAACTCTCAAAACTACTGTTTGTGTTTTTTTTTGTGTGCAAAACTGTGCTTGTGTTGTTGCTGATTGGTTTGGCGGGGGTTCCCTTTAAACTGAAAAGAAACAGTGCATAAAAGTGAACGTGTCTGATGTCAAAGCTGGAACTGGGTCGCTTAAAGTGAACATGTCGATGCGCAAAATTACTTTTTAGGGGTGGCTTCCCTCTAAACTGCCATTGACATTGACAGAACAAATTGTGATGGTAATTTTGAGGATGAAGCTTCAATGGCCCCCGCAATAGGTTGCATACACAGTGGTGTTCACGCAAGGGGTCCCTAGGAGAAACAAAAGCGCATCAGGGGCAACCATGGGCAATTGTCTCCCTATGGTTCCTTAGCTGCTAAAGTCTTGGGTAAGCAGCCCCACACAAGGTCTGAACAAATCGGCAATCAAACTACCCACACAGGGTCTGGACAAATCGGACAAACCATACCCACCCCTTGTTGAAACTGAACAAACTGCAACCTCGCAAACTAATCCTGATGCAAATTGTTATCTTTACAAACCAGTATGAGCATTTAAAAAGAAACACATGAACAAGTGATTGACTACGCAGTGAATTCATATGTATACATGATTTGCATCCATGCAATACAACTGGCCATTTCACACCCAGATTCCCATCACTGCCCCAGCTGGGGTACCAGGTGTCAGCGCCCTCATAAGCAGCAAATCGACCAGTGAATTCCACCTTGCCGCAAACACGAAAACTCACGGCGCCGTCTTTGAAGGGCATTTTTGGAGGCTACCAAGAAGAAATCGCCACCCCAAAAGCTCTGTACGCCTAGTTATCCAGCCGGACATTTGCTTGCATGTTTGACTCAAATGGAATATGCATGAGACGAGCCTCGCTCAAACTACATAAGCCGTCAGCCACAGTCGAGATACACCGTTGCTCCTATGGACATGACAAACAAGAGAGTTTCCCTGGTTTGCGGTGGACATACAGTCACGCAGGTCTCAATGGAATTGTGACCAAGCTTCACAAAGGGACAAACAGTTCCATCATCTTCTCTAGTAGTCTATGTTCACGTTTGGAGACACGTAGCGGGGACTCACTAACAAATCTTTCCCACAAACAACATAGAGGACACACAACTTGCACATTTTCCCATGTCCATCACAGAGGCACTTGTTTTGACCATGGGTGGATTGAACCTCCACGTTCCGCGTGCCTCCGTAAACAAGGAGCTGCGCTCGAAGGGGATGTCTTCCGGGGGCTCGTTGGGCCAAATGGATGCTGCTGCCACCACCAGAAGTGGAACCACTCGACTCATGGCTCTTGAGCCCAAGAGCCGAGCGGCGACGATGCAACCCACCCAAATGCGCTGCGGGTTTCTGGAATCCCCCAAAATGGGTGTCCTGTAGATTCCCTGAAGTCACTGGACCATTCTGCTTTGTTAAATCAATGTCCCAGGCCTTGCCATTGTGGGGTCCAACTTGTTTGACAGGCATTTGGGTAAGCAGCGTGAGCCCATCAACGCAAAGCGAAATTGGACCAAAGAGGAAATGCCCAGCTTGAAGTTCAATCAGACCGCTATCAATTCTTGGGAGTGAAGGCAACCACACCAAAATCGATCACTTGTCAGGCACTCCGATTTCAGGATACCATCAAACTCCGCTCCTTCATCCTCGCTGGGTCATCATGAAGTGCGATGCCCGCCTCAGACGACATCGAGCCATGGGATCCTTGGAAACCTGAGTCATGAGTTATGGAAGAACCGCAAATTCACATCCTGCCCGACTTGAAGGCCACACAGCCTAAACTAAACACATCCGACGTGTGGTTTCTTCTGATCATCCAAGTCGAATTTCCTGGCTGACTTGCTCATGAGCAACTCCAGTGCCCCTTCCCCAAAGCTCGCTGAGGTGTCCTGGACTCGCGGTTGAATCGATCCGAGCGCTTGGCTGCATGCACCACCCAGCGCAAAGGTCCCAAGGTACCTGACCAACACGTAGGAAAACCATCCGAGCTTATCAATCACACTCTACCTGCGTGGTCTTTTCTTTTGCCGAGTGCGATCCTGAAGCGCGGATTCCTTCGCATCACAGGAAGCAAATCGCTTGTAAAAGCTTCTGGGATGCTTGTGAATTTGAGCAGCGAATGACTCAAGCCCCGATAAACTGAGTGCGCCACAGGAACATATCGGCACACACACACACGCACCAACAAAGGCTTTACCTTTCATGTTCTGGTCGCCCTACAAAGGACCATGAAATTACAAAAGGGACAAAGGGTCACCCGGCATCACCCCCTTCCCCCCGATTCCATTTTGCATAACCCAGACATTGCAGTGCTGTCTGCGCTGCGCTTGCTGCGCGGTTGGCGCACGAAGCTTTCGCAGCCTGAGGCCGACAGCTCAACCGTCGCTCCGATTGCTTGAAGGTTGTACCATGTTTGTGCGGTTCTGAAGTGAAACACACACCCAAAAAAAACACAAATATCAAATAGGCACATGCCAAAACCACCCCCCCAAGGAACAAACAAGAACATAATAAACAATATATAGATATATACGATTGATTTCATGTTGGCATCTTGCCCATACACAGTTAAAAGAAGAGGCGTCGCTAATCTTGGCACACAGGACCCCCTTTTTGCGACCCGGCTTTGAATGTCGTCTCGAATCCCGTTGCATCAGAAAGCCCCGTTCCTTGGATGTTCCATTCGCCAAGTTCGTGTCTTTGGCCAGCCTATTGGGACTTCTCACCCCCTAACAAGGTCAATCCCAAATTCACCGGGGTAGCCCCAAAGGTGAATCCCACTCCACTGAACGGGGAACTGTGGATGGACGAAAATCTGCACCACTCTGGATCCATAGGAATCCATTGTTTGTTGGTATTTACAAGGAAATCCTCATTCTCAGGTTTCTGAGCAGTGGTGCGAAATGGATTTCGCAACCATCCACAGTATTTCAGTGGCTTACCGAACTCTTACCGCTGCAACGAACTTGGCCTGGCGCAGCCGAACAGCCGACTCAGACCCCGGCAGTGCGGCAACCTGCTCCTCGTCTGCCACATCACAGGCCTCGCAAAAAGAAGAAGACAAAAAAAGCTGACGGCGTTTCTTTGGCGTCCGTTTTGGGGGGTGACTGGTCGGTTCCATTCGGAAATTCTGGACAACCCCCCCTATTCTGGAAGGAAACCTGTTCTAAGTGGCCGGGTTCCAAGGTGCCGCCTTCATACAAGCCAACCGCCCCACAAATGGACCAAACTGGAGATGATCTGTGTTCTTTCCTTTGGGTTTAAACTGACTAAGTTGATCATTTTGAGAGGCATAGCTCAACCAAGCCATGGGTAACTGGGGTCAGTTCCCCATGGCTAAGTGAACATCCAAGCGGCCAAAAGGCGGCGCCGATCAATGGCCGGAAACTCAATCACACCTGATCCATGGTGTGCGGGGCTCCCTTCCCGTTTCCACTGAAAAAGCATCCAGAGCCTCAATGAGACTGAGGTCGGATTTCATGGGATCGCAAACAGAGATGGCCGCAACGGCTTGCTCCATCAGCCAAGATGCTCTCCAAGGGAAGCCAGGGCACAGCTGTGACCATGGGACACAATGGAGGCATGGGAACCCCTTTCCAAAAACGGAAAACGCGGCACCGCCAGAGCTCAGGGACTTTGCTTGATTTGGCAGTTGCTCCAAACACCTGCCTTGAAACGCATACATGGCGCTGGGATTCAACAACTTGTGGCTTTCCTTTTGGCTTCCCCCTAAACCTCAAATAGGCACCCTCCAAACTCCAAACACCACAAACCCATCAATACTGGCCCACACTCTTTGCTTTACAAGAAGGTACAGAATCGTCAGAAGAGCGCTAGGAACTCTGCGTCGCCTCACAATCGGACCCTCTTGACTTGCTACCTCTCAATTGTACAATTGTAACACAAAACGACAAATCCGCCGACCCCTTTCTCCAAAAAGGGGGCGCATGGGAAGGGTTTGTCTTCGTCCTTGTCTTAGTGATCATGTATACATCACCACTGATGCTGGTTGATGGTTCGCAGCATCCGGATCATCATCATTCTTCTGCTTCATGGACGTTTCAAGTGTGCCGTCAGATCCGACTGGGAATGCAAAGGATGCGTAGTCATGATTGTCATGATAACTGCTGCTGATGCTGGGGGATGCATAGTGATGATTATCAGCAGGATGTTGTCACGGGTGCTAATTTGCATCATCAGGATCATCATTGTCGTACGTGTCGAGTGTGCTGATATGTCACGAGAACTGCTGCTGATGCTGGGGATGCATAGTGATGATTATCACCAGGACGTTGTCGCGGTATGCTGAGGATGCGTAGTGATGATTATCATAAGCATCATCATCATGACCCGACTTGACATGATGCAAAGTGACGATTTTCATCATGACTGCTGGCGATGCTGCGGATGCATAGTGATGATTGTCATCGTCACTGATCACTGATGTTGGGTGATGATTTGCTTCAGCAGGATCATCATCATTATCGTGTGCTCTTCTGTTTCATTTGCGTTTCAATTGTGCCGTTTGACCGGACTTGAGATGCAGGGGATGCGTAGTCATGATTGTCATAATAACTGATGGTGATCCCGGGGTGCATAGTCCATTATCATCATCATCATCATCATCATCATCTGATTGCATCCCGAGGTGTTTCTAACGGCTTACTTCTCGCGAAGACCAAGTCCACGCCTTGCATCCACAGCAATACAACGAAGTATTGCGAACAAAATAAAGTCCCCCCAGCATGGTTTTCCTGCCCGAGTTTCCATATACCGGGGGGACTTCTTTTAAAATCCAACAAGGTGCTCAATATCATGCGAATTAATCCTGCAGTAGCTTGTTTGAGATGCAGGGAATGCGTCGTCATAATTATCATGACAATTGCTGGTGATGCTAAAAATGCAGAGTAACAACTATCATCATAGCTGCTGGCGACAATGCGAATGTCACAAGTATCAGCGTCCCTAATGTTGGGTACTAATTTGATGCTTTCAGAGTGCCGTTAGACCCGACAAAAAATGCATAGTCATAATTGTCACGACGGCCCCAGTCAGCAAGCCGGGGTCGGCAGCAGGGCGGCAGCCTGTAAATTTGCAACCATTCTGCATGGATCTGATTTGTGTTGCATGTGTTCTGGCTTTCTAGCACTAACGACCACATTGTCACAACGGTACGGTTCTGTGAAGGCCTTGAACACCATGTTGAATGCCTTTTGAACGCCTCTTGAACGCGTTTTGGGCTGAAAGGGTTTAGAACGGTTTGGAACGGTCCCGAACGGGCAAAGTAGCACCGGGAGTACAATTGTAACAACAGTGGTCAAATTTTGCGAGCTTGTCATAATTGTACCAATAAGGGCATACCAGGTACCATATGGTTCAGTCTGGAGGGGCCCAGGCGTTTGACAAAAATCTGGGATCGTTGATTTGAGAACAACAACATGATTTTGTGTCTGCCTTTGGGGAACAAGGTTGCTCTTGTTCTCTCTGGTGTTCGCTTTGTTTTCTTCGTTTCTTTGTTTTTTTTTGGGGGGGTGTTCCATGTGAATTGATGATGGAAAGGACCCCTGGTGCTAGATAGTATATCGTTTACACAATCCGTGCCCGGTTGGTTTCCCCTTTGTAACATGAATGCACCGAGGCGTCCCTATGTATGTTGCAAGTGAACCGGGACAACCACAAGCTTAAAGTATTGAAGCCCTGGCATATTTGGGTATGGTTCCCCTTGCAGAAAAACGGGCATTCCCTGCCGCAAATACTGTCATTTGCTTGAGCTCCCAGTGATAGGTTCCCTTTAAAACCATCCAAGCCGCTGAAACAACAGTTTGCAAAAGCTGCTTGTCATATCTCAGTGGATCCCAGGTACTAGGTAACCAACAACTTCTCTTTTGGGTTTTGAAGGGCGGCAAGCCCATCTGGGAAAGATAAAACATATTAATTTCAGAAAGTGGCAGATTGCCGCACCCAAAGGGTATTCATCATGAAATGCATAGCTAATATGAGAACTGGTTGATGAAACACCAGAAACTGGTTGATCAACCCAATCTGAAGCAAATGGAATAAAAGTAGCACAGCCAGCTGCCCCGATCAAGCACGGCTCTCTCCTCCAGCACCACTTCAGCACGCTGCTGCAGCCTTGCCAGCCTAGGAATGGAGAGTTCTGAAGGCCGTTGGCTGTTGACAGGGGTCACTGGATTGTGCCTTAACCTGCCACTTTTGGAGGCCAAAACGGAACGCAGGAAACTTTGGTTGAAGCTGCCGTTTTCTGAAAGAATCTAGTTTGCACGTGCGGCATGCATCCCGAGTGGCAGGATCTCGTTCGGGTTGTTGAAGAGCGTGGAAAATGCCATCAGAACAGATCCAAAGCGCAGAGACAGTGACTCAGTTGCCCCTCAGAGACCTGGAAATACAAGGTTCACCTGTTGGGGCCATGACTCAAAACGGTTGCCAAAAAGGGCCAACTGAAAGGTCATGCCAGGTCGATTCGCGTTCGGCAAGTGAGATGATCTAATTGACTACTTCGCGGTCTGGAAATTTGTCTGCCCCAACGAGTTGGGCATCTTTGGGGCCCTGGCGAAAAAAACCCTTTTTGAGTTCACGAAAATCTCGGCCAACTTCTCGCCGACAAATCGGCTCACGCATGTTGCTTGAAAATCCCCAAGTCTTCACCCCTCGGAAAACGTGCCACACTTGGATGTTCGTTGCCAAGTTAGTAAGTGGAAAACTGCTTGGGATTTGTCATCCCCGGGCCACAACACTAAACCACCGACAAGTGGGTTAACAATAGCTAGGGGGACTGGGTTATAAGTTATAACCTAGATCGCTAACCTACTACACTCCCTCAAATTAACATAAAAGCTCCCAGAAGGCCTGTGTAAATGTAACCAAGCAATCCCAAAAAGTCCCTGGGAGCTTCCATGGAACTGCTTCCCCGCTAAAAGTTCAACTTTTAGTGGTTTAATACTGAAAACCCATTCGTTCGCAAAAAGTTGAAGTCCTAACATGCAAGCGAGATACACCACAGTAGCCATTGCAACCATAGTACACTGTCTCATCGACCTGCTTGGCTTTCCTCTCAAGCAACCCCAACAAGGTAATAGGGATTCTAAGAAGATCCCGCCCCCGCGGGACCCCCCCGCAGGCCGCCCCCCCGCGATTTCCGCCGCGCCTCCGCGGCAGTTCCCCCGGGGCGGTCGCCGAAATGCGGCCCGAGCGGGAGCACAGCACCAGGCGGCGCACGCCAGCGTCCACCAGGGCCTGGCACACCGACCACGCGTCTTTTGGCCTCCATTTAATAACTTCACCTTGTGGAGTATATATGGGTGCAACAAAAACCGCTTGGAAAGGGTGGCAAAATGCGGTTCTTGCACCAGTGCTGCTGTGGATGGTGGCCAAATCCTACACCTACCACACCCTGGAATGATGATTTCCCTGTAAACACCAACAAACAAAAGTTCTAGCCGTGGTTTTCAAGGATGGTTACGAAGTCCATTGCGCCTGGCTTCTGATTCGAGTACCCAGCGTCAATACCAACAAACAACGGATTCAAGCATGGCTTCAAAGTTGTGTTCGTCCATCCACAGCATTAGTGCATGTGTATACTGTAATGTGTATATATATATATACATCTGTATATATATATATATCTTAATACATGTCATAATAAATTAAATGGTGGGGCGTGAGTAGCACATTTACACACATTTACAACACATGTACACATACACATGTTGAAAGCTTCAATGCGCATAATGCATGTATGTGCACATGTAGCACATATATATATATATATTATGCATATCAATGTAGACAGGCCTGATTCGCTGGCCCTCATATCGACATGCTTGAAACAGGTTTTGTTGAATGCTTGTCGAGTCACCTCTCTCGCACTCACGGATAGCCAGTTTGAGCATCGAATCAGGACCATCAGAATAGAAAGGTGAATGGAAACGCCAAACGCATGATGCGAATGACAAATCAGGCGCTGGGTCAATTGAAGCGGCAACCCCAAAACTGAAAGGCAAACAGCAGAAGACAACAGAAGAAGACCCCAACATGCAAGCTCTTTCAGGGGCCAATGCACCAAACGGTGTCGGGGAAAAGCAAACAAACCGAAGCAGCTGGGAGCGCCCGGTGCCGCCCCCCCCCCCCCCCGTTTTGCGACGTCCTGCAGAGTAATATCTCTTTCCTGAACGAATGGGCAAAAAGTCCGAACTGGCTGTGGGTGAAAAATAGGTACCCCAAATGGAACCTTATATGGAAACATGGACTAAAACCTGCGGTCCCCTAGGGGGGTGATTTTGACCCACACCCAACTCGTTGTATGCCTATATGGGGGCTAAGTAGCGCATTCTGGGCATAATTATGGAGAATCATATGGACATCTGGCACCCAAAAGTGACGCCAGCAACTCAGGGACTCAGGGAGTGGTTGATAAGGGTTTGATGAGACCCACATTGCATCCACGGGCTTCGGGGCGAAATCAATAACAGTTTGCGCGCTTTCTTCCCAGTTGATGCTAAAGGGTTTAACCCCTCCAAAACAACAACCGAACAACTAAAAAAAAAAACATTTTCGTTAAAACTCATTCCCTCCAAAAACAAACGGAGAAAAACACAAAACGAAATGAACAAAACGGATTCCTAAAACGAAACGAAACCAACACAACAAAAAACGGGATTCCTCCAGAAAGAAGGAACCAAACAGCGGGGATTGGCCCCGCTCACGACGGTCCCGCGTCTTCGTTCGCCTCGGCCGTGGTGATGCCAAGACCGCCCGTGCCGCCGGTGAGCAGCGCCACGCCGTCGCGGTCGGAAGCTTCGGAGCGGCCTATCGATTGGGGAACGGGCCACATGCCTACCGAGTCGAAGTCAAAACCTGGATCGCCAGTTGCGATCGCTTTTTTCCATGCGCTTTACCCCAAAAACCAGCAAACAGTGACTGAAAAAAGCAGCAACTAGGCTATCCAGGAACCTGGCATTGAAATGGCCTACCCAAACCTAGTACATTGTGGCTCAACAAAGGGTAAATGTCAGGAAAACAACCGCTCCATTACCAACGGATCGTGTTGTTTCTCTGATTTTGCAATAACCCACTGCACTAGTACCAAAAGAAAGCGTCTGAATACAGAAAAGGAGGTTCTTAATGTTATTTGGATTCACTGCCTAAAAGCAAACGAGCACCTGGACCATGGAAATTATCTCTCTCTCTCTCTATATATATATCGAAGTGGTTGATTTCCGTCCATCAATGATCACCTTACAGGAGATTGCCCAATAATATCACAATACGTGGAATTCAACCCAACACACTCTACCTCAGCAGAGATCCCCGTCTGAGACTAAGTCATCCTTGCCTTGCTTGGCGGGGCGCCGTCGGCACACGTCCAACCTGGGGCCCGATTTCGTTGCCATTGTCACCCAAACTCTTAAGGCGGTGCATTCGTAATCCTTTACTTCCGTCTTTCAGTGAGTCCATCCATGGGAGAAGTTCGGAATTCAAGCATGTAGTTCAAATCCGATGCCTAATGCCATGATGACGAACTCATCTTGTCAATCTGAGCGGAATGTCGTGCCGTTTGATTCGGAATGTCGTACCGTTTGATTTGGTTCGGACCGCCCATTCTTAAACTTCTACTTCGAGGCTGGCTCAGGTAAACGAGCCCAATTTCATGGAGGGAGGAATCCTCGGCCCGGGGGAAGAACCGCTCCCTTTATGTGATTTGCCAAAGTGGTGCGCTGCCATCTTCATGGCTACTTTAAACGGGGGCTGCCTTGATGCGGCAACCTAAACCCCATTCCCACAAGAGCTCCGTTCATAATCGCGATGCCCTACAAAGACAAGGGATGGAAGGCTGATAAGAATGCGGTTCGCGTTGGATTGATGAGGTTACCCCCATATACCTTTGTTTGGCTTTCAAGGGAACCCTGGATGAGTCAACCCGTCCCATCAAATAGTGCAGTGGGATGTTCCCTCCAAAAGTGATGACTCCTCACATTTAGCGGATACACCGGATCAAAATCAAACACAGGGGTTCCCATCAAAGAGAAATCAAAAGTGGAAAATCTGACAACAAAAAACACCAGATCCGGATTTCCGGATTCTGAGACGGTGGCTTTGGATAGTACCTCCGGTTCTTGCGGTAGGCCACCTGGTCCGAAGGTGGCATCCGAAAGGTTCTTGTCTTGCCCGATTTGTTTTTCACGGGTGGATGAGAAATAAGCAAACACTCAACCTGTGCATTGTCCACTAAGATGGTCTTTCCACAAAGCTTTGAGTCCAGGGACTCAGGAAGTGGGTAGACACACCTGAACATCACCTATGTAAACTGTTGGTATTTTCTTGGTATCTGTGTTGAACCATGTCTCAGCCAAACACTCGATCCCTTCCTGAGTGGATTGGTCAGAACAAGCCCATATTTTCTGCTTACCCCTAAAATACGCGTCCAAACAAATCAAGCCTGCGAAATAGAAGCTCAACAGATTCTCCGGGTGATTTGCAACTGTGCTGCAAACCTTGATTTCCCAAAAAGTTAAAGTCTAATCCAACCCAATAGCAGTCAGGAGCCAGGCTTTGGATCCTAAATGACTCAGCTTCGAAGGGTGGTTTGGAGCTGGAGTCTCAACCAGATTCAGATCCAAATCCAGACATCCAAACCACCCACTGTGATCTTCCGGGTTTGGTGAGGCAAAGCAGTCGTCTCCTGGAAATAGGGTGTATTACCACTGGGTTTGTGCTTGATGAAAGCAAGAGGAACCCAGCCCTATTGGGGTCTTGCTGGTATTGGATATCAACACAAACTACTTTTGAGGTGGTTCCCCAAGAAAATGTATAGCCACAAAAGCTGCGCCTTGAAATAAGGAACCCCCACCCCCCCAAAATCCAGAAGCAGCTGGTTCCCCTTTGGTTTCCCTTCACACCAACCCCAAAGAAGGGGTACCGACATGTGGCTGTGGCTCAAAAAATGGCACGCAAAATGGCACCTTTGTAAATGGAACCAAAGACTAAAACCTGCGTAGCCCTAGCTCTTGACAATTTTGAGCCACAGCCGTGTACCGACAGACCAGCCAAAGGCGACACACCGTGACTCAACTCTCCGTCCTCCCGGCCAGCGGAGGCCCTGGCAGGAAAAAAGTCGTCTCATGGGGCTCTGATCTCACTTGAGGGATTTTGTGTTACACCCTGGGATTACACCCTTGAAACATGACCCAGAATGGTTTGTAAAAAATCGCACGGTGATAAATCCGGACATGTGCCTTGGGGTCAATACCCAGTGGGTGTATTCCGAGCTTGCTCCTCTTCGTTCGGGACCAGATAGAAGCTTAGCCAACCTTTTGCCGTGAATCTCAGGCTTGAGAGGACACAATCAATGATGTAACATCGAATGTAGGAAAGGTGATCACTTTTGGGGGCACTAATGGAGCAATTCACATTGGAAAACCTTTGGGGGTCACCAAAAGATCGTTTCAGGGCGATTCGCCTCGCAGCTGAGAAACAGCCATCAAACCTAGGGGCAACCTCGAAAAAGACCCCCTTTTTTGTGAGGCAGAGCTGCAAGGAGAGAAATGGGTGATCATAACGCAACTCAAATGGCTGGGCAACTTGCAATGCACTCGGCACATTTCGTACACAACGGGGATTCCACTCTATTCTGAACAAAGAGTTAGCTCACCGTTCACCTGTATGAGTTCAGGGCCCTCCAAGTTGGAGAGCTTCATTCTGGGCGAGCGCGCGCTTCTGTTTGGGTCTTGTGCAGACCTTTGATGGCAAGCGCGCCATGGTCCTCCGCGAAACCAAGCAGCAAAGACTCTTGTACAAGGCCTGTAGAGCTTTCTCTTTCATAGGGGTATCTTCCCCTGGCATTCTGATCCTTCGGGATCCTTTGGGATCCTTCAGGATCGTTCTTAATTCCCCAACAGCTGAAAGTTTTGGGGTCTCAGCCCAGATAGGTTCCGGGGTGGTCCGGGGCAGCCCTGAGGTAAGGTTCCACGAGGGTTCCACCAGGGTTCCACCAGGGTTCCACCAGGCAGGGTTCCACCAGGTTCTGCGAGGGCTGCGGGGTGGTGCGAGCACTAAAGAGAGCACGGCTTGCTGTTGGGGATATCACCTGAGATTATGAACAACCCCAAAACCCGGAAGGAAACGGCTGGTTCTGACAAAAACAAAGATGAATGGTGACTGGGCGGCCTTACCCTTTCGGACCAAAACAGTGGGGGAAGAGGGTGCCACTGAATGTGGCAAGCCTCCAGTCCAGAAAGGGGCAGGGTTCGTTTGTTACAGACTTGTTCAGCAGCTCTCTTGTCAGAGACATGCATTAAGTCTAGCTAGCGGTTTGCTAAACAAATGGAATCCTGCGCACTCTTGGCCGCTGAAACCACTGGGTGGTTGCACAAGGCAACCCAAAAGCCCATTTGGACATGAGGAGCTGTCTGTTTTTTGTTCCCCAACAGCTGGAAGCTTTGGGGTCTCAGCCCAGACAGGCTCCGGGGGGGTCCAGGGCGACCCTGAGGTAAGGTTCCACGAGGGTTCCACCAGGGTTCCACGAGGGCTGCGGGGTGGTGCGAGCACTAAAAGAGCAACGCATGCTGGGGATATAACCTGCTTATTTTTTTGCCAAACGGGGCGGGACCCCACTGAGCAGCTCTCAGCTGGCCCATCTTTGGCTCTACCAAGATGCCAAAAACCTCACTTGCCCAGTGACCTAGAAATCAAAGGTGATCACCAAAAGGGGTGACGCAAACATGACCAAACCGGGGAAATCAAAGATCGGTGAAATCAAAAGGTCGATTCGCTGCTGATCCAACAACCACCCACTCCAACACACCATAAGTCTCCACCTCAACTCCACCCCAACCCCAACTCTAGCCCAACTTTGGGTTGCAACCCATCAAACCGAACAATAGAAGCCCGAAGCATCTCGAGTGGCGCAAGCCAGCCGGCAGCGCACACCCTGGGAGGCGTCGAGGCTCAGCTCCAACCTCAGCTACGCCAAGCATACCTCAAAGGGGTTCCGAGCAAAGGGGAACTTCTGCCAAGATGGACAAGAAAAGCTGATAAAAGCTGAAACCCTGCCGACCACAGCGGATAGCAAACAGAAAAGCAGGATGGTCGTCCGGCCACTTAACTCATCGGCTCGGGTCACTCAGAATTTCAAAACCCTTGACTACCTCTGGTCGTGGAAAGTCAACCAAAACGGTGCCAATGTGGTTGATCCCCATCTCCTCCCCATGATTTCCGCCGGTTTCAAAAGCGCTCACTTGCAAAGGACGGCCAGTTTTGCCAGTGGCGTCTTGCTCCTTCTTTGGGGGGGGAGGTCCGCTCATTGGGCTCGTTTGGTCAATGTGCGAAACAAATCGCCTCTTCCTCAGTTGGCCGAAAGGCCAACTGAAAATAACAGATTACCCTCTGGAACCTAGGACTAAATGACTAAATGACCAAATCATTCGAAAACCAACAACTTAGATCCGGTCGATTTGCTTCCAGTATCTGTTGAGTTAGTGTTACTACAATGGTTCAAACCTCCCCAAAAAACAACTTGTCTAAAGTCCAAAACACTGCGGGGGACTGAGCATCTCTCTCCCCCCCCCCCCCCAACGTTCTTCGCGTCCCACGCCACCCGAGCGCGGCGCTCGTCGCGGATCTGCGCCTCCAAGTCCGAGGCCCGGCCGGGCCTCGGACGCGGCGGGACCCGGCGGCGCGCGCGGCGTGCGAGGCCCCGCCGGATGGGGTGGCGTCGGGATGGGTGCTAAAAGGCCCCCAAAAAGGGTACTGTGATGTAGAAAATCGCTTGAAGGCTTGAAGACCATCCAGTTAATAGGCTCCAAAAAGGGGTGATGTAAACAAACAAATGCATCTTGTTGCTGGCCTGTAAAGGCTTGAAGAGAATCACGATGGGTGTTAAAAGGCCTCCAGAAGGGAACTGGTGTACTGGTGTACTGGCATCCCCACTACCACTGACAACACACCCACCATGGCATTTTAGGATCTTGCGGATTGGAACATATTTGGTGAAACCGGGTTGGCGACATCCATCCGACGCTCTCTCGTGCCCGTGAAGACATGTTCGAATAGACGGGTTCAAGAATCCAAAGACTGGGAGCTGCGCTTGCCCAGGGCGTCTGTGTCGATGTGCAGAATGGGTATCTGCAAACCAAATGGCTCGAAATCCCCATGCCGTGTGGATGCACGACGAAGTCCACACAATCCAGGCATCAGAGATGGACGACACTCGGCTTGACTACTCGGCGTCTTCGTTGGCAGACAGGGTGCCTTACAAAATGTGCGGATCCTCTTGGGCGAAGGTTGTCCTTAAGCTTCTCTTCGGCTTCCCACAGGCTGCCCCGCCCCGCAACTCAAGAACTGAGGAAGGTGGCTGCAGGAAGGGTTGCCCGAATTGGAATCGGTCCTCAAAGCAGTGGGCTTCCTGCTTTCCCTTTAAATATCAACCAACAGGGGGGCCATTTGGCCAATGTCCCAAAACAGGGCCACCGAGAAACTCCCCCCCCCCCCCGTGCAGCCTGGGGCGCTTCGATACGGAAGCACCGGAACATCCCCCGCACCATGGAGGCCGCCGGCATGCCGAACCTGAGGCAACCCATTGACTTCTCCGGCTCTACGTAGAGTCTCCATGACCCCTAGAAAAAGGGGTGATAACCCTCAATTTTGGGTAATGACCCCATTTTTAAAGGGCGTGTGGTGCTTGAGATGGTACCCGGAGCCTTTTGGAGGATGTCCTCTTTTTGTGGGGATGGATGATGTCTTGGGTTTTTCTGTTTTGTTTGGAAACGAAAGGGGGAGACCACCGATTTCAGGTCATGGAGACTCCACGAACTTGTTGGTTCCATTTGTGGCCGTACGAAAAAAGCCCTAAACCAGGTAGGAACCGCGAACCTGCTAAAATGGCCAACAAGGGGTTGGGGCCAGCTTGGTGCCACTTGTGTAGGCCCTACTAAAAACGCCCTAAACCAGGTAGGAACCGAGCTGCCAAAATTGCCAAGGGGTTGGGTCAGCTGAGAAATGTGAAATGCTCTCGGGTTTCTCTATGCATTTGGGGATGTGAAAAGACGAGCTCTGAGGCCAGAATGGCTCGGCTGGAAGTGGCCCGGACGTCTGGAGTTTGGAGGCTTAAGACCATGGAACCCTCAAGCTAACTTTACATTGATCTTAACCCACAATTCTGGGACGTTTGCCCATAGTGGTAGGTCAAGGTAGTTGAACTAAGTAAGCCATTGGCTGAACACATCTGAACACCTACTTGGCACCCACTAGTGGTTGACCCTCTTGCACAGGGCACTGTGAACACCGAAAGCTGCTTTCCTTCCAAGCAGAAGCTCTGCGGCCCTATGAGTTGGTTTTGGTTTGTAGCAGTTTTTTGTCTGCTTTGGATTTCACTTTTATTTTTCTTTTTTTTGCGTTAGGTCCGTTGAGTGGTAACCCCACTCTGCCAAAAAACCAACAAAACGCCGCTGTCTATCGATCGTTGGATCCCATGGGCCCATGGCCCGTCATTCCGCGCGCCAGCGCCGCTCGGCCCGTTGGCGCCGCAGGTCAACGCCACAATCCGGCAGGAGGAAACGGCCTCGGCTGCGACGGGCGTGTAAGAAATGGCCTTCGTTGGGTCTTCAGGTCGGTTAGGTTCAACTTTGGACTTCTGCTCTGCAAATCATGGAACAAGGCTCTTCATGTGATGGCATCTTGCAAGGGAAAGGAGGGTGTCTTGCTGGTTGTGGAAAACAATGTCCCCTTCTGACAGTGGCAAGTGCTTGATTCTCAGCGCCCACAATTTATCGCTGACATGGGGACTTACTTCCCCAAGGATATCGCAGAAAGTGGCCATTTCTCACATCAAAGGGGCTTTCCCTGAACCAAAGGCTTGGCCCTATTAAGGACATGTTGTTGACACACACCAAGTTGGCTGGTTGCTCCCTTGCCTTCGGCGCCCCCTGATTTTTGGAAAGCCCCGATTGGGCTACGATAATTTTCAGGACCGCGGCTGCTTGGCAGGTCGGACTCCCCCCGTGCACCCAAATTCTGCTTCACTCAAACAAGGTGGTTTGGTGGTTCAGGGATGGTTTTCAACGAATCTACAGGTTCAAATTTCCAAAGTACTAATCCAAGCTGTTGGGGATAAGCTGACAAATAAGTAAGCATGTCAGAAGGCAACCTAGTGGCACTTTGAGAAACATGCGGAACATGGGCGAACCAAGCGGTTTTCAAGCCCGCCTGAGCGAGAGAACACCTACCAAATGTCTAGCTGTAAAGACACTCTCTTTAGAGATCCTTCTCCGAACATGGACATCCTGAGAAATGTGTGCTGAAAGAGAACGATAGGCGCAAAACATAAACAACAAAAAATCATGGAACCAAACAGGGCCCGGCCAACCAAACTTTGGTGTGGCTTTCCTTGGAAGGGAAATGACCAGCGTTGCCGGAAACTCATGACCGGCTGCGCTGCTTTGCTCTGGGCGTCCAGCTTTCTTGAGCTCCATAAGAAAGTGCCACACCTCCCCGCTAGAGAAAGCATTGACATACTGTGGGTGGACGAAATCCATTTCGCATCACCTAAGAAACCCTGGAATGATGATTCCTCTGTAAATGCCAACGAGCTGGTTCCAGAGTGGTGCAAGATTTCGTCCACAGTAGGCATGACCCTTGCACCAAGTTACACTAGGTGATACAAGCTTAGATGATAGAGGGCCTTTTAAAGGAAGGCTGCAACGTCGAGAAGTCCGGACCACTGCAGTTGCTGATTGGGCAAATGGCATTTTTGCTGTAGCAAAGACCGGGCCGAATCGGCTTGATCAGGTTGTCAAACATACAGGCCTTATGCGGCATGACATTTAATGGCCATGGGTCAAAATCCCGTACCCCCCGGTGAACATCCCAATCCCCACTAAAATAGACTAGCGCACCTACCCCAAAATGGGATCCCATTGATTTTGACAACCCCAGCCATTTCGTGCGGAAAGGGGAGGAGTCCGGAAGGAGTCTCTGGGACCCAGAAGGGTCTTGCCAGACCATGCAACTCCCCCGGGCGCAGCGCAACAGGTGGACATCTCATGGCGCTTACTTGGGACCCTGTGGGCGGGCACCGGTTTGGAGGGTACTTCCGACTTCCAACCAAGCAGATTCTGATTTAGACCCCAACAAACTGCTGGCGGTTTAAATGTTTTTTCCTTTGAACACCAAAGCGCCTCGAATGCTTGGAACGTTGTGTGAGCTCACAATATAGAGGGTTTGATCTTTAGCCTGAGGCACTTAGATTCATTGCTGCCCCCTCAAACTACCAACAAAACAAGCATGACATTGCCCAAAAAACATGGGATTGTTTCACATGTTCAATTTATAGGTATGTAGTTTCAGGGTTTCCACCAACAAACCCAACCCAACCAACCAACCACCCAACGAACCACCCAACCAACCAAGCAACCACTAATTAACCAACCACCAACCAACCAACCAACCAACCCAGCCAGCCAGCCAACAACCAACCAACCAACCACCCAACCAACCAAGCAACCACAAATTAACCAACCAACAACCAACCAACCAACCAACCAATCCCGCCAGCCCGCCAACAACCAACCACCAACCAACCAACCAACCAACCAACCAGCCAGCCAACAACCAACCAACCAACCAACCAACCAACCAACCAACCAACCAACCAACCAACCAACCAACCAACCAACCAACCAACCAACCAACCAAAAGAAGCCACTAATTAACCAACCACCAACCAACCGGCCAACCCAACCAGCCAGCCAACAACCAACCAACCAAACAACCACTTATTAACCAACCACCAACCAACCAACCAACCAAGCAACCAACCAAGCAACCCCTTTGATCGCTCACCCTCACTCGCGCTCGCCTCAATGGGCAGCTGAGATAAGGTCTTGCAGCTCCGGACCTTCCGATCCAAAGGCTCTCAACTCAGCTCCTGGGACCCACAACCCTCGCTATGGACTTGCAACAAACACGTCCTATTTTTTGCACCCCCAGAAATCTGAAACGAACAGAACCAAACAAAACAAAAAACACAACAACTTCAAGGACTGTGAAGATAAGGCAGACCTTTTGGGTGGCTTCTCAATCAAGGCCCAAGAAAACAACAAGATGAATTCCCTTTTCATTTCCATTTTGGGGACGGCTTTTTAAAGCTTCTCCCTTTTTTCCCGAAAGAACAAACCAGGAAAGGGAACCTACCAAAGCAATGACAAACCCAGAAAGGGGGTCTTGACTCTGAACCCTGCCCATACAACAGTCACAACCATTTGGAAGGCTGCGTAGTGGTTGATCCAAAAATATGTTTACACATAACCACAATGGTGGGATTCATGTGCAAACACAACTCCTGTAACCATGAGTTATTGCCCCACAATTCTGGGGTGAATTCCATTGTTCGGGGAGTGCCAAGGTCCAGGCAGACCTTTTGACATGTACATGCCTCGATTAGCTCAAAAAGGTTCAGGCGTCTTACCTTCAGGTATAAGGCCGTGCGCCCCATGCCGCCGACCATGAAAGGACCATGCGCGGACCATGCGCATACGTTTTGTGCTGGGCCTGCCCTTATAAGTGGCGAAGGATTCGCGGATTGGTTTAGGCGATTTTCGAGGATTTTTGTAGCATCTCCCCGCACTGTAAAAGGTGGGAATCTGAAAAAAAAAAAGGTTGGCCCCACCAGAGAGGCTTCCTCTTTTAAAGTTTTCCAGCGGAAACTTCTACTAGGCCGTCCAGTAGAGAGGTTAGAACCAGGCTACCCTTTTTTCTGGAACCCTCCCCCAAAAAAGGGTAAAGGGCACTGGACAAACCAAGTCTAACAGGGATCCTTACATTATAATTACACCCTGTCTAGTTATGTTTGTGGGGAGGCGGCGCTTTCGCGGGATCTGATCGAGTCGCCTCCAGCGGCAGCAGGAGCACCTCGTGCCGCATCGATGCCAGGCTCGAGCGCTTGAAGCTGAGGCGCTCCTTGCGACGACCCAACGAGGACAAGCCATCCAAATGTTGCAAATGTTACAGGAATTGTGAAGGAGGCGTCACGTTTTGCATCCACACTTAGAGGGTCAATGAACAAAGTGCTGGTTCACTGCCTTCTTCCCACACACAAACACACACACACACACACACACACACACACACACACACACACACACACACACACACACACACACACACACACACACACACACACACACACAGAGCCTATTCTGTGATTTTGTTGGCTGTGATAGCTGGTGAGTTTTGAGGCATATGCCAGAAAAGCGTGACCCTGAAAATAGCTTCACTTGCCCAAAGGACCTGGAAATAAACAGGTTTACCTCGGGGTCACGACCAATAATGGACCAACATAGGAAACCACCAGATCATGTCAGGTCGTTTCGCTTTAAACAACTGATCCTTTGGGGTCCGGTGTGGGTTTCTACCAACATAGGTTATTGAGACTTTTACAGGCCCTGCTAACCCTATCGAAACCAGTTAGGAACGTGGGCATGGCTTCTTTGATAGGATCTCTTGTACTGGTTGTCTAATGTTGGGTCCGCGACACTTACAACTGTGTGTTGGTTTACTCCTATAGTCATGACTCATGACTAAATATTGTTTTTTGGAGTACCCCACAGGAAAATAGATGAGCCTGGTAGATTATGAAACCACCAGGTCAACCATGCAACTATAGGTTCGACCAAAATCCACCAAAAAGGAGCTCTATGCAACCACAACTCCGTTCACATTCATCACTCTAAGATCTGAGGTTCGCACCTTGCACCGCAAGGGTCCCCTGAAGATGTCGTCCACTGCCACACTCCAAGTGCAACCCGGCAGCCTCGGGGCAAGCCAAGAGCCGAGGCGTGGTGCCAAGGGACCGCTGATCAATCTGATTGGGATTGATCCTTTCAAGTTCCGGGTTCAGGGCTGAACTCGTGTTTCAGAGCTCGATCCTGCTCTTCTAGAACTGTAACCAGATACCCTTGGGGCTTGCGGCTGAGTTTGGGGTTCTGGCCCTATGTTGGAGTTTACGTTGCTTTCTTTGAGACACCGCCATGTTGCAGAGCAAAACACATACACACACACACCGACACTCACAAACAAACGAAACCTGCTTCTGACCTTAGTACTCAGTCAACCCGTACGAGCAGCAGCGGAGCGGAACTCACGGACTGACCTCGCAAATGCACTCAGCGCATGGAGAAGCCTGGGGGGTCAAACCGTCGATAGCGGGGACTCGTGGAATCTCGTGGCTGCATTCCACCTTCCATGCAATGCTGCAAGCCAAAACTCATGGCCTATTAAACTAGTAAGTGGTGGCCGTATGTCCCTCATGCCAAAAGTAAAAAAAACAAAAAAAAAGCATTGCTTCACTTTCAGAAGCCTCGCTAAGGAGGCAACCTGCCAAGCTGACAAGAGAAGGGGGGGCCTTCATCTGGAGGGATGTACCCGATGTTTGCCACTTTTCCAAGAACCTTGCTTCCCCGAAAGCTGAAAGGTGACCTTTTAGGTTGCCAAAGCCCAGGTGCGACCAAAAGCGCGCCGCGCTTTAGTCTGTTTGTAGCATCCCAAGAAAATACCCAAAAAGGGCCCTTGGCAATAAGGCGAGTTCAGTCACGCGAAAACCGCAGGAATGGGAACCCCAACACCGGAAAGCAGCTTGGGGCAACCTGCAAAAAACTTGATGGCCATACAACAAAACGCGTCTCCACTTGGAAGCGAGGCCTAGGGAAACAAAAAACAATATTCTCAAACAAATGGAAGTAAGGGTCGAGCCTTGAACCAGAAACCCGAAACCCGACGAGCCAAGGCTTCGGCTGAAGCACTGCCATGTCCCAGTCCCGCGAACCTCGAGTGTTAACCGGTTTGACTCGAATGCCTCGAATCATGCACTTGGGTCACTGGATCCCCCCGTGAAGTTAGAATTTACCAGTGGTTTCATCGAAACTACCAAGTCTGGACTTTTGGAGGAATTCAGGAAGATGGAGGGATTCCTGATGGAAGCTGACGATCCGAGTTGGAAGGCGAAAGCTGTCCTTCTCGCGAAGCCACTCGTCCGCTGGGTACAACCAGCCTACCTGCCTACTGCCTGCCCAGCTGCGACCAGAGAACCATGTTTCGGTGTCCGCCCAAGGCCCGTGATTTTGCAGCTCCTTTCGGCTGACTGGTCACATCTGGGGTTCTCCTGTTTTGAGACATGGATGGCTGGTCTACTTTTGGAGGACTCTTTTTTGTGGGGTCCGATTCCCTATCTTCAGACACGCCCATATGGTCAGGAAAACTCGGCGCATCGGAGCTCCAACGATGTGCCCTCGGCCATCCGAAGCTGGGTGTACCATGTCAGTGCCTCATTTGAGCAAAGGCCCCTTCGGGTGACCAAGGGGAACCCAAAAGAGGAAACCGAAAGGAACAACGGCGAGCCAAAAGGACCCAACACAAAGGAGAAGCCCAGAGGAAAAAACCCACAGACAAAAAGCAACAAATGAAAACCAACAGGAGGTGAGCAGTTCATTTCAGCTTGCCCAGCCCTCAGCCGGGTGGGGCAGTCCCCGAGACTCAACTGACTGCGCGCCTTCCGACAGAGGAGCCGTGGCGTGCCACTGCCTAAGCTTGGGGCCCTGGCTAATTACTTGTCTCGCAATGGCCAAGGGTCAACATCCCAATCCTAACTGGTGCCATGCGAACTGGTGGGAGGGTACACCAAACTGTCCTCAAAGGCCTGTCCGGCGGCAAATGGAGCGGTTGTGGCCATGGGTCAACATCCAAATCGTACCCCCAGTGAACATCCCAATGCAACCACTAAGATAGGTTCTAAAATGACCCCTTTGGTTTTGACAACCACAGCCATCCGTCAAAAGTCACAATCGAAAGTTGGCAATCCCAGGGTGCGCCAAAAAACTAACACACACACAAAACAAAAAAACAACCTGCGAGAGTCACAGTCAGAAGGCTCGCCAGGCTGCTCGACTGCGGCTCCCTTCTCTACCCGAGCCCCGGTCCCACTTTTTCTCGGGGTCAGTTCAAGGTCTGTGGTGCCCATCTGGTGACCTTTGGCTCTATTCAAAGCCGGGATTTCGGTCTTCCGAAACAAGCTACCTCCAAAAGAACAGTACCCTCCCAACACTTCACATTGGACCTGACGTTTGGGGGTCTCTTTAAAATGGAGAAAATCCGAAAACGCCGGGATCCATGTTCATTGGTGGGAGGTGGGAGGGTAAGACACCCAGATTTCGACCCTCAAAATGATTCAGGGAAAAGAAACCTAAGACGCCCAGATTTACACCTTCAAACTGATTTACGGGAAAGGAGACCCGCCCAGATTTCGGCCCTCCCTTTCACTGCCACAGCACCTGACAGAGGCTCCCTCCAAGAGGAAATTCATCTCCTCTGGTCACCCGCGGCTCCCACTGGTGTTTTCTTTTTTGGTGGGAGGGAGGGTACCCTGCAAACATTTGGGGAAACCTCCAAAAGGCGCCCACTGCCATGTTTTTGTGGGAGGGTAATTACCCTGAACATCTTTCTGGGGGGAACGAGGGAGCCCAGCTCCAACGCGTCCGACGCCGAGCGCCGCGCCAGTCGCAGAGGCACGGAGGGTTGAACCCCAAGAGCTTCTGCAAGATCACGTCCTAGCCATCTTTCTTGGTGGCTCGTCGTCCTTTTGAGTTTTGCCCCCCCCCTATAAAAAAGAAAGACGGAAAGAAAACAACACAAATATACATACATATGTATATTCTTCTAGTGTATTGTATTTTGAGAAACGTGCATATTTAAAGCATGAAATAACAATAGCGCACTGGTCTTCCTTGTGACTTCCCTGTTTAAAACCCAGAAACCGGGCGGATCCCTCACCCAATTGACTGGGACGTTGGAAGGGCCGCCGCCTGTTTTTCTGAGACCAGAGAGTTGTCATCTGGATGGACCAAAAAATCCACGCATAGCGAGCGGCTGGCACCAGCCCCCCCCCCCCCCCGCCTACCCCCTGGTGCAGCTTGTTTAGTCCATCCACTGTATGTTCATTGAACCACAAGTCGCTCTTTCAGCTTTAGATGTACCAACTTCCGTGAGAGTTGGCTCCCACTTCTGCCACAAACCAATACCCCTTATAGAGAAATTCGTCATTGACAAGCCCCTTCCATCTTTATCACAGCAGCATCATAAAATTATCACGCTCCAAGGCTCAGAGCCTTCTTTGGGGAGCGGCTTGCCCTGATTCATATCAGCCCACAGTTAGGCCCAACTTCTGGGCACTTTGAGTCTTTGAGTCACAAAGGCACCCGAAGTCACTCCTTTCTTTGTCCTGGGGGGGACACTAGTGCTTGGAAGACCTAGCTTTGGGCTGGGCTGAAAACGCCACCAGAGGTCCAAATCAGTCCGTCTTTTTATTTTTCTACGGCAGCCTTTCTGGGGTGGGCTTAAAGGGAAACAACAGGAAACCCACCAATTGGGAGGGTTCCCTATTTTTGGGAAAACTCAAATCTGATCAACTAAAACTGCAGTTCTGGTCGAAGAGCAAACCCAAGTTGTTGATATCCTGTTTGCAATGGGAAGTGGACAGGGACTTCCATGATCAACTTGGAGAATGGATAGTTCGATGTGAAATGGTGGCCATGGATTAACCCATAAATTGTTCATGTAAGTGAACCATACACCAGAATAAAAGCGCTGCTGCACTGTAGTACATCATGCTGCCACACCATATTACAAGTGGTACGCCCCCTAAAATGCAAACACTATTGGGAAGGGTTGACCATATGGGCTCGGCCAATATCAATGGAACGCCACTTGGCACAATATGCGCTTGTTTAATACGAAACTCCACAAAGACGGAACCAAATGTGTTGTTTTCACTATTTAAAGCCACCTCCAAACAAAAACGACTGCCAAAAGAAGTCTCGAGGGTTTCCCCATCCCATTCGTTCCTCAGCGCACAAATCGAGTTCGATCGAAAAATCTGAGCCGCGCGCGCTCCAGGCGGCCGACTCAGGGTGCTGCGCCACCTGAAGTTGGGATTTTTGGGTATGGGGCTTGTTTGGAGCTCTGGGGACTAGCTACCACTTATGTAGCGGGTGAGATGTAAGCATCCATCTCCGAAAGATTGCCCAGGTATGGGGCCCATATATGGGGTTGTTGGAGCTATGAGGGCTTTAACCCACTTATAGCGGGTATATCTAAAAGACCCTAATCAAAACAAAAACACAACCATTTTGACAATTTGCTTCCCTTCAAAGGCAACCCCTGATTGCTACGTTCTGGGGTGTATCATATGTCAAAATAAGGATTTGGACCCCAAAAAGAGGGGGGGTCTTGTTGACTACCCTTGACACCATCCTATGTCAGGTCATGGTTGAGTCATGCTGATGACAAACTTCCTTGCGGATTTGCTTCAAGGGAAGTTCAACTCGTCACCCGCCCAACATGGATCCCACTTGAGGAAGGCTCCCTTCAAGTTCCGTCAGGCAGGAGGGTAGCGAATTTGGGTGTGGCTCAAAATTTAAGAGCGCCACAAAGCCTTAGTCCATGCTTTTCCATTTACCACAGCACCATTTTGGGCCCCTATGTTTGAGCCACACCCATTTGGTATTCAGGGGACCTTGTTACATCCCCATTCCCTTTCTGCGGGCCCTCGCTCAACACGAACTCGGCTTCCCTCAAAAAGGGGTGGTTTGGATAGGGGTTTCCCGCTTGCCTTCTACAAGAACCAGGGGTTAAACCCCCCAAGCCACCCATCCAAACCACCAACCACGAGACACCAAGGAACAGAACCGAGCAAAGCATACAATAAGAACGAGGACACGGCCAAATGGCCGTGTCCACTTGGATAGGTCCCGTCCAAAGAAATGGGACTCTTTGGGGAATGTCTTCACAGGGACCCTTTTTGCACACTGTCCTGTCCCAAATGGACGCAACATAGGGTTCTCACGATTGACCGGGTGAGTTGTCCTTTTGATTTTCGCAAGGTAAAAAGAGGCTTATGCACCTCAAACAAACACACACACACACACACAAAAAAAAATGGTGCCTAATTTGGTTTCCCTCAACAGAAGCAAAAACGGGCGAGCCAAGAAAGACAAGCGACATGCGCTATAATCCCACCCCCCCCCCCCCTGTGTTGCCTAGGGGTGCCCCTACTTCTCTTTGAAACATCGCCAGCGCTTAAAACCAGAATGCCGGCAGCGAGAGAGTTCTAGAGAGAGAAGTGTTACTTTTTGTTCTGCCTCCTGGATGTCTGGCGGATCTGCAGCAACCTGGCAGTCGGCGCCGGAACGATGTCTCACCCATCGACTTTGGCCAAAAGGCACCAAACCGTTTTGCCTACCGCGAAAATGCTCGAAACCCACAAAGCTCCACCTAGAGTCTCCATGATCCGTAGAGAAAGGGGTCATAACCCAATAATTTTGGGTAATGAACCCATTTTTGAAGGGTCATGGAGACTCCAGGCAAGCCCAGGAACTGACACTTAGTTCCCATCAACCCACAACACTGGCAGTGACTCAAGTCTGAAACGGAACGAACACGGGAGCGAGCTGTTTTTTGTCCAAGCTTCAGCTTTGAGGTCGATCCCGAAAATGCTCAGCTCGCCGAAAACTCGCTGTTGAGATTTTGTCTGGGCCTGTTTTTCGGTTGGGTGAAGCATATTCAGGGCTTCCAAGAAGATACATGCAAGCGATACATTCAGAGCTGGGTCTCACAGGAACAGGCAGCGTACCAGTTGGATTCCTGTTTTCTTTGCAAAAGGGCTCACATAAATAAGTGGTTCCTACTAATTCCAACCACCGGCTTTGCAAGTTCAAACTAAACCCCGTAATGCAAACGGGTACTGTGTGTAATGGAAGGGACTAATTACTCAAATGCGATTGTGGTGGACTTTAGAAACCAAGCTTAGCCAATCAGTTAGCCCCTCGGTGTACTTGCCAAATGAGCACGGAACCCAACCAATCATGTGTGCCGTGTGCTTTTGTTGAGGGCACCTCTGTTTTTTCAAGGAAACCACCTGAGTCGCCCCCCCCCCAATAAAAAGACACAGCAATGGTGTAGAGGAAGCTCCTCTTGAGGCTCCCGGACCTCAAAAGCATCGAGTTCCATCTCGCCAGGACTTCCGGTTCGTGGGTCCCGGGTTTTCTGGGCGGCGCTCATGGCTTTCCCTTTGCCGCAATAACTCAGCCCCTCCCCTGAAAGCAGAGCTCCTAAGCCTCGCGTGTTTTTTTTTGTTTTCCGGCTTCCCCTGGTTTCCCCTGGCCGGATCGATCCACCGGGACTTCCCGAAACACGCGCCGAGGTCGCGAACTCGTCGCCCCGTGGCTTTACCACCAGGCGCAGCACCTGGCATTCGAGGCGGAAGGTTCGGCACGGACCCGTGCAAAAGGCGGACGAGGCCCGTGGGCATGGAGGCGCACATGAGTTGGCTGCCCAAAAAACTTGGTAACATCCAGTTGCACTTTCGTTCTCTAGAAAATAATGAGAACATATTTCCAGTAGTGATAGAATCCCTTTGAAACCAAAAAGGGGAAAACAATATTCTTAAGCAAATGGAAGGTAGCCATGGCTTCAGCTTATAAATCCAAAAGGGGGTCACTCGGAATGGATCCGAGGCGATCGGAGGCTTGAGCATTGCTATGGTTTGAGTCTAAATCATGCAGAGAGGCCAAGAATAAAAGCTGTTGGGGTCAATGGACCCGAGAGCGGAAGCTAAAAGGCCAACGACACGAGGGTCTGTGGTGTGCTTCCGTTGATTTGCCAGGCAGTTCTGCAGGACAGTTCGCTCAAACCGGTTGAAAAGCAGGCAAGTTGGCAGGCGCTGGCGGGGGACCCTGGCTTTGTTTTGGCCCAAAGCTTTCCGTAGCCGGTGCCAGGGCCAAACCCCACCAAGACTGCGCGAGTTCAGAAGCGGTCCCCTGCCTGCTGCTTGCCGCACTCTGCCAGCAGTCCTTCACCCCTGACATCGTTCACCTGAGAGCTTACATGGCCATGGGTCAAAAGCCAAATCGTACCCCCAGTGAATGTCCCAATCCAACCACTAAAATAGGTTCTAACATGGGTGGTGAATTCACCTACCAAAATGGGATCAACCAAACCGGTTTTGACCACCACAGCCACAGAGGTCAAAGGCTCAAATCTCGATCCTTCCGGCCATAGCTTCCCGAACTACAGTCCGGAGTCCGGGCCCAGACAATGACACGTGGGTTTGTTTCGAAATCGAGGAACCCGCAAGATGGGTGGTTTTCCACTAGTTTCCCTTCAAACCTACCAACAAATTCCCCCCCCCCCCCCCCAAAAAGAATAGAAGACACATACAAGTCGTGAATCGATGTGACTCATCCCGAGGCCATGTTTGACTGCCTGTGGACCGTCGCCTTCCAGCACCAACATTGAATGCAGGTTATCCAAAATTCGAGTCCCTCTCCAGGATTCCAACGACTTTTGTGTGCCACCTTAAAAGGCGGAACAACAGGGCCAGTATCTTGATGGTCAAACTTCCATTTCATGGAAATGTTTTTCCTCGGCTTCTAGCCAAAAACAATCAGATTCAAACCTCACCTTTTGCCACCCCCAAAAATGATGGATCCAAGCTGGACCAGCATGCCACCAACAGGCTGTCTCTACCTGTACGTCTGACTTTGGCGTCGGATGTGGGCATGTCTTAATGAAGGGGATGAAGGGGACCCCCCAAAATTGTGTTTCTTCTCTTGGTTTGCCTTTAAATCCACTCAAGGCGGGGCACCCTCAAAAAGCCAGACCTATTTTCTGCTGCCAATCAAGACAACCAACCGCCTTAGTACGAGAAGGGATTAGTTTCCAGGGCTTCTGAATCACTGCGAAGCGTGTCTGAAGCCTCACACTTGGCAGTCCCTGTTCCCACCTGTGGTTTCAAACATCGCCTTTGGGCGGCAAGTTGACGTGATGTTCCTTTTGGCGCGGTGATTTTTAGAAGGCCATACGGGGGAACCCTGCTTGATGGGGGACCTCCCATTCTCTGGTAAGGCAGAGCATCACTATGATTCGAGCTGAGTGCCCTGCTTTCACAATCCGATCACCTGCACCTGTTCGAGTCTCAGAAAACAAGCTGCTTCGAGTCTCAGAAAACAAGCTGCTGGTTCTCAGATTTGAGTGAGTTTGTCCTTAAGGAAATCTTCCAACGGGGGGGTCCTTTAAAAGAACCGTTCATCCTCAAAACCCTTGTGATTCCACAATGAAAATGAACCCAAATCCCGAGCTTTGGCATGGGCAAGGCGTTCCTTGCTTCCTGAATGAGACCTTGTAGAACAACAATCGAAACCCTTTCCGGGGGAAGTACCTGCGACCCCCCCCCCAACAACCCAAGGGAAGGAGGAGAAAACAGTCCACAGCACATCGAGCTCGCCATGAGTTTGCTTTCACTCCCGGCGGCAGCGGAACAAAACAAGACGTGACATGGTCCGAGTTGAAGAATCCTAGAGCCAATTTCTTAGAACTCATTTAGGGTCATCCAACTTGTGACGTTTCATGAATATTGCTCAAACAGTGGAATCCATGAGCTAGTCAGTAATGTGCACTCGACACATCAGTTTTCCATTCCCATTACCCACACGGGCCAAAATTGCATCCCTCGTTCTTCCCTGGTCTAAGGAGGTCATTTGAGCAATCACTACACCTTATAACTCGCAACTAACATGAAGCAAAGCTTCCATTTGCTTAAGCCCCCTGGAAAAGTATTTCCAGTAGTGATAAATTCCCTTTCAAACCAACCGGGGGAATAAACCAATATGATCCAATATGCATTTAATGGAAGAAAGCCCTGGCGCGAAAGGAACCTTCTTCATGGCTGAGCTTTACCGCTGGCGAGGCCCTGGCTCACAGCCGCCTCCGGTGCTGCCGTGTTCCAGTCCTGGCGCTCTGTTTTTGGAGCCGGGTGAGTTGGGATGCAGACATCGCCGCTCCAGGACCCTCGAACAACCCATACACAAGCGAATTAACTTCATAAGCTTGGGGCCAATAACCAATTTTGGGGGGGGAATTTGGAGGGTCCAGATACACAGAACACACCTATGTTCAGGTTGAGTCTCCTAATACTCTACCCCAAAATAGAACTGTTCCACAGTTCTATGGCAATCCCCAGCTGTTCAATTTTGAGCCACACAAATTTGGGTTCACGTGTCATGGTGAAATCCTCTCCCCTGGGTCAACTCTATACATAAGTTGGAAAGCTTTCCCAGTTCCAGTTACCATAGGGTTTCCACCGGGGAACCCATGTACAACCTGGTAGCCATGTCCCTTCCCGAGTGGATTGACCACAAACCGTCTGAACTTTCCATTTGCAACTGAAGTGGCAACCAAACCAAACAAGTGACTAAAAACAAACCTAAAAGGGCAACCACACCCAAGTGACTAAAGTCCCTGAAAAAAAGGCATACCTTACGTTACAGTACAGCGGTACTTGTCAAAGGCACTGAAGAAGAAAAAAAAAAGCGGCTCCCGCCTTCACGAGGCCTTCCAGCACTTCCTCCACTTCCAAGCCACTGGCCTAAGCAGAAGAAATGCGAAACGAATCGGTGCGACTTCCACTCACACTATACATTACCCACTGTCAGAAGTGTCCGTTGGGGGGGGGAGGGGAATTCCCCGAAAAACCAAGTCTTGAATCAGCTTTCCCTTCATTGGCTTGCCCATGGTGTTGCTTGTGACTCGGACCTTACTCTCCATTCCGCTCACATAGCGCCTATGGGAGGGCACATGCAAAATGCAGAGAGCCCCTGCCAGGTGCCAACGTGAGGAGAAAAGCTCATTTTTGATTGGGAGCTTGCCTGGTAGTTTGGTTCGGGATGACTTCCCAGTTGCCCTCTACAACAGCCAGGGGTTGGAGGGTTCAAACCGGGACCCAAACCACCAATCAATCACCAACTACGGGCTACCTGAGGATCAAATACCTGCAAGAGCCATGGCTTCAAATCCAAATCCAAAACACCAATCCAAACCACCAATTTGGGGGAACTAATACACATGGCGAAATAACTACACGCATTGTTCTCCGATGGTGACTCCATATGGTTCAAAAGTCACACACACACACCCACATGGTTCTCTTGTGATCAACCCCATTCTACTCATTTAGGCGGTATTACCCTTCTAAACATCACCTAATTCCCATCGGACATCCCACATTTAGCTGGGCCCGTAAAATGACTGGCACGGTGATTCTGATGGACAAAATTGCGGACATTTGAAGAAGGTGCCAACAAGAGGTAGCTTCCCTTTGCTTTCTCTTCAAACCAAAATGAGGGAACTCAATTAGCATTCTCCCTGCACTCAATAAATCAACCCCTCAACAAGCGATACAGGGGTTCGTTTGGGCGCTTGAAATTTAAGCGGGCCGTATGTCCTCAGAGACTCCCTAATTTTGATCCCCCCCAACCAGGCACCCCTATCGTGTCCTGAGTTCTGCTGAAATGAAAGGCCAGGTGCGAAACAGGATACTTCCATTTGGTTCAGACCCCTGGAAAAAATGAGAAAATATTTCCAGCAGCGACAAATTGCTTTTAAAACCAACAAGGGAACATAACACATATTCATTTCGGCAAATGGAAAGGTATGCTTCGGTTTCCTGTCGGAGAACTTCTTCGAATCCTGTGCGCGAAAGCCCTCCCGGCCAACATGAAACGCACCCAGGCACCTTTCTCTCGTGTCCGATCGAGTCGATTGGCCAGAAAGCTCCCAAGCTTTTTGCATGCCGACTTCTCGAGGAGAACGGCCAAGGGGCCTGCTGAGTCATGTTCATTGGGTACAACCGTTAAATGGGATTAAATATGTGATGTCACACTTTTTGTCTTCCGCCAGAACGTAGTGGACTTTGAAACTTCGCATTTCATGGGATGTTTTTTGAGTTTATCCCGTTTGTCCCCGCTACGGAAGGGCCCCTACTGCAATAAACTCAGTGCTGGAAATGAAGCTGATCACCGAAATGGGAAACAAAAAGGCAGCTTCAGGTTGATTCGCTTTGGACAACTGAATTGCTATGGGGAACCATGATGCAAAAGCAGAAAATCAGAAACCCTGGTATGTATATATAATTTTTGGTGTGTGAGGGTACCTATCTTTTTGGTGAAACGAATGAAATGAATGAGAAACCAAGGGGAGAACCACCTGGTCCCCTAAACATACAAGAGCAATAATAATAAGAATAATAATAATAGTGATAATAATAATCGAATAATAATAATAATAACAATAATAATGATACTAACAAACATAATAATACATATATACATGTAGGTCCTTTAACATGGAGGACACCCTAACCTGGGCAACGCTTCGTTAAGGGCGATTTGACACAAGGTGGCACACCGAGCGCCTCCGGGTGACTATGTGTAAACCAGCCAGTTCTTTCAGGGCTCCTTATATTTCCCCTTTGAAACATCACACCAAAAATCACCAACAGGCAATTCCACTCAACCTCAAAAGATGATCTCACTTGCGCTCGACTGGATTGGCCAAACAATGTGGAAACACTTCTTGCTTCCCACTAAACCTGCCAAAGATGTGAAATCTCAGGAACTCAGGGGGCAAGTTTCGGTTTGCCCCCAGAAACGTCGACCTCTGCCAGGTTGTCGGAGGCAAAACAGCGGCGCGTGTTTTGGGGCCCCGGGCAGATTCGGTGACACGGAGGCCCAGACGCCCATCAGACCTGCGATCCTTGGACATTGTGTGTCTTCTGTAAAGGGACCCCAAAAACAGTTGGCCGTCCTTTTGGCTTTCCTTCAAACCACGAAAAAAGGGTAGCCTCAACAAAGACCGACACAGAAAAACACACAAGAAGTGAACTTGAACTGGGAACCCTTCGCTCAGGGATTTATGCTCGCCAACCATATGGGCGAAAACTCTGTATGTCAGCCGTGGTTAGTAATTAGGAACCCTAATAAGGGTTGTCTATAGGGTTTCTGACGAGCCCTGCCAACCGCGGTCTTTTGCCATGGCACGCATGGACGCAAACACCATGGGTTTCACCAGAGAAGAGCTGGAAACGAACCGAATCATCGGTCTGTGACAAGAGGTGCTCTCTTGCAACGGGTGTTGTTCAGTACAAGGGGCCGAAGGAACTCCATAACCCCAGACCCTCATTCCAAACCCTTGCCCCTTACATGATCTGTTTAGCCGCGCGCGTGATACAGAGTGGCATAAAAATCACAGGCCGAAAGCCGGAATGAACCTATATCTCAACACTTTAGCTTCACCCATGGTCATGGCCAAACGGCTGCCATGGTCGCATCAAAAAACCCGGCAGTTCGACAGATGAAGAGCACCCAGGAATCCTCGAAGTCAGCCGGTCTTTCAGCGAAGTCAGCCCAAATGTATATTTGGACCCTCAACACGATTCATCAAAAAAAATGGGTTCATTGCTTCAAAATGATGGCGTCAATTCCATTTTGTGTGGGTAGTTGGAGGGTCCAGGTATACTCTGGGCCCAGTGCATTGCAACTAGTCAAGCCGAATTCTCAGCCCCAGGCCAAGTAGACATGCCTCAGCGGGCCTCGTGCAAAAGGCCAGGCTGGCGCCGGAGGACCTGCCCCCTCAACAAAAACGAGAGCTCCCTGCCCTTCAGATGGGTATCTAAAACAGGCAACCAACAAGTGTTCTTTCCTGAAAAGTGGAAACAAGGACGAAAACTCGTGGTCTCCTGATAAGTTATTTTGACCCATACCCAAATGTTCTCTATATATATATATATTGGGTTAGCTGGGGGAGATGCAGTCGTCCAGAAGGTTAAACATAGAAGAGAACCACCAAAGAGCAGAGCGACTGAGCTTTTCAGGGTGCCCCGTATTTCTCTGCAATCATCACTCAAAACCAACTCACTTTGTCGTACTCTGAACAGGCCCCAGAGGCCATGTGAAAAGCCAGAAAACTTTAAAACCACCACACAAATCCTGCCAAGCTGTCCCATTTGTGAACGCAGAAGGTGAAGGATTTGGGGCCGGGCCCCAATTGATCAACTAGGCTATAAATCCACTGGATTCAACCCTAGGTGACTCACAAGAAAGGCTGCAATGTCTCCCCTTGCAGTTTGCATCAGAAAATAAATCAACATAATCAACGGGAACCACTACCATCTGACAGAGCTTTGAACAACCTAGCCTGTTTCAGGCCATTGAACGACCCCATCCTGGCCTTGCCGCCGCAGGCTTGCAATGGCCTGTGAGACCTGCGCAAGGTTCACAGGGCCCCACATTCACCGGGGTTCTATCTGGATGTGTCGTAAAATATGGTTTTCCTTTTGCTTTGCCAAAAACACTATACCAAAAACGGTACCTTTAAAAGACACACGCCGGTCTAGCACACTTTTTGTCCTGGTGCTTTCCGAGATTCTGGATTTGTTGATGGAACAGCCATAATCTTCAACGGGACGGGCATAATGTTGCAACTTATCTTCACGAAGAGCTCGCCCAAGGCGTCTTTTCCCGTTCGGCAAAAAACCCTAAAAGAAAACGTACACGTAGGAAGCCCGTCTTGAAAACCGGGACCAAGCCGAAGGGTCCCTTCGGTCGGCAGCCCTCAGCTTTGGCGCTGGCACGGGGGGTTGTCCATAAGCGAGCCCCCGACCAAATGTGTTGACATAACTCTTTGGGCTCTCAGTCCCCATTAGAGTTCTTAGCTTCAGCCGTCTTACATCACATGCATCCAACTGTTCGGGGAAGCCTTTGATTCTAGAGGCCTTGAACAAAGTCTGCCAAGGCAAGCAGCCCAACAACGAGAGTTCCTCCAGCAGGAAAAAAAAGAAGGTCGGCCCGGAACAGAATCAAGCGCCAAACCGGGGCTCCAGGCACGGGCTATGCTCTCGACGTGTTGATGCACAAGAATCAATGCAAATCAAAGGGGACTTAAGGGGTTTGAAGCCTAAACGTTGATCACTTGGGTTTGGGGGCCAGCCCAGCCCTGTTTTTCAACACGCACCAACTTCCTTTGAAAGGCTGGTGGTTCAATATCTTTTGCCCAACCTTGGTTACCCCCCCGCCGTTTTTGCCAGGACACCCCAACCAATCTCCACCTTTTGTGGGAATCCCAACCCCACAACTCCAAGGGTTGTCCTATTACTCCCTGGGAAAACGACCTCTTGGGAATCATCCTATCCTAGCCTATTTCCAGATAAACCTGCTTGTTTTGGTTTATTTGGGATTATTTGGGTAACTTCCCTAGGGTGTAATTCCAGGGTGTAATAGGAAAATCCTTAGAACACCTGGTTCCAAGCGAATCTCCGAGCTGGGGTTGCATGCCGGCCCCGCCTTGCGGGTGCCTCCTTTCCGCGGGCTTGGGCTGGTCTGGGCGCATGAGAGCCGAAGGAACTGACATAGATGCACATATATGTGATATGCAAATATCTACATGCATATATATATATATGTACATAATATATATGTGCTTCATATATATATATATATATGTATATGTATATATATACATATATATATATGTACTTTTCATCTGGATGAATATGGCGCACCCCCTTTTGGCGACTATTCTAAGGGAAGCCAAACAGAAACCCATCTTTGAAGGACACCCCTATCCTGAGGAACACCCGTATTGACGCATGTGTGTGTTTTTATACATACATATTGTTTGCATCGATCTGCAGATAAACACATTTCTAATTGCGCAACACCAATTCGAATGTTCGGGGTACCATGTGTATCCAAGATCTTGAAAGTCTTCAAGTGATACCTCCGCGTTGGTCCTGATTCTCTGTTTGAGGCAAGCCATCCGATTCCTCCAAAGGGAGCCACTGATTCAGAGAAAGGGCCAGGGCATGGGACGGCACAGGGCGCCAAAATGCTTCTTAACAGCAGCGGTCAACTTGATGGCTCTTGCAACTTGGCTCTGAGTCAGACTGGATACTTCCACCCCCAGCCTGTCCGACAATCCCTTTGATGAGGGAACCTAAAAGGCAGTGCTTTGGGGGGGGCATCCTGATCGCTAGGGGTCGCAACACAAACACGGCGATGCTTCGGCCAAAACGGGATCCGCCGACGCCCCGACGCCCCGACCCCCCGCCTTCTCGACCTTAGGCTCCGAAGGCTCATCCTGAAGCGCGCGACCCGAGACCGGAGCTGCCACTGGTACAAGAATCGGATCTTGTGGCTGATTCCATTGCCGCAAGGGCGTCAAAACAACCCATGTAGACCCCGATGGATGTTGTTTTTTCTAAAGTTGTCATTGCGTTAATGTCATTGTGGTTGATTTCATGGAAGACATCGATTGTGGTTGATTCCATTGCGGTTGATTCCCGTTGCATTTTAATCTTCAAGAACCCAATGCAAACCCAATGGTTATTTTATACCACTGAATGCTGCCCGCTTTTGCTCCACCAATCGGTTGTCGCCACCAAACCGACAATGTTCGTGGGAAATAGCGGGTGCCACAGAAGGTTCCAGCTTGTATTTCACCTGAAGAAACCACACAAAAGGGTACCGGCTGGCTGCCACAAAAACACGCACAAGCAAAACAACACAAACACAGAGGCACACACACACACGAAAAATAAAAGCACGCAAACACACAAACACAAACAAGCAAATATTGCCAACTTGGGACGGATGAAACCCTTGGGATGGATGAAACCCTGTGAATGGGCCATCCTACCAACTGGTGAAGGGATTTCTATCCACAACTTCAATCAATCGGATCAACCAACGGATTGGAAGAATCATGTATGAACCGCTGGTAGGAATTGAACCGTTGTTTGCTCGATTTCGGCTGAAAGGGAAGCGTTGCTCGATTTCGGCTGAAAGGGAAGCATTTGTCTTAGCGATCTGAAAAGGAACCCCTCACACAAACACACAAACACACAATAAACAACAAACATACAATAAACAACAAATATACAATCAGCCTTTGATGAGTGCAACTTCTCCATGTGAGCGCCTCCTCTCCCTGCTCCCAGTCGAGGGAGTAGTCCTGAGCCTCTCACGGACGGCACAAACCCGATCGATCCTTGCGGTCTATCAAGCGGCTCTACCGTGTATGACGTTGAATTGAGATCCAAAGCAGGAAGCTATCCATGCTGGAGGTCCATCACTTTGACACAAGCTAACGGCTCCTTACATTCCGCCGCATTTAGTCCCCATCCCCATCATGATTTGGGCACAAGGAAGGATGGGCCCACCCGACAGGCAACCTCAAGCTCGTGCCTTCGTGCTCAACATTTGGAGTCACGTCGCCTGAAAAACTCGGGATGCTAAGTTCCGAACTGAGCAACAGAAAGGGTCATGCAAAGGACAAATGCACCCACGTGTTGTTGTTTGATTGTTTTATGATCTGTCTCAAACCCTCAATATCCCAGCCAACCAACCAACCGGCCGGCCAGCCAGCCAGCCAGCCAACCAACCAACCGGCCGGCCAACCAACCAACAAACCAAGCAGCCAGCCAACCAGCCAGCCAACCAACCAACCAATCGGCCGGCCAGCCAGCCAGCCAACCAACCAGCCAGCCAACCAGCCAACCAGCCAACCAACCGGCCGGCCAACAACCAACCAACCAAGCAGCCAGCCAACCAGCCAACCAACCAACCAGCCAGCCAACCAGCCAACCAGCCAACCAACCGGCCGGCCAACAACCAACCAACCAACCAAGCAGCCAGCCAACCAGCCAACCAACCAACCAACCGGCCAGCCAGCCAGCCAGCCAGCCAGCCAACCAGCCAACCAGCCAGCCAACCAACCAACCAACCGGCCGGCCAACCAACCAACCAACCAACCAAACAGCCAGCCAGCCAGCCAACCAACCAACCAACCGGCCGGCCAGCCAGCCAACCAGCCAGCCAACCAACCGGCCGGCCAGCCAGTTTTCCAACCAACCAGCCAGCCAATCAGCCAACCAGCCAGCCAACCAACCAACCAACCAGCCAGCCACAACCAGCCAGCCAGCCAGCCAGCCAACCAACCAACCAACCGGCCGGCCAACCAACCAACCAACCAACCAAACAGCCAGCCAGCCAACCAACCAACCAACCGGACGGCCAGCCAGCCAACCAGCCAGCCAACCAACCAACCAACCGGCCAGCCAGTTTTCCAACCAACCAGCCAGCCAATCAGCCAACCAGCCAGCCAACCAACCAACCAACCAGCCATGTTTCAAGCAAATGTTGCAGTTGCAGCGCTTCCAGGGTCAATCCTCAGACCGAACGGCTTGCCTGCATGGCTTCCGCATGCCGAAGCAAGTCTCGCGCCTCTGGCAAGCGCATTGGGGGCCCGTTTTGGTGTTCTGGACTGGCCGAAAAAAAAGGAAAGAAAAGACAAAAAAAGCCCAGCAACTTTCTCTTTGCCACTACAATTGTCCAAACCCCAGTGACCAAAGTCCAGGAACTCAGGAAGTGAGGAAACACATTTAAAAACGAAAAACCTGAACGAAGAATTGGATCCCAAGGAGAAGGACCTACATGATGAGCTTGTGTTACCCCTAAGTAAGCTCGTGAATAAGGCAGCTTGAAAGGGAAACAAAGGGGCCGTTTAGACCCGAAATGAGAACAAACACATTTTTCTTGAGGGGAAACACGCAGAAGCGTGGCTTTCTTCTGTTTCAGGAACCTCCTCTTTTGGGCGGTTTTGCTGTTGGATTTGAACCCTGTGTATTTAAGATGGTTGTGGACTGTTTTACAGGATTCCCTTCGGACATTTGGCTAAATCGCTTTCCTGTCGCTTTCCCTTTGGTTCGAACCTCTGGGAGTTCTTTGGCTAAATCTGGAGCCCCCAAAGGGTGTTCCTCACAGAACGTGACCCTGTGTCGTTTGATGGTTGGACCCCCCAAAATGGTGAATCTCCTTTTGGCTTCCATTTGAAACCCTCAAACAAAAAACAACCAAAATGGTTGTCCTCCTTCTGGCTTCCCGAGTCAACTGAAAGGGCGAACCGTCCCGAAGAAAAAAACGGGGAAAAACAAAAAAACATGAGACCGTATTGCAGGACTCTCGCCCCGAGCGGTAGAGAGAAAAGCCAGCCATTTGGGCGTGGTTTAAAGCAAACCAACAGACACACCCATTTCTTTTTGGCGGTTTATCCCATTTTAGTGGGCAAAAAAAGGGATGCTGCCGCTGTAGTAGAACCCGCACCACACATCTTGACTTTTCAAAAGGGGCACATACTGGCTTCTTCCCCCCACAAGACCCTCTTTGAGCTACTCCTGAGCCTAACTCGATGGTTCCGCGCTGCTCCGCGTTCGAAACTCTTTGTGATGCCTGGTGAGCTTAAGGTTGGTGAGGCTAAGGCATACCTAATGTTGCAAATCTTGAGTTCCCGCCAATCTCAACCGCAACTCGGGCCAAGGCGGTTACTATAAGGGGCGATACATAAAAGCTCAAGCCAGTCCAACCGGAACTTTACCCAAAACAAATCGGAACTTATCACGCAAGCTTCAAATACGGCCTTCTGGCACTTGGTTGTTGCATGCTTAGAAGCCTTTAATGCTTATACTTTGCTTCTTGACTTTGCTACGCCTGAAGTAGCTGGAAATCATAGCACTTCTGTAGTTCCGTTGCTCTTGCTGCCTAACATCATATGGTTTTCTTGCCAAACACGTAGTTTACATGCCCATGCGTGTGAGCTCGTGCCGTCTTTTCAATGAGCACAGCAACTATCCGGAAATGCGTGATAATTATTGCCTTGTGCGCCTATTGTTGCGGAAGGAGCCCATGCCCAAACAGAGACTGCAATGCAATCAGGAAAGCCCCGCATTCGTTCAAGCAGTTGTGCATCCATGCCCTCATCACGTCTTGCTGCTTTCGTGCTGTGATCTCGCACTTTGCGCAGTTGATTATGTTGAAGCTGGTTGCAGTGTCAATGAATTAATACCTGTGTATAGATATGATACATATATGATTAAATAGATATGTAATAATTTGTTGAAAATTGTTTGTGTATGCCTGCCGTGCGCGTACGTCTTTTCCGTCTTTGCATTCGTGTCTGTGTTTTTGGCTCTCTTTGGTGATAGAGCAAACCTGCCCTTTTGCCTATCAACGTGTCAGTGCACAGCGCGCTTGCTTGTGCAGCATGAGCGCACCGGCTTTCAGTGAGTACAGTATATGTTCCAAACAGCACGTGAATCAGTACAAATAATTACATTGTATGGGGCAAGCGCGTATGAACAGTTGTTGCCAAGTGAAACTCGATTGCCAAAAACAAGCGCAGGCCAAACTGGAAATGTGGGCAATGGGCAACGTAAACACGCTAATGCCAACCAGAAGACACGGGCGCAGAACGACCGGCAGCAACCCCAAGACACAGCCAGCTTCGGCTGAATGGCACAGGCAGAACAGGAGGGCAAATATGTGAAATGAGCCAAGGCACACACACACACTCAAAGCCATTGGCACACAGTAAGCAACAAGCTCTTCAAGGTTGAGCGCTGCCAGCAGCAGGCCCACAGGACAAATGACCAAACCACAATCTTACATACAACGCAAATTGTTTGTGGGTCCTTTGCGGAGACACTGAGGAACTTACGCGTCCAGGTTCTGAACGTGAGTTCCATGATAGCAAACAACACTGAACTGAGTTTTGAATGGGTCCGGAGTCTCCCGCAATGCGTGATAATGCGCGAATAAACGCCGGCACGATACGGGTCTCGCAGCTCTTGACAGGACGTACCATTGAAATCCGAGTAAAGAGATGGGACAACAGCAGCGGAGCTATGCTTGACAACAAGCGAGCCATAAATCTGTATCGCGACCAAGGCAAGCAACGATTATTCCCTGACGCCATTCGATGTCTCTAGAGGCATTGCAAAACACGGCTAAACCTAAGCTGCAATGAGTCAAGCACGTGCGTGCGTTCATGTACATCCACTCTTTGTACAATAAGGAAAGCAACAAGTAACACGCATGCACGAAAGTTTAGCATACATTGCAGGTGTGTTCTCTCGCATATGTTGAATTGTGGTGCATATAATGTTGTTTCTCCAAATGTTGTGTTGATTCTGCGTGTGCTGTTCCTTGGATTGTAGACACCTTTGTGAAAAACATTTGCTGCTGTTCAGTCTTTGAGTGCATACCTCCATAATCGCCAAGTCAAGTATATGGGTTTGCTCAAAGCGCCAGCGACGACAAATATTACCCAGTATTTGGCACCCGCTGCAGGCATCAAAGAAGCATAGCACAGCGTCAACGTAGTCAAGCATGTCATTTTGCTGCCGGCTTCCAAGTACACAATTTCCTTTAGCAAGGAGCCTATGATGCAATGACACATACATTGCCCAATGGCATGACGCAAGGCGCCTCCGCAACCAACTTTCGGCCAACAGAAGAAATATCGTTGTATGTTTCCACCAGCTTCCGAGTACGTGGTCGCGGGCTTGGCTTGGCCATAGGCCAAAAGGGTGTCTCGCTTTCTTTTTCCCAAGATGTCTCCGCAACCAAATTGGGGCCAACCGGATGTATGATGTTGTTTGTTTTCCCCGGCAGCTTCCGAGTTCCTGGATTTTGTGATCAAAGCGCCTTCACGTTGATGGCAAAACTGCGTAAATTCTGAGCAGCGGCCCACGGCCCGGAAAATGTCTCGGTTTTGTAAAAACCGCTGCATAATTTCCACTTGTAAAAGCTCAGCTGTGATTTTCCTGCCCATGCGACAAGCCCTTAAAAGTCATTGATGGGCTTGAACACGTTGAATTTTTACAGTGGTTTTTAAAAACCGCGACATTTTTGGGGCCATTGGCCGCGGCTCAGATTTTGCTCGTGTTTGCCACCAAGATGCGAAGGCGCCTTGGGGACAAAACCATGTACTCGGAGGCCGGTGGAAAAAAACCGAGACATCCAGTTGGCCCAAATTTGGCTGCGGAGATGCCTTGGGAATAAAACCGAGACATCCTGTTGGGCCCGATCTGGCTGTGGCGTGTTGCCAAAAGTATGTAAGCGATATTCTGTTGGCCGAAATTCGGCTGCGCGGCTCCTTGAAACGAAGCTCAAGCTCTTGAAACCGGGTGAACAAGATGTTCTATTGTTCAACATGTGCTTGAAAAGGTACTTGGAACAGAATAGGCACTTCGAACACCATAACCTCAGAAGCAAGGAAGAAATCAGTGGTGTGTCTTGCCGGCCCCAAATCTATTGCATCGGCGCTTTGGAGGCGCAACACAGTTGATTTTCGTATAGAACCCTGCTGGAATCTGCTGGAATGTAACACAATGTGGAAAGCTAGCTGATGTTTGCCTCGCTGGAACGTAAAGCCATGTTACTGGAAGTCAATGGGAGAGCACATGAAACACACACAGCCTAAGCTATATCTAGCATGTTTTAGAGAATATCTCTCAAAATCATGCACGCCATGTACTTCAATTTATGTGAGGTTTAGCTTCTGGAATCCGGTGTGCTTAGTTGGTACCATGCTGTGGCGAATAATGTTTGTCCTTTGCAGATCGTACTCTACACGTCAACCATGGCTTGGCTTGCCTTTTAACGAGGTGTCTAATCAGTAGATAAGCATATGCATTTGCCTGATTGATGTTTTCTTGATTGCTTCCAAGATTCTCAAGTGATTTTGAGTGGCTGGAAGGAACAATTGCTTGTTAAGTTTGATGTGTTCGTGGCCCCTGCAGAGTTGGTCATAAACGGTAGCATGCGATTGCTGCGAACTAGTGAATCTAAAATTCAGCAGGTGTTGAACCGGCCCTGATTGCTTGTACTGACATTTGGTTTTGTGGCAGCTTTGGCGGTAAGCCGAACACGAAAAAAGCGATTGTTGTTATCCTCAACTGCGCGCTGCTTTTCATCAACAAGCGCAACGCATACCTGCTAAGTAGACTTGCTCGGGCCTGGACACATGAAAGCTTGCACGATCTGACGTGTCCTGCAGGCGTGCCGCAAATCTTGAACTGCCCGTTGCGCATTGTTTGCGATGAATTTTTGATGTGACCGTGTATTCATTTCACAGATTTGCCCTTCTGTTCTGCTTGTGCCTTCCAGCCAGAGCCAGTTCTGCTTTTTGCTCTTGATTAGGTTGCTGCCGCCGTTCTGCACTCCTGTTGGTTGGTTGGCGGTTGCGCGTGCGTTGCCCATTGCCTCTAAGCTTTGGCAGCCCCCAGTCGGTTTCCAATGAAGGCCGTGTTTCTGATAAGACAGTTTCTTGGCCAAACAAATTTTGAGAAAAAGGAGTGTTCACACGCGCTTGCCCTCCAGAACTAGCTCGCGCTGAGCCATGCGCTGTTCTGGGCACGCGGTGTCCGAATTGGTCGCGACATGATACACGTCCTTTGCAAGAAAGCAGCTCGCAAGCATGCACACACACACATACACTCCGACACGCGAATGGGCAAAAAAAAGAAACAAAGCATACGACATTTCTGGATTCATGATCCAACTCCAACACAGCGATCAGGAAACAACAGCACGTGTACGCAGAGTATGGGTGCTGGCAATGACACACACACACATACATGTATAGATGCACATTTAGAATTCGAATGGATGTTACCAGGTGGAAACTGGCAGCATGATCAAAGTGACTGAGGCTTGAAGCAAGGATAACGCAAGAAGAGTGCAAGCGAGTGGGTTTACGGTTGCCGGGATGTAACCCTACGTGGATGGGCTTGTGGGGCGCTTTTGAGCAAGTCATAGTGTAGCTTGCATTCAAGCACGGTGTGATGCCCGTAGACACCAATCAGCAAGAGCTGCGCATGCAGCAGTTCTGATAGCTCCAGCTGCTGCCAAGAGCAGTGAACAAACAACTCAAGCCCACATGAAGCAAGAACAAGTCATGGGAAGTGAAAATGGACAAATCCTACGACACTCTACAAATATGTTTTTCCGTGCACACACGCTGCCAAACAATATGACAAGTTCTGGTTTGCGTTGGGTGAAGTTCTGGTTGCAGCGGGTTGAGTTTATAAGTAAGAACAGTTTGCTTCTGAGAATCCTATCTGGCTTCAGCCTTGCCACAACCCCATTCTGAGCATCTAGGCCCTTATTCTAAGGGCTGATCCCCCATTCTCTGCACCCGTGGGTCATTTCAGAATTCATTTTGACCCGGGCACTCGACTTTTATCTGGGGGAGTTGCTGCTGAACTACCTCCCCTGCAAAAAATCAACAGGAACCCCTCCCAAAAGCAGGATGCCCAAACGGATGGTCCTCTCTTGCACACACCTGGCGGCTTTGGGGCTCCATCTGGCAAGTTGTAATCCTACTGACTTCCTGAGCGTCTTGGACAAAAGTGTAATGGTCCAGGAAGTCAGGAAGTGAGTCCATTCCGACTTTTTGGGAGTGTCACTTCCTGAGTGCATTGACCGAAAAGAGTCCACGCTTGCTGCTTCTGCCACTCACCTTGTCTTCCCAGTATAAAGCCCGCCACCTCTTCTTTGTCCTACTTTGCGCCGACCCAGGGCGTGACAGCAAACCAACAATAGTCTCGCCCGCCTCTTTGCAGCCCGGGTCTTGCTGCACTGCAAGCCTCGCGTGAGTCCAAATCCAGTAGTTAGTAGGAAAATACATATTTTGCCAAAAACAAGTAAAGATCCAACCAAATAGTAAACAAACTCCTAGCATTCTGCTCAGCCCAGTGGATTCCCATGGAGATTCTGAATACGGGAATCGATCCTTTCGAGGAAGCGACATGCCAGAAATGAACAGGGAATCCAGCCCTACAAACGACACTTCCGCGACCGAGGGAACAAAACTGCCATGTTAGGCTTCTAGACTTGGTTTGCTTCTGGACTATTTTTATCTGGACCCCTGAACATGTGCATCGGCTTCCTTTTCCGCTGACGACCCGAAAAGGGCCACCAAACACACGGCACAAGACACTTAAAAAGCACGACCCTCGATCGCGGCTGGCAAAAAAAAAGACCAAACAATATCGAGTTCCTTTGCCAGGCCATGTCTGTTCAATCACAATCATTTGCCAGGCCAACCAGCGAGCCTCATCTCCCCTGACTATGGTCTTGGGGTGTGGGGGTGCACTTGCTTTTCCCACCCTTACGGGTGTGTCTGAAAATCGGTGGCCCCCCAAAATGCACGTTTCCCCGTGGTTTCCCTCCAAAGGGATCCCGAGCCTCAAAAGACAGGCCCCTAAACAACCCCTATGATTGGTCTCCTTCTCTTTCCCACAAGCGTCCAGCTTGGCGTTCCTCAAACTCAGACCACCCAACCACACCCCATATCGTTGGGTCAATCTCCAGTTCTTGAGCGAGGCCACGCAAACCTGCAACAAGTTCACCAGAGCGTACTTTTCCAAGCAAAGCTCAAACAGGCAAGCGCTGGCAACGCGTCCAACGATTTTGACCCGTTCGACCCCCTTTTGAGCCTTGCAAGGGAACCGCCCGCAAGTCCCACCCATGGTTAGGTCCGAATCTCGATCTGACACATGGTTGCCAGCAAATTGGAGTGGAATCCAAAGGAGGGGCACCCCAATAAGGAAAATGGCAGGGATTGTGGGCTCCACATTAATCTTCAGAAATGCACCGGTTTGCAAATGGTGGTACCTTTCTGTCTAAGCCCACTGGACCCCAGAGTATAGTGGGCAACCAGTAAAGTCTGGTTGCCTATGCATGCCTATGCGGTGCATGGAATCACTGGGAAGGGTATGCTCTCAAAGACACGCACACAGAGAGACACTCCCAGAGACACACACACACACAGGCGCCCACACACACACACACAGACACATACAAACACAGACAGAAACAAAGAGACACGGAGACACAGAGACAGAGAAAGAAACAGAGACACATGAATGCACACCAAGAGACACAGAGACAAGGAAAAAGACACAGAGAGGGGCATGCCTAAACATGGAAACTCCCTTTATCGTGATCTTTTTGTTGAGGGTACTCTTGTTGTTGTTGTAAAAGAAAAAAGGAACGCCACAACCAACTCTTGCACCATTTGGTATGTCTTTTTGTGGGAATCCCCGCCAAAAAAACAACATGCTGGCTTTCCTTGGGCTTCCCTTTAAACAGACTCTGAAGGGGGCACCCTCCAAATAAAATAAAACCCACCCGAAAAGTGTGGTTGTCCCCGGGTTTCCCTGAAAAAAAAGGCTCAAAAGAACCCAAACAAAAAGACGACGAGCCGCCAATTTCGAGGCGCGACCGAGCGAGTGCCTGAGGTCCCGCAGCGCGCGAGAGTCTCGGAGTTGCAGTCGCAGAGCACCAGTCTGGCCAGCCAGTTGGGAGACAGAAAAGGGGCGGGGGGGGGCGGCCGGCGGGGGGGGCGGGGGCTCTTTCAACCGGCCAATCAAGATGTGGATCTTGCGGGCTTTTTGAAAACCCCGTGCCTCACTTCCAATCGAGTCGAGCCGCAAAACGTCGAAGGACTTGTTGTTTACCACTGAAATGGTCCAACCCAAAACGTCGAAAGTCCCGGAACTCCGGAAGCGAGGTTCTCAAAAGGGCGAATTGGTCAGCCACCTTGGCTCTGGCAAGGTTTTGGTTTACAAGAACTGGAGGCGGATGTATCTTTAGTCAACAAAATATAACAGAGCTTTGGAGGAGACAATCTTGGTTGGTCAGTAACATGGGCATGCATCAGCAAGTGAGGGTCCCCTGGCGAGGTGTTGGTTTACAAGGGAGGCGTCTTTTTGTATTTTGACAGACATGGTGACTTGGCAGGGAGTGCTGGACCTGCATTTCCTTTTGCCCAACTCCGAGGTACATGGAAGATTATATTTCCGGATGCGGATTGAGTTTTAGTCAACCAACAAATATAGCAGAGTCTTAGAGGCAACAGGAGCTGCTCATTCTGGAAAAGGAACGACTTTGAGAAACACCACCTTGAGTTGCAGAATGTCAAGGGGTTCCCTTAGTTGAAAGGGCAAATGAAGGAGACCCCAAAACGGGCTAAATGCCATGTGACCGTCTGGCAATGACTCACTCGAGGCCGACGAGAACCTCCGCGCTTCCTCTCCTCCAGTGAAGCGGCAGGTGGCCCATCTTTCTGCTCCTCAGGGTCTTGACCCTCCAGGTAACATGGAAGCTGACGTTGCGGGGGGGTCCTGGAAGACCATCTTCCAACGTCAGGTTCCATGTGAATTGGTGGGAGAGTAGCCTTTCTCAGCTTCCTTCTCATTGATGTCGAACGCATTGGAGGTGTGCCCGGCCCCCCTAAAAGAAGGGGCTTTAATTCAAATCCAAGCCACCAATCCACGCCACCTTAAACGGGTTAACGCCTACCCGAACTTAGCCTTTACCCTTTTCCAAGTTCGAAGAAATCCATGGGTCGTGTATAGCGGTGGCCTCCTTAAGCGCATGCACGTAGCATTGTGCTTGGCAGTCGGGAAAGCAAAGCACCCATTCAATCATTTGAAAGTGGACAAGGGGCCTTTTCAAGAGGATCGATCGTCGTTCTTCCAAATCCTTCCTGTTCACTTCCATTGGAGAGAGGATTTCTTTTGAATCGGCGTTTCTTGGGACTCGTCAGCAAGGAAACAAGAAGGACCAACTGGACACTGAAGTGCCTAGTGAGTTTCCTGCGTATCGGAATAGGTGATTTAGAAGGTGTCCACACAATACGCAAATTGAAACGGACAATTACTTTTCTGAGGGTACTCTTCTGCATGGGCATCTCCGCCCATAGTTGCACAGCTCCTCTCTTCAAGTGCCTATGGAAAGGATTATGATACATCCTGGGTCCAAGCCCGAAACGTAACTATGACTAAAGTCAGCGAGCGAGAACCTGATGTTCAATGATGTCAAGGGTACCAGCTTAGTCAACTCCCATTCTTTGCAACACCAACAAGCTTCCCGGCGACAATCCAGGGAAGATTGGCTACGCAGGACATGTAATTTTGAGAACTGCTCAGCATGTAATCACTTTGAGGGACCTCAAAGTGTCTACATGTTGAGGTCCCTTGGAGTGATAACTCTCATAAATTGAGGTCCCTTCAAGTGGCTACATGTTGAGCGGTTCTCGAAAGTCATTGCGTAGCCAATCTTCATTGGAACCACCTTGAACCCAGTGGGCCGGCAATTGTTTTTCTCGCTTGATGGTTCTTTCAAAAATAATGGTGAGCCCCCAAAAGAAGAAGAAGAAGAAGAAGAAGAGGATTTACAGTTTCCCCACCTCTCGAAACTCGGCTCGAGTGATACTTTGCAGCTGTTTTACCATAGTTCCCCTTGGTTCCCCCCGGTGACTGCAGAGAAGCAGGAACCTTTTGACCTTGAATGGGGAAGGGGAACCGCATCTCTCCCAGGTAATTTGGTTGCACGCCAAACCAGTCCCATTCTAGTTCCTTCAACAAAACAAAGGGGCCCCAGTACTACTACTAGGAGTTGTACTTGGATGCTACTAGTACTACTACTGCCTTTCCGCTCTTACTTTCCCTCTTTCCGCTCTTACGTCTACTCAACGTCCAAGGCTCCCAAAGCTTCCAGCTCAGCAACGCCCTTAGGGCCGTCACCTGCTATCGCGTGGCCGCCCAAAAATGGGAAGGGGGGTGGGTTGGTGGGTATGTCGGTGTGACTCTCTCTGGGGCTCGGTGCCCGAGTTGGGGTTGGTGAAAACAAGGCAAACAACACGAAACACACAAAGTGTGAAGGTTCCCGTATCTAAAGACAATCCCATGTGTCAAAACACGGGACCCTGATTTGATGGCTTTGATTTTGGCCTCCTTTTGCGAACAAGCGGCTACTGTCAGAAAACACATACACGTGTCACCCTTTCCGGAGAAAAACAAATCCTGCAGTTTGGCATGGCTTGGTTTTGCCTCCTGTAATGTACATTGGCGAAAAAGATAGAACTTGAGCCAGAAGTAGTGAAGCCAATGTTGTTTTTGGCTTCCTCTCGACTTGCTTTGCTGTCCTGGTCTTCGCATAAACAACTCATCCGTATTCGGGGGTCCCACGTGCTGAAATCAATGGCATTCGAGACTCGCCCAGGCGTTCTCCAAGAGTAAAGGCAACCCCCCCTTTTCGCGGGGAACTTGCTTGGAAGAGGTTCCAATGCTCACCTCCTGAGTAGTTTGGCCCAAACATGTCTAAACTTTTTTCTTGCTCAGGGAGTGAGAACCAACACATTCTTAGAATCTTCCGATGATCCTAATGTCTCCCGCTTCATGCGAGTCGGCCCTTGTGGGTGTTCTTCTCCAAAATGGGAACCCAGTTTGGATGCTTTGAAGGGGAAAACCGAAAAGTTTACCGGGCCACACATCTGAACGTCATTCTCAGGTATGGGTTTTGGAGACATGGAGGTTATATGCTTGTACAAGTTGGCGCTTAACAAGCTGACATTGCATAAGCCTCCGTACCTCGAAGTCCATACCTGATGAAATGCCACCTGGTTTTGTGGCTTTGAAGGGACATCAAAAGGAACACCGAAGCCGTTTTGAGGCGTCCAACTCAAAAACTGACACACCCAAGTCCTGTCAGCTTTCTTGATTGCATGCTTGGAGAGCAATTGAAGCCCCAAAGAAACGGCCCCAGCAAGAAACCCGCTCACAACATCATCCAACTTGGGGTTCCCATAGTTGGCGACAAACCTGCATTGATAGGGCTCTGTTGCTTTATGAGGGTGTCAATTGCTTCTGCCTTTAGAGGGACACCCTTTTAAGGGGTCATTCTTTCCAGAATATGAGGTGCCCTTCTAGGCGTGAGCTTATTACACCTCAAGCAAAAACAGAACGCCCTTTGGGGTTTCGAAGGGCCCCCCCTGCAAATTGAAGTGAAACTCAACCAATGGGTTTAAGTTCTATTGCCAGGAGACTCCTCTGAATTGTGTTTGTTAGGGTTCCATTTTGATCTGGCAAGTCAAATGCAGAGAAGAAATGGGAGGCATCCAAGCACATGTCAGCCAGGCCTGAGCCCATCTAGTGGCTTTGGCTCAGGCCCCCAATGATAGCGAAAGGCGCTGCCAGAGATATCACAGGCTGTCTCAAAGGGAGCATCTTTAGACTTCCATCTTGTAGACTTCTCTGAGACACACCGGCTGCATGGAGCTTCGTGTTGGATCCCACCCAGCGCACCTGGACCTCCGAGCGCGGCGTTAAGTCCTGGAGCACTCGCCTGCCGCTTCGCCCCAACTTGGGCGGTTTGGAGCCCGGGGATTTGGAGCTGAAAGAGGGGGTTCCCTTCCCCCAAGAACCAGGGCTCTAAATCCATGCAAACCACCAAGGTGTACCTGGCAGCTTGGTTTCAAGGAAAGAAAGATGCGGAAAACCAAAAAAGACTTGCCCCCAGTTCGCCGGATGGGTCTCAAGGCGAAAATCCGTTGAACACCCCCCAATTTACAGGGTCCAGATCGGCTCCAAGGTGCGGACCGCCGACCGATTCCGGTCTCCTTCTACCAACTCTCCATTTGCTTAAGCAGCCTGGAACACAAAGGGAACACATGAACAGCTATTTGCGGTGATGGATTCCCTTTGAGACTGGGGGACAAACAAGCAACATCTTCTTAGGCAACTGGAAGTTCAACTGAAGCGAAACTCAAACAACGGCGTTCTGGGTGATGCTCAACTCCCCCTTTGGGGGGTATATGGGCGTGTCTGTTTCTGGAGTTGGTACCCTTATTTTGTCTGGTCGTTTGAACGGGAAATCAATGGAACCCTTTTTTTGGGTCCCATAGCGTCAAAACTCCTGAAATGAGCCATGGGCATGGTCCTTTGAATAGGATTCTTATCATGTATCTAAATTCCACATTGACAGGTTCATATCTACCTCGGCTTGTGCGCCCCAACCATTCCAATCTTTGATTCTGGCGCATGTTCAGTGAATCTCAAACATCTATTTGAAAGAACATCCCACACATAACGGGCACATCCTTCTTTGACACATCTTATTTCAACTTCCCTTTTTGGAAAACTCCTACTGTGGACAAGTTTCACAGGGAAACCAATTGGACAACCGACGCCATTTGTGGGGCATGTTCAGTGACACACCCAGTTTTCTAGGGGTTGATTCCCCATTCTTTTCAACCATCCTTCTTTCCAAAAACCGGCTTTGTCTGGGTTTGCGGAGGTAGAAAGATTCGGATCCCTGGAGAGAATGGAAATGGAAGGTACCGCCAGAAGTTTGACACATCTTTGATCTCAGACCCCAGTTGAGTCACAATCAAAACCCGGTATTAAAATGGTTGACCCAGAACCATGTAAAGAATTAAGAAGGCGGCCGCAGCTATTCTTGGTTGGATTGTCCCTTACAAACCTTCATCTACCCAGGTTTTTATTGTGGCTCAGTGTCCCTCCACCCCACTCTCTGGCGCCCCGCTTTGGCTCGCAGGCAACCTCCACATTCGCGCGTAAGATCGCCAGCAAAATCTGAAGCTCCTGACCGGAATGCAGAGCTCCAATGTTGCTCGGTAAAATAGGGAATCGGACCCCCCCAACAAAAAAAACATGGGCCTCAACCCTCGCAAAAAGACAATGGTTGGACCAGAAACCACCATTTTGTATGTGTTTCTCCCTCCGCTGCTCAATCACATGTTCAAATGGTCTTTCACACTTTTTCTGCCATCACTTGAGTCTAGGGAAAAGATGTATGATGGTAGCAAACGCCGACCCGGTAACCCAATTCCTTAGTGGATTTGGCAAAAAAAGGTCTAACTTTGGTCCAAGTTTCTCAAGCCTAAACAGAACCCAAAGGGAGTGGCAAGGGTAACTCTCAAAGCAAAGCTTTCCATTCGAGGGCCTAAAAACGGCCTCGGAACAGACCCCGTCTGCCCCCACCCCTCCCCAGCCCCGAGGGTCCCAACAGTACCCTCAGAGAAAAAAAACAGATCCAAATGATATCAACCGTTGACCCATGGTTGCAATTCACTGATGGTGTCCATTGCACTATGGTTAACACCGCCTTCACAAGAAATCATCATCATAACCGATGGTTTAAACATGCTTAAACCAATGGATAGCCCCACCCTACCATTGAAGCTGCTGGTAGCGTTGCCCGACGCACTCGACTCAACGCACCCCGGCCTGCACCGCACTGCCAGCACCTGGAAAGGACGCCTTCGGAGACTCCAGCTGCTCCTCGATACGCGGAAAAACGCCAGACACGGATCTGGCGCTATGGCATGTGTTGTTTGTCCGCTAGTTTGTTTGTCCGCTTGTTTGTTTGATTGATTTGTTTGTTTGTTTGGTTGTTTGCTTGATTGTTTGTTGGGTTGCTTGCTTCTTGGTTTCTTTGTTTCTTGGTTTCTGTGTTTGTTTGTGTGTTTGTTTGTTGGGTTAGCTTGTTTGTGTGCTTGTTTGTTTGACTGTTTGTTTGTTTGTTTGTTTGTTTATTTGTTTCTTTGTTTCTTGGTTTCGTTGTTCCTGTTGTTTCTTGGCTTCTGTGTTTGTGTGTGTTTGTTTGTTTCTTTCTTTGTTTGTTTGTTTGTTTGCTTATTGGTGTCTTTGTTTCTTGGTTTTTGTGGTTGTGTGTGTGTGATCGTTCGTTGGGTTTGCTTCTGTGTGTGTGTTTGTGTGCGTCTGTGTGTTTGTTTGGTTGCTTGTTTGGTTGTTTGTTTGTTTGTGTATGTTTGTTGGGTTTGCTTGTTTGTGTGGTTGTTTGTTTGTTTGTTTGCTTGTTTCTTTGCTTGCTTGTTTGCTTGTTTGTTTGTTTGTTTGTTTGTTTGTTTGTTTGTTTCTTGGTTTCTTTGTTTCTTTGTTTCTTGTTTTTTTTGTTTCCTGTGTTTGTGCGGTTCTTTGTTGGGGTTGCTTGTTTGTGTGTGTGTGTTTGTTTGTTTGTTTGTTTGTTTGTATGTATGTATGTATGTATGTATGTATGTATGTATGTATGTATGTATGTATGTATGTATGTATGTATGTTTGTTTGTTTGTTTGTTTGTTTGTTTGTTTCTGTGTGTGTGTTTGCTTCAATATCTTGGTTCCTTTGTTTGTTTGTGTTTCTGAGGGCGGGAGCACTTTTCTTTTTCCCTTAAACAGCTGAAGGCTATATAGGTGGGTGTGACTCGGAATCTCGGGCAGGGGCTGTGCCATTTCTTTGCAATTTTTCAAGGGGGGGGGCCTTTGCCAAGGAACAGCCAAGGAAAAACCACGTAAGGTCCGGTCAAAATATCCAATCTACGGTCCTTCGAACAAAACCTGGAACACAACCGGGGGACGAAGCCCAAGATATACTCATGCCCACAAAGGGTAGAACAACATCTAACAATGGTTCCTACCATGAGTGCATGAGCGTCCCTACCTCAGATAGGTCCTTGGAGAACTGGCTCCAACCTTTGGGCAGAAGCCAAAGATATTCCAACACATGGAGTGTGTGCGTGAATTTCGGCACCCCGATCCTCAATTTGCTTGAGTTTCCTGGGAAAAATACAAATATTTCCACTATAGTGACAGTGTGACAGATTCCCTTTAAAACCAACAAGAGAACATAACACATATTCATGTCAGAGAATGGAAGTTGAATCATTTTTCGTTCCTGGTTTCCCTTTAAACCAACCCCCAAGACAGACCCTCAAAAACTGACCAGCTTGCATCGGCCAACCACTCCTCAAAGAGCTTGGTCAGCCGCTCCAACGCCTGAAGCACAACGAGGAAGGGCGAGACTTAAAACGGGCGCCATCGCTCGGTTGGTGGATTTTTGCGAGGTGCTGCAACCCGTGCGCCCCAAAACAGGTCAATCTTTGTCGGTTGATGATTCGAGCAAACAAACGTGAAGAGTGAAATAAAAGCGGGTGCTACCTCGGGAAATGGGACCGCCCAAAGACCTAGGGTTGGGGTTGGACAAACCGCCAGGTCTGTTGGTAGGTTCCCTGAAGGTCGAGCTTTTCTAAGCCAAGATTGATGGCAATGCAACGCCTGACAAAGCACCAAAGTCCTTTCTGGGCCGCGTTTAAAGCTTCTTTTGCTTGTTTTAGGGGTGCGAGACCAGCAACCATTTGGGGTGGACCCCAAAACAAATCGAAGCCGTGCATCCAGAAGAACCATACAAACCCTAGGTGTCCTTGAGCGGAACCCGTCAACTTCCCCAAAGTCACCTACTCGGAAGTGAGTAAGTGGTAACCCCCTAACAAGGTTAATCCCATTCAGGGCAACTTGCAAGTGGATAGCCTAGGTTCTCAGCAGCTTACTTCGGGCAAGCTGACCCCCGGTTGGTTTCTAGCGCATGCGCCTGAAGCACCGCAGTCTGCACTTCCTTTGACTCCTCCACCTCCACGGGCTCCTGGAAGCAAAAGGCGGGACCGAGAAGAAAGATCTCCAAGCATTACATTTGCCCCCTACACCAAATACCCGCATTTTTTAGGGTATTTTTTGGGGAAGACCTGGTTTTCCAAGGTAAATACCTCCTAGTAGAGGGTTGACATCATACCCTGTAAAAAAAAGAACAGGTATTGGGTGTAGGGGGTAACACTAACATGGCACCAAAAAGTTTTCAAAGTCTAAGGGGGCCCCAGCCCCATATTGATAAGCGCCTTTGTTTTTCCGGGGTCGACATGTTTTGCCCAGGAGAATGCCACACCCCCTCCCTTCAAACTCCAAACCCTGGAGCTCCCGCACCCGTCCCCATGTGCGATGTATAGGGTGGAAAAACCCAACGCATCCATTCCCTTTTGGCTTTCTTTGGGGCTGGGAGAACTAACCAAGTTAGTCTTCAAGTCAGTGATCCCCTTTCGGGCTTCCGCTGGAAGTGGCAAGGGTTGCTCCCGTTCCCTGCCGGAAGGGTAGTCACATGGGCGTGTGCTCAAAATACAAAGCCCCCAACAAATGGATTTTGTTGTCGCTCTAGTTGCCGTTTAAACCAACCTAAGAAAGGTTACCAATTCAATTCTCCTCCCATCGACCTGTAAGCAATTCCCTGGAAAAGGCACTCGTTTGCTCTATCCAAGCGAACTTGGCTACGTGGGGTGTACGCGGAACATCTTTGTAAAAATCGGCTACGCGGGGACCCGGGCAAACTGTAGCAAGATTTCATGGCAGGCGCAGCGCTCTCGCACGGTCAGGTACAGATTGAGTGGCAGGCGCAGCGCTCTCGCACGGTCAGGTACGGTTTTCGTGGTAGGTGCAGCACTGTCGCAAGGTCATGTGCAGATTTTCGTGGCAGGCACAGAACTTTCGCAAGGTCAACGGATAGACATTCAGAGAAATAGACAGGTAAATAGAGAGATAGATTAGCTAGATAGCGAAGATGGATAAGAAAGTTAAGGTAGGTAGATAGATAGATTAGTAGATGGATGGATGGATAGATTAGATTAGTACATGGATCGAGAGATGGATACCAGAGAGAGAGAGAGAGAGATGAGCTAGATGGATAGTTAGATAGATAGGCAACAGAAAGCTGGATAGATAGAGTGCTAAAATAGACGGAGAGCACTAGAAAGAAGGAACAATAAAAAGACAATAAGGAAAATAAACAACAACTAAAGAAAGCAATACAGACGGAAAGCTGGAAAAAAAGGAGAAGGACAGAAAGACACAAAGAAATAGACAAATAGGGAAGGAAAGGCGGAAAGAAGGAAATAAGGACAGAAAGAAGGACGGAAGGAACCAAGGAAGGAAATAAATAAAGAAAGAAAGAAAGAACAAACAAACAGAAAGAGAGACGTGGAGAGAAGGAAAGAAAGAAAGAAAGAAATAAAGAAAGAAAGAAAGAATGGAATAAATATATCAATAAATAAATAAAGAAACAAAGACGGAAAGAAAAATAGAAAGAACAAAATAAAGACAGAACGAAAGAACGAAACAAAGAAGGAAATAAATAACGACAAAATACAAACGACAACAAACACATGCATAAGTAAGTAAACAAGGGAAGAAGAGGCCCGGTCGATTTGCTTTCGCGAACAGCTCCTCCGCCTGCTTCTCCTCAAGGCGCTCGTCTGCTAGGTGGATGGCCGCGTCCAGCACGGCACGCTCCCGTGCGAGCAGCGTGGCGCAGAGGCCGCGGACGCCCTCCGCTTCGATGTCGGTCGCCTGAGAAGGGTTGATGGGTTGGTAGATGAGGATGCCTTACATGGGTGTCTTTGGGTTCCCTTAACCCGACTTTCTTTCTTTTTTGGGGGGGGAGGTTGGGTTGACTGGGTCCTCTAGATTTGAGAGGCTTGAATAGGTTGGTACCCGATTTTCTTCTGCCCTCCCCCACAAAAGGGTAAAACGGCACTACTCGATACTGGATGGATGGATGGATGGATGGATGGATGGATGGATGGATGGATGGATGGATGGATGGATGGGTGGGTGGGTGGGTGCGTGGGTGGGTGGGTGTATGTGGATGGATTTGGATCCCTTACATGGGTGTTTTTTGGGTTCCCTTAACCCATTTTCCTGAACAAGGGATACCCAAGTAATGGGTTGTTAATCCAAAGGTCCTTGACATGGCTGGTTTGCTTGGGTTCCCTTTCAAACCCGAAAATGGTGGGGGGGGGGGGGGGTACCCAAACACACACCCAGGGAGAAGGGCCAAACCCCTCAAACGACGAGCAAATGAGCAGGATTTTCAATTGGGGGCCCGGAGTGATGAACATGCAAAATCGGTGGGAATTCGTGTCCAACAACCACTTTTGGAATAAATTTCAGCCACATGGGAAGACTTAACTTTCCTAAATGTGAAAAGTTACTGGTTTGGGGACAGGAATATCTATCAAGTTTCAGGTAAGAAAGGGGAACCACTGCTTGTTGTGAATGTGAGCTCAAAAGGATTTTAATCAAGTGTAAGCCTCCATCTCGTGTGGGAATCAATTTATTGGCAGCCAGGCGGGAAAAGCATCAGGCTACCGTTTCAAAACCAGGCATCAATAACAGAGAGCCCAAGGGTTCCCCTAACATCATCCGAAAATAAAACACCCCTTAACATGGCAACAAAAAAGATGGGCAACACCAACCAAAACGGGAAATAAAAAGGGAACCCTGATCAATCAAAGGCAAAGGCCATGTTCCATGGTGACCTTGGTCACCTCGATTCGTTGAGAAGCTGCCCCCCTGTTTTGGCATCAGTCGGGCCATCAGTCGGGCCATCAGTCGGGCCATCAGTCGGGCCATCAGTCGGGCCATCAGTCGGGCCACGTGTGGGTGATATGGAGTCATCCAAGGTACACCCTCGTAGTGTCTGAAAGGGACACAAACATGAAAACCACCATGTTTGAGGACCTTCTATCTTTTCACATACCCGCACATCAAAAGGAACTCAGAGTCACGTGGGTTTATTGGGAGGTTTGATATGGTGCCAATATGGTGCGCTGATGTGTCCCAAGTGGAGGGCTCACAAAACGAAGTCGACCAACTTGTTGGGCCTGAATGTCCCAAACCAGCAGTCCGAGCCGATGCATGTTTGGCCACCCACCTCCAAATTGGTGATGTCGAATAATTCGAACCCCCTTCTGGATGCTCTATAGATCTGAATTGAACCAAGTGGGCAGTGTTGCAATTTGGTATCCCCCATAGAAAGCAGGTGCCATGGCTGCAGTTATGCCTAGTCGATTTGCCGCCGGTTGGGAACAACTGCCTAGTTGAAGCCAGGTGGATTGATTTGGGCACTGCGAAAGATATCATTCCCTGGTCCAGCATGAGACACCGCAGCGGCTCATGCATCAACTACTTAGAGGGGCAGGGTACTTGGTCAGTGGTTAGTAAGCCTGGTTACAACCCACTTACTATGGCTATAATATCCTAAGTGGGTTATAACCAGCCTTCAAAAGGTGTTCAGTAGCCTGGGCTCAGCATGATCTATAGGCAGACTACGACTCACGAACCGGTTTTCTCTACATTTGGCCTACATGCAGGGGTACACTGGAAATCATTCTCTCGGATGCAACATGATGCTCCATTTGAAATTGTTTTGAAGACCAGGGCCATTCGACCCATTTGAGTAGATTGGCGAACAACAAACACCTCAATGGCTAGCAAACATGTAGGATGGTATCAAACGTTGACCCAGTAGCTTGCTTCGAGCGTTGGCCAAAAACAAGTCAGACTTTGTATGCACAAATCCACTCATCTCCAAACCATGCCTAAAGTCCAGCCTTTCTTGCGTGTCGCAGTACCGTGGCCCATGGCGTGACAGCAGCCAGGACCCGGGAACTCAGGGAGTGAGGTCTTGAAAACTTGCCAAGTGGAGAACCCCCGACTCTTTGGCCCTGAAAACTCACAAAAACAACAAAGCGAGCTTTTACCATGGGTATGTCTCAAAGTAGGAGGACCCCCACAATGGTGGCTTCCTTTCGCTCTCCATTTAAAACCACACCAAAAAGGGGCACCCTCAAAGAAAGACCCCGCCTCCCGGAAAAATGATAACAAACAACAAGCGATGTGGTTCTCGCTTGGGTTTTCCTCTCACTTCCTGAGTGGATGGCCCAAAAAAAAGTCTGAACTTATTCTTTACCACTAAAATAGTCCTCTCAAAGTTGAAAGTCCAGGAACTCAAGAAGTAAATGGCTGCGGGTCAAAAATAGGTACCCAAATTCAACCCTAGTAAATGGAAATATGAACTAAAATCTGCAGTCCCCTGGCTGTTGAATGTTGGCCCGCAGCCAAATAAGCCCCAAAACGAAAACCCCCAACAAAGGCCCAACCAAACACCCCGCCTCCGGATACTGCGCCCGGGTCCGCGCCAGCTCCTTGCGCAAGACCTGCAAGCCCCGCTTCTCGCAGGCCCACGGCTGCCCAATGCCCTGCCGGTCGACCCCGCGATCCCCCGAGGTGCTCGGGGGCCGGAAGGCTTGGGGATACCAACTCTTTCTTTCTCTACTTTGTTTCGTTGGATTAAGGCAAAAAGGGAGATTGTTCTTGTGCTCGTTCTCCTTAGAGCTCATTGCCATGACGCCAGGCGGAGGAGAGAACAGCAGGCAAACTGTTGCTGTCAAGCTCGGGCCAGATTGGACCAATGACGCCAGCAGCGCATTTCCTTGCATCAAAATCACGCCGCAGCCAGGCCTGCATTCTTTAGGGCTGAAATGGGCTGAAGGACATTAGTGGTGGTTTCACAGAGCAATCACATCACTGCAAACTATGATCCCTGGACAGCGCTCCGCCAAGATCGGACAAGGGCGAAGCTGCGTAGCAAAAGCAGAACAACAACCGAACCGAACGCGCAGTAGGCTTGCTTTCGGCTTTCGCGCGCATACAAAAACTCACCACGCATATTTACGCCACAGAAAAACTCAAGTACTTTCGGACAACAAAACAGTGTGCGCACTGCCCCAAAGCCCGCGTACGTCCGAAACACAAACCATACGTATATTTACATCGCCGAAAACAGGACTATTCTTGGACGGCGTTTTTCCTCTGCTGTCGCAGTTCCTCTCTGGCAGGTGACTTTTTGGCAATTGCAGCCTTTTGTGTTTGGCTTTGGCTTTCCGCATCCTCGGCATCACCAGTTCATCTTCGGCAAGTCTTTGTTACTTATGTTTTTCTCTGTTGTATGTGTGTATGTAATCTATGTCATCTATGCAATCTATGTAACCTATGTAATCTATGTAATCTATGAATTGTATGTATGTATGTCTGTACGTGTGCACTTCTTCGAACATCTTGGGGGGTTGCCCCCCCCACCCACCCCCCACCCCCCCGGCTGCCTTTTAGAATTTTTACATGGATTAACATGCACCCCTAGTTGAATCATCACTTCTTTTGAACATCCCCCCTGCTGATTCTTACAATTGTCACACAGATTAACATGCATCTCTAGTCGAGTCAGCACTTTTTCGAACATCCTGGGGGGGCTGGTGATGCTGGGAATGTTGGCAGGACATACAGGGATGTTGAAAAACGATGCCGAGGATGTTGACGGGCTAGTGTGAAATACGTACATTTCGTCAGACCATGCTGTAAAATACAACATGTTGCTGGCCAAGACAAAAAAACAAAAACAAACACCAAAAAACACCTACATTAAATCTCAACCCCTTGTTTTCCGGGCAATTACCCCCTTTTTCGTGGTCTTAAAGGCACATCAAAAGGACCATCCACCCGATGGGGACTCCCTCACTCCGGCCGCTGGCCATCGGCGAAGCCTCCCAGGTGCACTCCTCCAACATGATCTTCGGGCGCCAAGTGGCGTCCCCCACCACCTCACTCCGCTCCGAAGCGCCGAGAGGCTTGGTACCCCCTCGTGTTGAAGGGAAATCAAAAGAACACGCGCGATATGATGGTTTTTCTTGTCGTTTCTCTTTTTTGTTGTGGGGGTGTCGGGTCCCCCCGAAAAAAGCGGAATTTCCCATAAAACTCGTGCGGAAAAAACAACAAGCCTAAAAGTTTAGGAGCTAGGATGAAATCCACTGGCGCCGATTGAGAGGCTTATCCCAGGCTTCATCCATGTGAGCTGCTGGGCGTGGACAAGATGTCTACCCAGCTGGGTGGTTGGCACCTTGTGATACTCAATGGACCACAGCGAAACCGTTTGTTGGCTGTCAGATACGATTGTTTCGCTTTGTGGGGGGTTCAAAGGGTACTTGAGCTACCGAAAGGTCAAAGGACACCCAGGCAGCCAGGGATCCACTGGGCTGGGACTTGAGTGTTCGGGCATGTCGCAACAACCGTCCAGCTACCCTGGGGGTGAAAAATGCCAAGTGGCTAACCACCAGGGGACCGCAGGGTTTAGTTCTTGCTTCCATTTACCAGGGCTCCATTTTGGGTACCAATTTTCGACAACCACACCCAAATAGAGATTCCATACAGGCTTTCCTTGGGTCATTCCATTTCTCACTTGCTAACTTGCTAACACCCACACCGCCCACACCCACAACGAAGATCCTGACATGTCGAGTCACGCAAAGCCCCAGCAGTTGGAGGCTGTGGGCACTAGGCAGCTGCGGCATTAGCCGGATCTTCAGCCTGCCTCGTTTCAGAGCCGAATTCCCAGGCAAGGGGCTTGGGGGTTGGAAGATGTTGGGTTGGGGGTTTGGGAGTTTGGGCTGGGAAAGGACGCCAAAACCAAGGCCCATTTTTTGAGAGGTGGCAAGATCTGCGGAAAAGACCAGTGGGAGACCTGACAAAGACCCTCGAACAACCCAAAAACAAACCTGAAACAGCGGGTGTTTTTACGCGGGTTCCTTCCGAGTCTTTTCTGGAGAGTGGGGGGGAGGGTTCCTCTCTAGAAAAAAGCCAGTCCACGACATATTTTGGGAAACCGGCTGGGGAAAAAAGGTATTACTGCAGATTCATGGGCCCCTTCCCGTTATATCCAAGTGGATAAAATCCGCCTTTTTGTGAGGGGGACCAAAGGGACTCCCTGGAAGAGGGTTTCTGCACTAAGGGGCCCCTCTATTGTTCAGAGGAAAAGTCTCAACCACAAACCGATTGGTAAAACAATCAATCCAGCACCCTCGCAAATGGCTTGAAGTGGTCAACAATGTTCAAACACAATTTAGGCTAAGCCCAAACCAAGTGTGGCATGTTCATGTATTCAACACATAATATGCGCATGCCACGCCTAGGACCGTTGTTTGGGGGGGGGCCTTGTTAGGGCCACCTGTCTTTCTTAGTGTCTGGCTTTGACATATCTTCCGTCAGATCCGGATAGATGTTCCAGCGGTCTTGGCCAAGCCTGTTTCTAGGGGTACGGACCCATTCTTTGCGGGGATTTTTCTAGAAAACCTCCATTTTTGTTATTGAACAAAACCGTGATTGAATAGAATGGTTGGAATCAACCCCTAACTCAAGAAAGTATGGTTGATAGTCCGTTCATGTGTTGGACCAATGTTTTTTTCAGTACCCCTAGATTTGTGGTTTGTGTCAAAGGCTTCCATGTCCTTTCCCACCAATTCGAAGACAAGCTGCTGGGCATTTTCCCCGAAAAAATGTTTGGCCCACTCCCCAAAAGGAGTTTCCGTTCAGTCCCACATGGTGCTTTGTTTGGCTCCATGTCGTCTGAGGAGTGCTTTGAGAGAGTGTTCGTAATATCTAAACAAAGCCATTTGAAGGTGTCTGTCTCAATATCTCCGATCCACAACCATGGGTGTTTATGGCCAATTTTTCGTAGCCAAACGAAGCCCCCCCCCAACCCCTGCCATGGTCATCCTTGAACCCTAAAAACAATAAATATACTTGAACCCTACCTTTTTATCAAACATGAGGTCGAACAACAAAAAGAGAAGAACACGAAAAAAAGGAGGTACCGTTTTTCATAGTGCTGGGTTGCAAAATAGACCCGCGTCCAGCATACCCCCCGCCCCAAATGTCAACTTCCATTTGCTTAAAACCCCTCGAAATAAAAAAACACTCCCAGTAGTGATAGGTTCAATTGAAAATCAACGAGGGAAAATCAAAAGCATATTCACTTCAGCAAATGGAAATCCACCCCTTCCGTGGTTTCGAACCTTCGAACACCTCCGGCTTCGCCTTCGGGAAAGCCGTCCAGCTCCTCCACCAACACGCGGCCCGTGGATTTCTCGCGGCAGAGGCTGGCTTGAAGCTGTTGGAAGACCTCCCAGGCGCCCGGCTCCAGGTCCAAGTCCACCTGTCCACGGGCGAAAACGACCACCTGGGCCGGGTGTTTTGGTACAGATCAATCTGCTCAACCCTGGGTTTTGGTAGGATTTTTTGTGCAAGGGGGGCTCCAGGCATGTCTTTACAAACCTGGCAGCTCCTTAGGCTCCCTGTTTAGAAGCAAATTTGGATACCAGCTCCAAGTCCGGCTCCCTTCTAACCAACAGCTAGGGCGAAGGCGGCAAAAGGGGGCGATTGAAAAGATATGTTTTTTGAACTTTACTCACTTGCCAGGACCCAGAAATACAAGGTGATCACCTTTTGGGGTCATGACTCAACAACTACCAAACAAATGCGGGGGGGGGGGGGGGGGGACCCAAAAGGAAACCGCCAGAAGGGGGGGGGGGGGCGGGGTACCGAATCTTGACCCAGGGAAAACATCAGAAATGTTGAATGGGCGCTGGTCAATGGACCTGAGTGGACAGGACCTTTAGTTGAGGAACTTGGGAGTGAGGCGTCCTTCTTTTTGCCAAAACAAAACGTAGTTGGAACCGGGCACCAGTCCCAGAAAGGGCTCAGTACCCTTGGATCCAGCAACCCCAAACACGTGGACGGTTCCTCACAAAAAAAATAAAAATATGGACAGGTTGCTTTTGGCACAGTCATCCCCTTGAAGCCATCGTAGCAATCCGCCCAAAACCATCCGGAGCTCTTCTTGGTCCACAGTAGAAAACCAACTTTTTAGCTCACACGAGGTCCAACTTCAGAACAAATTCCCTTCTCGCACAAGAATCAAATGACCATGGGTCAAAATCCAAATTGTACCCGCAGTGAACATCCCAATCCCCACCAAAATCGACTAAAATGGGTGGTGCACCTACCCCAAAATGGTACCATTGGTTTTTGACCCACAGCCAAATGAAAGCAACCCGCAAAACCTCCTTTTGGCAGCAATTTTCCCCCAACAGCAACCTCCAGCGTGCCAACTCCAAAACAGGAACACCCCATCTTATGGGTTGAGTGTACCAGGCCTTGCCTTTTCTGCTGAAATGAACAGCCTCCATTGAACCTGCTTATTCCATTCCTACTTATTCAATTCAGCAGTGGAAAAGGCAAACCATGGAGTGTACCCATTTTTAGAGTTAAAGCAACTTGGAAACAGAGAAACACGCCTTCTCAGTAGCTCAGACCAAAACCAATCTGGCAACACAGAACCACAGAGCTTGGTTTGAGTGGCTTAAGCAACCACGGCCCAAGACAAAGCAACCATTTCTTCAAACAAGCTGCTTGAACCAACAAGCAATCGCTGGACACCAAGCCTCAACAGGGATCCTTACATGAAAAAAACACCTGAACATTGCAACTTGTAAATGGTGGTGTCCCCTTATTTTGGTGTTGAAAAAGCCAATGTGTCCAATGGTTGCAACTTATTTTGGTGTTGAAAAAGCCATGTTTCAACTGGTTGCAAAATGAATTTCTTTTAAGGCTTTAAGGAGCCCGGTCAAACGAACATCTCCTCCGCCTGCACCACCGCCTCCTCGTGCTCTGAAGACTCGGAGAGACTGCCGCAGCTCAGCAGGCGGAAGCCAGAACCCACCAGGAGCCCCCGGTGCGACAAGAAGACCGGCGCCTTCGTTTCCGCCGTTTCACTCGGAACTACTCAGAGAACCATAGGCGTCTTCTTGGGAAAAGAAATGGAGTTCACTGGTAGATTCATCAACGACCAGGTCAACCCACAGGCGTCTTCTTGGGAAAAGAGATGGAGTTCACTGGTAGATTCATCAACGACCAGGTCAACCCACAGGCGTCTTCTTGGGAAAAGAGATGGAGTTCACTGATAGATTCATCAACGACCAGATCAACCCACAGGCGTCTTCTTGGGAAAAGAGATGGAGTTCACTGGTAGATTCATCAAGGACCAGGTCAACCCACAGGCGTCTTCTTGGGAAAAGAGATGGAGTTCACTGGTAGATTCATCAACGACCAGATCAACCCACAGGCGTCTTCCTGGGAAAAGAGATGGAGTTCACTGGAAGATGAAACAACTTCGGTCGAACTACAAGAGAACCATAGGCGTCTTGTTGGGAAAAAAGATGGAGTTCACTGGTAGATTCATCAACGACCAGATCAACCCACAGGCGTCTTCTTGGGAAAAGAGATGGAGTTCACTGCAAGATGAAACAACTTCGGTCGAACTACAAGAGAACCATGGCGTCTTGTTGGGAAAAGAGATGGAGTTCACTGGTAGATTCATCAACGACCAGATCAACCCACAGGCGTCTTCTTGGGAAAAGAGATGGAGTTCACTGGAAGATGAAACAACTTCAGTCGAAACTATTCAGAGAACCATAGGCGTCTTGTTGGGAAAAGAGATGGAGTTCACTGGTAGATTCATCAATGACCAGATCAACCCACAGGCGTCTTCTTGGGAAAAGAGATTGAGTTCACTGGAAGATGAAACAACTTCGGTCGAACTACAAGAGAACCATGGCGTCTTGTTGGGAAAAGAGATGGAGTTCACTGGTAGATTCATCAACGACCAGATCAACCCACAGGCGTCTTCTTGGGAAAAGAGATGGAGTTCACTGGTAGATTCATCAAGGACCAGGTCAACCCACAGGCGTCTTCTTGGGAAAAGAGATGGAGTTCACTGGTAGATTCATCAACGACCAGGTCTTCTTGGGAAAAGAGATGGAGTTCACTGGTAGATTCATCAAGGACCAGGTCAACCCACAGGCGTCTTCTTGGGAAAAGAGATGGAGTTCACTGGAAGATGAAACAACTTCGGTCGAACTACAAGAGAACCATGGCGTCTTGTTGGGAAAAGAAATGGAGTTCACTGGTAGATTCATCAACGACCAGGTCAACCCACAGGCGTCTTCTTGGGAAAAGAGATGGAGTTCACTGGAAGATGAAACAACTTCGGTCGAACTACAAGAGAACCATGGCGTCTTGCTGGGAAAAGAGATGGAGTTCACTGGAAGATGAAACAACTTCGGTCGAACTACAAGAGAACCATGGCGTCTTGTTGGGAAAAGAGATGGAGTTCACTGGTAGATTTATCAACGACCAGGTCAACCCACAGGCGTCTTCTTGGGAAAAGAGATGGCGTTCACTGGTAGATTCATCAACGACCAGATCAACCCACAGGCGTCTTCTTGGGAAAAGAGATGGAGTTCACTGGAAGATGAATCAACTTCGGTCGAACTACGAGAGAACCATGGCGTCTTGTTGGGAAAAGAGATGGAGTTCACTGGTAGATTCATCAACGACCAGGTCAACCCACAGGTGTCTTCTTGGGAAAGGAGATGGAGTTCACTGGTAGATTCATCAAGGACCAGGTCAACCCACAGGCGTCTTCTTGGGAAAAGAGATGGAGTTCACTGGTAGATTCATCAAGGACCAGGGCAACCCACAGGCGTCTTCTTGGGAAAAAAGATGGAGTTCACTGGTGGATTCATCAAGGACCAGGTCAACCCACAGGCGTCTTCTTGGGAAAAGAGATGGAGTTCACTGGTAGATTCATCAACAACCAGGTCAACCCACAGGCGTCTTCTTGGGAAAAGAGATGGAGCTCACTGGTAGATTCATCAAGGACCAGGTCAACCCACAGGCGTCTTGCTGGGAAAAGAGATGCAGTTCACTGGTAGATTCATCAAGGACCAGGTCAACCCACAGGCGTCTTGTTGGGAAAAGAGGTGGAGTTCACTGGTAGATTCATCAACAACCAGGTCAACCCACAGGCGTCTTCTTGGGAAAAGAGATGGAGTTCACTGGAAGATGAAACAACTTCGGTCGAACTACAAGAGAACCATAGGCGTCTTGTTGGGAAAAGAGATGGAGTTCACTGGTAGATTCATCAACGACCAGGTCAACCCACAGGCGTCTTCTTGGGAAAAGAGATGGAGTTTACTGGTAGATTCATCAACAACCAGATCAACCCACAGGCGTCTTCTTGGGAAAACTGATGAAGTTCACTGGAAGATGAAACAACTTCGGTCGAACTACAAGAGAACAATAGGCGTCTTGTTGGGAAAAGAGATGGAGTTCACTGGTAGATTCATCAACGACCAGGTCAACCCACAGGCGTCTTCTTGGGAAAAGAGATGGAGTTTACTGGAAGATGAAACAACTTCGGTCGAACTACAAGAGAACCATGGCGTCTTGTTGGGAAAAGAGATGGAGTTCACTGGTACATTCATCAACGACCAGGTCAACCCACAGGCGTCTTCTTGGGAAAAGAGATGGAGTTCACTGGAAGATGAAACAACTTCGGTCGAACTACAAGAGAACCCTGGCGTCTTGCTGGGAAAAGAGATGGAGTTCACTGGAAGATGAAACAACTTCGGTCGAACTACAAGAGAACCATAGGCGTCTTGTTGGGAAAAGAGATGGAGTTCACTGGTAGATTCATCAACGACCAGGTCAACCCACAGGCGTCTTCTTGGGAAAAGAGATGGAGTTCACTGGAAGATGAAACAACTTCGGTCGAACTACAAGAGAACCCTGGCGTCTTGCTGGGAAAAGAGATGGAGTTCACTGGAAGATGAAACAACTTCGGTCGAACTACAAGAGAACCATAGGCGTCTTGTTGGGAAAAGAGATGGAGTTCACTGGTAGATTCATCAACGACCAGATCAACCCGCAGGCGTCTTCTTGGGAAAAGAGATGGAGCTTACTGGTAGATTCATCAACAACCAGATCAACCCACAGGCGTCTTCTTGGGAAAAAGAGATGGAGTTCACTGGCTTACCCCTTAAAACTCCAAGCCCTGGGGGAAGTTAATCTTTTACAGACATATAGCCAATGTTACCCAAAAAGTTGAAAAGTTGTGTTTTAAAGAGGTAAGCTGGTAGATTCATCAACGACCAGGTCAACCCAACGCGTCTTGTTGGGAAAAGATATGGAGTTCACTGGTAGATTCATCAACAAAAAGGTCAACCCAACAGCGTCTTGTTGGGAAAAGAGATGACGTTCACTGGTAGATTCATCAACAATCAGGTGAACCCGCAGGCGTCTTGTTGGGAAAAGAGATGGAGTTCACTGGTAGATTCATCAACGACCAGATCAACCCACAGGCGTCTTCTTGGGAAAAGAGATGGAGTTCACTGGAAGATGAAACAACCAGGTCAACCCACAGGCGTCTTGTTGGCAAAAGAGACGGAGTTCACTGGAAGATGAAACAACTTCGGTCGAACTACAAGAGAACCATAGGCGTCTTCTTGGCAAAAGGAGTTCACTGGTAGACTAGTGAACAACCAGGTCAACCAGGGCGGCTTTTTTTAACCAGGACGGCTATTTTCTACCAAAAGGACACCACTATACAAATCCCTTAACTGGGCTGTCCGTTTCGGATGCCCTGCGACAAGTGATGAACTTGTGAAGTAAATTAAACCACTAAACCAACTAGACACATCAAAACCAAAGGAACCGGTCCGCTGGAAACATAACAGGGGTGGTGGTAGACCAAAAAGGCACTGCTGCCGTGAATGGAGACCTCTATATTGAGACCACCAAAACGGGACACCCTCAAAAAAGACAGACCCACTTGTTTCTTGCTTCAGGAAAATTTGCTTCAACTCTGTCCTTGGCATCGTAGTGCCTCCCCGCCAGCACCACCAGCACGGGGCGGTTCTCGCGCGTGCCCAACAAAATCCACGGGAAGCCTATAGGAAACAAAGCATCTTTAGGGTCCCCTATTACAAAACAAACAAAGCAGCCAGGCGTGCTGGTTTAAGGAATGAGGATCGAGTTGCCCCTGCCAAGGAAAACCGAACACCTTCATGTAACATCCAAGGTAAAACTTGTGTAAGCCTCCTAGCATCACGCAGGGGGAGGTGGGAAGCGTCGGTGAGCAAGTTTGGGGTTGGCTTCGCGTGGCTTAGGGGTGTTGCATCTGTTGGATACACCCAAATGGAAAAGCCCCTCTCCCCATCAAAAAGGAAACCAACAGGAAACATGTCGCCAAACTTCGGAGAAAAATGAGACTCAACCATCCGTGCTTCAAACATCAACCCATTTGTGTCTTCTTGTAAACAGTGTTGGATTCAAAAGGGGCACCCGTCCCACAGCAAAGATGAACACAGTTGACCGTTGGCGAGCGCTGGTGTTGGTGAAAGGGAAGCGGAAAGGACAGCCGCCGTTTCGGCCCTGGTATCCCAATGTTTTCCCATGACGGTCAATGTTCATTGTGCCCCGTGAAGCGGGATGTTGGTTCTCAAAGTCACCCAAACCCTACCAGCATTACTAGCTTTTTGCGGGAGATTGGAGAGCCCTGCATGTTCCGGTAACCTAACATGGACCATTGACTTGTGTAAAACTCGACCAAACCTCAGTCCATGAAAAGAGTAGAGCCATCCTCATCCTGGGTCCCGATTCCCAATTTTGACACACACACACACAGAAACAGGGATGTTCCCGTTGGCATTCTTCGGACTGGAATGTTAGTCCGAATTTAACATTGCGGAGTTCGTGAGGGTGTTGTGAGGGTACCCTTTGAAACCGAAGCCACTTTTCGGCTACCGAAGCTATTTTGACACAAACCCATCCCCGTGGATTCTATTCCCCTGGTTTTGTAGGCAACCAAGGGAACCCTGTTGACCCAGAACCATGTAAAGAATGAAGAAGGCGGATATCCGCAGCTACTTATGGCCAGGGGATTGTCCCTTACTAGCCTTCATCTACCCGAATCGGTTTTGATTGTGGCTCACATGGCGTGGGTTACTTACAATGGCGCAAGGGCCAATGTCCCACAGACCTCCGACTCCGATCCAAACAACGGTCTGATCCTCGCTCACCACCAGCTGCACCCCGTCCAAGTCGTTGGACCGTGAAAACGGCATCATCTCCAGACCAGGGACCAAGACCTCCTCAGGTCGCCAGGAACCCCGCGACCAGTGACCCGAAAGGTAAGCAAAAAGGCCCGTTTACCCGAAAGGGAAGAAGAGAACCATGGGTTTTGGATGGAAACCTCGAAATATGTTCCTTGTTTCGGAGATTCCTGCCCCTTTCAGGGCTCCATGACTCTTTCTGGAGGGTAGTGGCGTGCGAACCAGGGGAAGCCACCCACGATTTCATTTAAAAAAAACGAGAGGTAAGAAGCAACCCGTGATCGTCCCCCCTTAGAGAGTAGAGAGGTGCAGCCCCAGGAATACGTGGTGCCCGATGTCTCCTGTGATCCATCAGCATGCCCATGCGCGGCGGAACATCGATAGCCACTCGCAGGCTTTGCAGCCAGTGACCCGATTTTGATCAAACAAAGAAGGGAGCCTGCCTGGAGCGGATCGGCCAAAAGGCCAACCTGCACAGATCCAAGTTCCAAACATTCCGTGATAGGAGAAACACATAGAACCCAAGAAAGGGGACCATGTTGTTTTGGGGTTCAGGAATCCACCGCACAGGGAGCAAAGGCAGCACTGAACTGGGAAAGTCCTCAGATCCCCTGCCTGAAAGTTTCACTTTTATTGGCCCCCGCTAAACCCGAAAAGCCGGAAAACCTTCGGGATGTTCCCAGCCGCTGAGTAGGCTGCAACAACTTACTCTCCCATGGAACTCAACAGCAAGACAAGGTCCACCCATTCCAAGGATAATAACCCCACCAAAAGCAAGCAGTGGCCTTTTGTTCAGCAGAGAGAGGTTTAAGACAAATCTTGAAGAAAACATATTACCAGTCACAACCATTGTCCCCTATCAAGTTGAATTCAACAAGCCTATCCTTATGCACATGAAGTAATCTGCACTTGTTAATATTATCCCAAAACCTGAAATGAGGGGTCCCCAAGTAGAGGAGCCTCATGGGATAAGGAGCCTCATGGGATAAACCGCTAATGTTAACTTTGGATAAATCCGGGTACCGTACCAATAAAGGTGCGGTTCCCCTTGCGAAGTGAGCTAGCTTAGGTGGTTTGTTCGACTAGACTCTGGAGGGGACTAATCCGAAGCCAAGATTACTGTTATCTTCGAGTAGGCCATAGCCAATGTGCTCACTTGCCCAAAGGACCTGGAACAACAGTTAACCGTTTGGGGCCATGCCCCACAAAAACGGACCAAACTGAAGAAGATGCAAGGCATCTTAATGTCGAATCGCTTTGGGCAAGGAGAAGATAGAAACAAACCCGTTCCCTCCAAACAATAAGGTCGACAGAAGAAAAACAAATACGCTTCGGGCAACTGAACGCAAGATGACTTCGGGCTGCAACCGTAGACAAATAACTTGTTGCAGTCCTCGTCCTCTTGCTGGATGAAAAACTTCATGGCCCGGTGGTGCAGCACATTCTGGGCCCAGAGGTATCCTGATTCCTGAGCGGCTATGCGCAAACACTTCACCATCGGGCTGACATTTTAGCAGAGGACCCTCTGGTGGACAGCATTTGACCAAATTGTACGGTATTTGTTAATTCCTGCGGTACTGCGACTGCGTGCAGCTAGTTGAAACTATGCCCTCGCATTGCATTGAGCAAAGTGTGCCGCTCACACCTTGTACGTCCAGGCCTTGTATATCTAATTGGTTTTTCGAAAATATGCTTCCTCCATGTGATCTGGTGCCTTCGGACTGGCCCCAGGATTGTCCGCCACTTTGGAGCTGCTTCCCTCTTTTGCTTCTTTGCCACTTGATTTTGTTGTTAGGCGGGATGCCGCTTGGTTGGGATTCCGGAGATTCTGAGCTGACTCGCCCGCAGTTCTCAAACCTTCGGGGGGGTTGATTGAAATGAGAGCCAACACTGAGCAAACGAACCAACGAAAGCCACAAGACTCTTCACAATCTTAACAAACTCAACGGGGGCACTTAGCAGCTTGTATCAATTTGCGGGTTTGCTCCTTCGGGCACCAAAACGGGTCCCCCCTCCTTCCCCGCCAAATTAGGTTCAAGAGGGCCCTACCAAAGCGCGCACACAGCCTGCAGGCAAGATTCAGACAAGCCCAAGCGCCGGCACACTTCCGAGCCCAGCTCTGCTTGCAGGTCCCAGTAGTCTTCTTCCAGCTGCCTCTTCCTTCGTCGGCCTACACGAACCAGTGACCGACCAGTGGGAATCCATCCCCGCAAAAAGAAGACAGTCCCTTCCACCGAAAACAGAAGAAAACTACGGAATTGCAGCCTGGAGGTCTTGGGGCATGAATTCTCCCTTCAGGGGTCAAATGTTGGTATTACCTACATGGATTGTGTGGGAAGGTCGGTCCTTCGTCCCACCAAATGCTGCTCCGCAACAGTTCCAGATCCTCATCTGCCCAAGATGTAAGCGGGGCATCTGTGAACTGCAGCCGGGCGATGTGATCTGTCACCTTCTTCCTGAGAGCTAGACTCAAGCTGGACACTTTGCGCCAGGGCTGCGGGAAAAGACCACTTCAGGGGATTCCCTTGTATCACAGAAGTAGGGCTTACACCCCATCCCACAACCCTGCTTTGCGCTGATTGAAACGGATGGAAATGGCTTCAAAACCCAAAAACTCACATTCCGATCGAACTCAGGAAGTGAGAAAAGGCAAGCAAAAGAAAAGGTAGTTGCTAAGACTGCCAATGCTTCTCGCCATGCTTCTTCTCATGGAGCAAATGCAGAGCAATCCATGTGGAGTTGCCTCAGCGCTGCAGGACAAGCAGCATGCAGTAGCTGAAAATGCAAGATGCTCACTCCCAATTTGGGCACTCCCAATTTGGGCACTCCAAATTGGACGGTTCCTGACAAGATGAACTTTCCAGCCCATATTCCCCCGTTTGAGGGAAGCCCTTCACATGACCATGACTCATGTCTCATTAAGAGGGGCGCGTCGTGGGATTGGGTCGATGACATCCCCAGAAGTGACCAAACTAAAGCCACAAAAGGTTTCTTTGCAAGTAATGTTGCAACAGCTTCAAGAAGCCCGGTGTCCCCCAGGGCACGAAAAAAATGGCACCTCTGTTTGCCTATCTGGGCCTATCAACCCCATAGCTTTCAGGTTGATGATTTTTCTCCCATGGAGAAGTTCTGAACACACCAGTCGGCCAAGCGTCGTTCCAGGAGGGCGGAGTGTGGATTCCGGCGCTTAGCTGCTGTGAGCGCAGAGTACACCGCTGGACACTTGCGAGCTGCATCTTTGGTCCTCGGGCAAACCCTCCATGGCATGGAACATGGTCTCGGTGGCAGTCAGCTTCTCCATGGAAGCTGCCAAAAAGTAAAATGAAAAAGTGGGTGACTCGAAGTGCTTTGGAATCGGGCACACCGAAAAAGCTTTGGTTGTGCAGTGGGTTTCTCTTTAACACCAGAAACAAAGGGTACCAACTCCAAAGAAGACAGTCCCAGATGGTGTTGCACGTGGTCAGCCTCCGTGGGGGTAGTGCTTCATAGGGTTGGTTGCGAACCACCTATATAGGGACTCGACCTGTCCAAATCTTAGAAAGCTGGACGAGTATCCTTTTGACTTTCAAGAGAAGACTTTCCTTGTGCCATATGGCCATGGGTCATAACCTGTCCCTCCATTTTGGGGCGGATGAACACCCATGTACCACCCATTTTGATGTTCACCAGGGGTACAGAATTGTGACCCACAGCCATATTGGTTCCTGGTCCAAGCGTGTTCTTGTTCCTTTCCGCCAAGGTCCAAATAAATCTTGTTTTGGGATTCCAGGCCCAAGAAGCGGCCGCGAACCTCTTCGGGAATTTCCGAACAGAAAATGGTACCATGTCATTGATGGTGAAGTAACGTCCCTTGCCTAAGAAACCAAAACAAAAAGGCTGGTCCGCAATCAGAAGGGACTGACTGAGAAAAAGACAAACACAAAGAAGCGATGAAAGTAGATTCATTTGAGCCATGCAAAACCATGTCTGCCTTCCCTAGTTCCAAGTGATTCTTGTTTCTTTCTCCTGGTGGCACATGTTGCCTTTTCCAGGTAGCCCCAGTGGTGGTTGGATTTGGATTTGAACCAACCAGGATCTTGGGTAAACGGGAAACCACCCCGGAACCTCTTCAAAGCACCCATCCAAACCACCAATTAGGGCCTAGCCATGGACAGGCCTGCTTCTTTCTTGCGTTCACATGGGCACGGGTCCCAGGGTTTTAAGCTCAAGATCGGCAAGATGAGGGGCCAAGAACAAGTTTCACCGGTCTTGGGACCCGGGAAGCCGAATTTGCGAACCAAGCTGGCCATTGCTTCTGCGCGTTGGAAAGCGGGTTCACAGCCCCCGAAGCTTACCGACACGATCAAGGATAACTCTCACCAGGAATGGGGCGCATGTCGATGGTACAAGACATTTCCTAGGCAGTTCATCAACCCGAATTAACTGGGTGTGTCCTTAACCAGTTTGACCCTCTTGTTCCCTGTCAAGGTTTCCATTTAAAACCACGAAAAATGGGCGGCGGCTTTTCACGAATTCCAAGTGGGGACCTTCGTGTGGACTCGCAAGCGAAATCGAGGTGCCAGCACTGAGACAGGGGAATCGCCAGAAGTGGAGTTCCCTTTGCAGCTGCCTCTTTGCAAGTGAGACCACCTCAGCCAGCCGCCAACATATGCCAAGCTGGAATACCTCTGAATCCTTCGTTTTTGGGACAAAACCCGGAAAGGAGTTGAACTGGAATACCTCTGAACCTTTGTTTCCTCTCCAATATCCCTACGAACCCTTTTGGTAGCTCATAGAAATGCATCATGGGTACAATATGAGGGTATCGCTTTGGACAGGACCGCAAAGGAGGCCAATATTACTATTTGCAGGACCCGACATAAGACAAATCTCCGAGGTACAGGACCCGTTTTCCTGGTGCGCTCGTTTTACCCCACATTGGTGAGCTCGCCCTAGCATAGGCAGACCAAATCCATTTGCCAGGGGTCGCGATTTATTTCACCCCGGGCTTGCGAGGGCTTGAGAGAAATCCCGAAAAATCGACAAAACTTTCGACTCCATAGGGAACTCAATTCCTGAGACCATGACGGCCATCTCTTTGAGCCAAGCTCGTCCTTGTTTTGGGGAAATACAAACCAACCTGATGGAAATGCAACTCACTTCTTGAGTCGACAGGCCAAACAAAGTCCAAGCTTTCGTTGTCCATGAAATCAGGGAGTGAGGCAACACCTCCACTTTACGGAAGTCCCCTTTCCAAACGAAGCCAGGCCGACTCTGGCACGATCCACTCGGCGATGGTTACTTTACGATGGTCCAGAACAAGTCCGGGGACCTCTCGGTGGCTTGTTGATACTCTGCAAAAACTTACCTATTCACTTCCACTCGCGCGGATGGGCCAAAACAAGTCCGAACTGTTTGTTTGCCATTAAACTGGTCCAATCCCAAACAGTCCAAAGTCGAGGAGTTCAGGGACTGAGTCCACTGTCAAGACCTTTTGGAACCTTGACTAAATGGACCAAATCAGGGAAACCAAAAAATCAGATCCGGTCGATTCGCAATGCGAAACGATGAGACACGTGGAATGGCAGGGAACCGAGTCACTTTGGCACATCCCGAGCCCAAAATCGTTGCGCAACCTCAATCCATTTTCCAAGGGTTCGGATGTGTTGGCAACCTTACAGGTCTCACGGTCGCCCAGGCGAGCCACTACACTAGGTGACCAACTACGTTCCTTTTGATGTTTCAAGGGTGGCAAGGGAAATGCAATCACTGGGGTGCCCAATGAGGGAAAGGACACGAGCCAAAGCAGGACTCTTATGTCCCAGAAGCAAACTGCCAACCTGGCCGTGCCCAAGAAAAGTTACTCCCCAGCATTCATTTGCTTGAGTCCTGTTCACAAAATGGGACAATATATCCAGCAGTGATGGATTCCTTTTAAAACCAACAGGGGAACATAGGACAAATCTCAAAAGCAAATGGAAGCCAGCCTGGGCTGGATATGGGCGAACCACTTGCGATAGACAAAAGGGCACCCATGCCCTGGACAGGGCTTGGTAGTACGAGGAAACCCGGCTCAACATGGCAATTCCTGTGGAGGTGATGCAGACAAATCGGCTGGAAATATGGGTGTCTCTTGTTTGAGGGTACCATCTTTCTGGGTTGCTTGAAACCGGAAACCAAACGCAAAAACCATTCCATTTTCGGGGTCGCCTATTTTATGACAATCTCCAGCGACATGCCCAAAACCGGGCCTTCAGACACCTCCAGTCGGCTGAAGATGTAGCCCAGGCTGGCCAGCTCCTCGACCCAAACGTGGAAAAACTGGACGTGGCAAGGCGGTTCTCTTGAGTCAGCCAGGATCCAGAAGTACGAGGTGATCTTTTGGCTAGGCCCTCCAGTAGAGAGGTTAGAATAAGGGTGCCCTTTTTGCTGTAGTCTATCTGAATAGGGGATCCCTCCCCCAAGAAAGGGGAACAGGGCACTACTGGGGGAAATCACTAAACATGGACCAACAAAGTGAAGCTAAAGGTCCAACGGTTGGTTGTTCCGACGTCTTTGACAAAGAGTCGTTCTCCCAAAAAATAATCGCGCACCCGCGCTACCTTGACTGTACCCACAGCGCCGATCTCTTGTTGATTTGTTCTTGAGGGATTCCTCTCCGGAAAGCCAAAGGGAGGTGCCCCCAAAACGACAAGAGCTTCTCTGGGTTTGGCATTGTCACAACCTGAAAAGGCATGCCCCCAAGCAACACCAGCAAACACACACACGCACGGGCAATTGGGTGTGTCTCACAAAAGTTGGGACTCCCAAATGGGCTGCTTTACCTTACTTTACCATTGAACTCACCCAAAAGAGGGCTCCCCAATGTTCCCCCACAAATCGAACACCCGGGTTGTCAGAACCCAGTCCTCCGCCGCCGCCATCAGCTGAGATCATGAGCCCAAATGCGGAAAAGGCAAATCCGGAGATGGCGCCGAAGCATTGAATTGACACTCCTGGGGGTCCGGACCTCCATCAGGTTTTGGGCCCTGCAAACGGCAGTTCGCCTTTCTCGGTTGCTTGCAGGGTGCAAAACTGGCAAGGAAGCTAAAGGAAACCAAAGACCCAAGACCCGACAAGCCACTACGATTGGGTGGCCCCCAATTCCCCCCAAAAGGTGAGCCAACAAACGCTGAGTCATCAAACATTGGGTGCCTTCCTTTTGCTCGTTGCATTGTCTTTGGTCACACCAACTTGGGGAAACCAAAATGGCAGCTTCAAAGCTCAGCTTCAAGGATAACACCAGAACCCTCGCCTCAGGAAGCCCCCCGAGTCAATCCCTGGCAGCTTCTCTCGCTTGAGGGTCGTCTTCTCCGGATCAAATCCGGTCCAAGGGGATAAAAATGGAAAACTTGTCCTAAGAACTGGTGGTGTCTGAACCGGCAGAGCTTGATTATTTACCACTGGATCGCGGAGACCAGCTCTATCCCCAAGTTCCAGACTTGGGGTTTGCGGTTTGGAGGTGACTTTGTTCGTGTGGGTACCCCTTGTTTGATGGTTTTGCAGGGAAACCAAAAGGAAAACCACCATTTCTTTTGGGGGAGAGGGGGTCCCCTAAAAAAGGCACACCCACATGGTGTGCTTCTGTCTTTCCGTGGCCATGATCTGCTGCAAGTAGCACTCAGCTCCCTTCGGAGCGACGTCACCCGACGTGTCATTTTTGTTTTCCTCCGCGTCCTAGTCTGATGCCTCTTGCTAGGCTCAACTCGGCGCAGCTCGCGCGTCGGACAAAGCTGTGCGCCGAGAACCCGACTTCCACAGCCGCCAGTGCACCAGGCCGTCAGCCGTCGCGACGCCCGGGCACCAGCAAGCGATGTGAAAATCTGACGCAGCTGAATATGTGGGGCGTGTCTCAAAAAGGTGCAGCCAGCCCGCTTGCCGAACTCGAATTCGACCTGGAGTCAAGGCCATCCAAAACAAGTCGACAACCTTTTTTGGGACACGCCCAATCAATGTATGAATCCCGGGCCTATCCGAACTCAGTCTTTGGACTCCTGGCACAGTGATCTGCAGTCATTTCCGCACTCGTCTCTTCCCGAATGCCTGAAGTTCACAACCCTTGGTATGGTAGCAAAAAACATTGCTTTTTTGCAGCCCCCTGCTAAAAACGAACAGAACCCAAAAAACCAAAAAAACAAAACAACTTGCCAAGAACAGTGGAGTGTACTTCCTAAGTGGCTTGGGCAGCCAAGCAACTTGCTCCAGCCTCATTCTGAACACGGCGTCGCTTGCAAAGCGCTGATTCTCTGCCTCCCGAGTGCATTCCCATGCTCCCCGAAAGGTCACCAGGAAAATTCGTTTCACTCGACAGGGACGTCTGAGTGGGTGTGTTTCTTGCGGGTACCCGTGTCACCGTGGTACGATTTTCCCTGTGGCCTATGTTGACACATACGGGTATGTCTTTTTTTGCGGGTACCTGGCTTCAAAAGGAAACCAAAAGGAAACCCTGCACCTTTTGTTGGGGGGGTCCGATTCCAAAACAAAAACAAGCCGTACATACCTTGACAAGCGACCTGCATCAATTTCCCAAACCACAACAGCCGTTGTAAAGCCACCTGGATCAAATTCCCCCCCCCCCTAAAAAACAAACAAACAAACAATCAAACAAACAAAGAACCAACCAACCAACCAACCAACCAACCAACCAACCAACCAACCAACCAACCAACCAACCAACCAACAAACCAAACCAAGCAAACCAACCAACCAACCAACCAACCAACCAACCAACCAACCAACCAACCAACCAACCAACCAACCAACCAACCAACCAACCAACCAACCAACCAACCAACCAACCAACCAACCAACCAACCAACCAACCAACCAACCAACCAACCAACCAACCAACCAACCAACCAACCAACCAACCAACCAACCAACCAACCAACCAACCAACCAACCAACCAACCAACCAATCCAACCAATCTAACCAACCCAACCAATCTAACCAATCCAACCAATTTAACCAATCTAACAAATCCAATCCATCCAATTTATCCAATCCAACCAACTAACCAACCAACCAACCAACCTACATACCTACTAACTAACCAACCAGCCAATGCAACCAATCCAACCAATCCAACCAACCCAACCAACCCAACCAACCCAACCAACCCAACCAATCCAACCAATCCAACCAATCCAACCAACCAACCAACCAACCTACCTACCTACCAACCAATCCAACCAATCCAACCAATCCAACCAATCCAACCCATCCAACCCATCCAACCCATCCAACCAACCCAACCAATCCAACCAATCCAACCAATCCAACCAATCCAACCAATCCAACCAATCCAACCCAAGCCAACCCAACCCAACCCAACCCAACCCAACCCAACCGACCCAGCCGACCCAACCGACCCAACCAACCCAACCAATCCAACCAAGCAACCAACCAACCAACCAACCAACCCACCCACCCACCAACCAACCAACAAACCAAACAACCAACCAACCCAACCAATCCCAACGAATCCAACCAATCCAACCAACCCAACCAATCCAACCAAGCAACCAAGCAACCAACCCACCCACCCACCCACCCACCCACCCACCCGCCCACCCACCCACCACCCACCACCCACCCACCCACCCACCCACCCACCCACCCACCCACCCACCCACCCACCCACCCACCCACCCACCCACCCACCCACCCACCCACCCACCCACCCACCCACCCACCCACCCACCCACCCACCCACCCACCCACCCACCCACCCACCCACCCACCCACCCACCCACCCACCCAACAACCCACCAACCAAACAAACCCACCAACCAACCAAACCAACCAACCAACCAAACCAACCCACCCATCCAACCAAACAACAACAACTTGTTGGTGGCCATTTCACTCGCCTCTTCCGCCGGGAATGGTCGAGTTGCGGGCGCTCCTGACGCTGGAGGCGCTTTGCAGCGCAAGACGTTTGGCGCGGTTTGCCAAGCTCAGGATTACGCCTCTTTGGCTTGGTTGCTGTTGACCCCCCTGCAGAAAGTTTGGGGGTTTAGTGGAAAACCCCATGATGTCCCAAAAGCTAAAGTCTAAAGATCCAACCCAATAGCAGTCAAGTTGGGAACCACCTAAGAGTTAGACATGTTGCGCACTTCCTGAGTGGATGGGCCAGAAAAAATCAAGCTTTTTAGTTTCCGCTAAAACGGTCTCCCCAAAATGTCTAAGGTTCAGGAACTCAGGAGTGAGTGTGTGATGTTTCAGGCAGTGGGGGGGGATTGTTCGCTGGCGGTCCCTTTTGGATGCTTTCATCTGCCATCTTTTAAGAATCCGACCCGCGGAATCCTGCAGGCCATTTAAGAGAGAGTCCGGTTCGGACATGCCAATGGATGGAAGGGGTCCCCACTCAATTTTGGCGAGCCTTTTTGTATCCCAAGAAGCAAATTGCGCAAGGCTTGGTTTCCTCTTGGTTTCCCGTTAAAGCCACAAAGAGGGGTACAAGCTCTACTAGGTCCTCCAGTAGAGAGGCTAGAATAAGGGTACCATTTTTCTGTAGTCTACTTTAGTAAAGGAATCCTCCCCCAAAAACGAAACGGTACAAGGGCACCTAGCTGGGGGACCTAGTCTAAACAAGGCATGAGTCATCTGTGTATACATGCTCAACTCCAAACCCAACTCTTAACCATACGGTTGGCTAAGGAAAGCCCTGCGAATCGAAACCCGTCTGCATACGACTTGCATGCCCTCCCAACCATGGAAGTGGCTTCCATGGTTTCTGGCAAGTAATTCGTGTTCCCACACCATCCTCTCAGCTTTGATGAGTATTGGAGGGAGATAAGCCATCTACCACAGCAAACAACTGGGGGCGTCTATTTTTGATGGTTCCTTTTTGGTGGCTTTGCGCGAAACCAAACGGAAAGCCGCTCTCTTGTTTTTCTGTTGTTTTGCTCGAAAAAAGACACTTGCGGACTCGACTCTTGAGTGCCCCGCGTCACCAGATCCATCGCATGTTTCCCCTGATGCTGAAAGCGTGCAGCACCCAACCTCAAAAACGGTCACACGCTCCGAGAATTGCGTGCGAGAGATCAACTGAGCTGCACGCTGAGTGAAAGCATCAGGAACCGCCTCCTGCATGCACAGGCGACAGGTTCCCCTGATCAGCATGGAACCCATTGTAGCGGGGTCCATTTCCTTTCCACACATGGATTTATTTGGGCCTCCATGTTCATCTGTAGGAAGTATCGCCCACTCGAGCGAAGCAGAAAGCCAAGAGGTAAAGTAGGATACATTGAGAAGCTTTTTGGACGACAGCTAAACCAAATGATCTCAGGCGAGGGGTTTCCAGTTGAATCCCCATATCCCTTGTTTCCACGCTTAGCTTGATTGAATTTAGCGAACCTTCCAGAAAGGGCCTCTAATTCTCTTCCATTTGCTTCTTCGCCCCCTGGAAAAATATACATGTCCAGTTGATAGTCTGAATCCAACTTGCAACACCCAACAGGGGGGAAAATAAAAATCAATAAAATCAAGGTCTTCACAACGCCCGGCTGCTTGCGCTCCACGTGTTTTATTTTTTTCTCCCCCAAAGTCGGCGAGTTCTCTCCTGCAAGCCCGCAGGATCCAAGTCCACAGCTTCATCGCTGGAGGAGTCGCTGGAGGATTCGCTGCTGGAGGAACTGGCCGTGAGCCATGGGTGTGGAGCCTTCCGTTTTGGACTCGGCTTGCAATGGCTTCCGTGTTTTTCTTTGTTCCCTGTTTTTGTTTCTTCATTTTTTGTGTTTTTTTCCCGTGTTGCTTTTCTCCTTTTATTCTTCTTTTTTGTTTGGTTCGAAGTTCGGACCCTAATGGCTTCCGTGTTTTTCTTCTTTTTGGCTTCCAGAGAACAACCTGTCCATGTGGGCGTGGAGCCTCTTGGTTGGGAATCGGACCCAACTAAACCCGGTGGGTCTGCGGTCTGGTTTCCCGAGAAAACCAAGCCCAAAAAGGGTACCGAGCCTCGAAAAAAGACGGGGCAGCCATGTTGTCTTTCCGCTCTTTGGTGCTTCCGTGAAGGTCCGATGATTGATTGATATTTTCAGATGTTCAGCTTCCCTCTGATCTGATGGGTTGGATTCGTGGCTCGGTTGCGGGCGGTTTCGGATTTAGCCTCACTCTACACCCAGGGGTTCAAGCCACCAATCAAGGGTTACCTGATCTTTGGTGTTTGTTTTCTGTTCTAACTGTACTCTGTGTCGCTTTTTGTCAGCTTAACTGACCATTTTTCGTGGTTGCAATGGAATTCCTGCACCCGACCCCAGCTCCAGTCTCACTAGGGGACATTCAGAACCAATACTAAAGCAATACCAAACCGACACCAAAACAATACTAAACCAATTCGAAACCAGCGCAACTCCAAAATATCTTACTCAGCACCGATGTTTGAGCCCGGAACGGGTACCGGACTTGATTCGCACGGCCGCTGCGGAACTTGAAGGGCTGTATTGTTTACATCTAGGAATATATATATATATATATATACATATATAGAATTATACATATACATATAGAATTATATATATATATGTTTTTCTCTTTAGGAGTATGGGTGGGTGGGGGGGGGGGGCGGTATTTGACCCTGTCTTTGTTTAAGAATCGGAGCCCCTAAAATGGTGTCGTCGTTTATTTTGGTTTCTACCAAAACAGGACACACCCATTGATTCTTAGGCGGAAGGGATTGCCATTCAACGCCAGCCCTGTCGTGGGGAATCCTACCAATGGAAGCTCGCAACACCCATCGAGACTGGCCAAACAAGTCTTAAAGTCCTTAAGCTTTGCGCCGTACCAACATGGCAGCCCCAACAAGTGGCCCAAACAAGTCCGCAACTTGAGAAATCAGGAAGCAAGTGGCTCCCAGATTCCAGTTCATTAGGCAACCAACCAACAGTTGTCCTTTTCTTTAATAAACTTTTCCCAGTGACTCCCAGTCACCAGTATAGTAAGTAAGCAACAAATTTCCGCTGTTTTTTCGGGTGGTTCCCATGGGTACCTACTATACAGGTAAATGGAATCACTGGATAACCTTTTGGGGTCATGACCAAAAATGGTTGCACACCGGGAAAATCCAAAGCTCAGCTTTGGTGACGAGTGACTTGCAGGTGCGATAGGCAGGGAATGAGAAATGGAATGATCCTTTTCAACCATCCCTTGAAGGGAATCCTCTAAACCGGTTCATTCCCACATTCCCTACCTATGGCACCCGCAAGTCTCAGCGAAGGAAACGGGGGGAAACCAGCTGTCTTCGAAGCACGAGCGCGCCTGGCATCTGAGAGCCGCTCCCCAGCAGGCCTCTCATGCCTGGAGTTGCGGTTCCGCAAAAGAGAAGCGTTGCCTGTGGTTTGGTGGAGGTCGGCACAAGTCCCACTTGGGTGTTCCTTGCGGAATCGGCAAAAATGGTAGTTTATGTTTCTTGATTGATGTGTTTTTCGGGCACTTCCATGTTCATTACTGGGGTGTTCGATTCGCCAAGTTTGGGAGTGGCTAGCCCCGAAGAACAAGGTCAACCCCACGGAATCGGGAACTTATTTCAGCGGGTTATGACCGAACGGTTGCCGTTCCAAACTTCCTATAACAACTTGTCCTCCTTTTGGGAAAGGGACTCCATCTTTTTTGGTTCGATGTGATTTTGCAGGATAGTACTACGAAATGCGCTAAGTAATGACTAGTATCATTAGTCTAACATAGTTGTTCGATTTTGATCTGGAAAATGCCCGCCAATCCGAACCAGTGACCAGGGGCAAGGCGACTAACATAGGGGCAAATAATATAAACTTCACTTGGTAGAGTACCCTGTGGCCCCATTCTTTACGTAATGAATAGGCTAATTTCTAATCATTTAGGCCTTTTTAGAGTAGTTCATTATTAAAAAAAAAACAAAAAAAAAACAAAAAAAACAAAAAACTGGAGCCCTTCAGTAGATTAGGGCCAAACTTGACCGTTGCCCACGCCTGAGCGGCCAAAACGCCTGACAAAGGGTCTATCCCCAAAGGTCATACGTAGAAGGTGTTTGGCCCAGCTTTAGAAAGTATCGCTCCTGATTTCACCCCGAAAAAAGTAACACTTCCACCACAAGTCAGAACATCATCTGCTGTACGCAAGTTTAAAGAAACATGTTTGGCCCGGTTAGCGCATCATCTGAGCTGTGGGTCAAACATAGGTACCCCAAATTGAATCCTGGTAGATGGAAACAAGGGCTAGAAATTGACTAGAACCTGCGGTCCCCTGGTTGTTTAATTTTGACCCACCCATCTGAGCTGTGCTCCGTGTTTCTTTTCGGCCTCATCTTGAAGCCGTCTCTTCTGTTCAGCTCCATGGCTCGCTGGTAAAGCGGTGAATACCTCCTGCGTGCTCGGGGGGGGGGGCCAAAAATGGGACAACATGAGCCACAGAAATGGGTGGTCCTCGTGGCTTTTTTTTTTTTTTACCAAGGACAAAACAATGGCTATTTACTCAAACAAATAGAAACTCCTTTCAGGGAGCTTTACGGGAAAGCGCAACAAAGAGAGAGAGAGAGAGAGAGAGAGACTCAGAGAGAGAGAGAGAGAGGGAGAGCGACTGCAGAGAGAGAGAGAGAGAAAACAAGAAAAGAGAAAGCCAAAGAGAAAATGAGAGAGAGAAAATAGGAAACTGAACAAAGAAATACAGTGTGCAAGAGGAAAAGTGTAAAGCTCCTGGTGTGCATCTAACATAGCCCTTGTCAGTGAATTGCCCCATGTCAACCTCGAATGTTGCGGGGTGTTTCCCCCACATGGCGAAGATGCCCCTCTAGCATGGGACAACCGCAAATCAAAATCAAGCCAGGGTGTGACTCATCCTGGCAATAGTTCACACGTACCCAATGTGGTTGTGGCTCAAACTGGGTAACCAACAGGACACCTTAGTAGATCAAAACAAAGACTAAAACCGGCGTAACCCCAGCTGCTTAATTTTGAGCCAAACGCATGTAAGCCTAAGTCATGTCTAGTTTGAATCCACCGCTCCACTGGGCAGAACCTGAGACCACGACGGTCTCGGCAAGCCAAAGCACCAAACCCACGAAAAGTTCGAAGGAGTCTTGGTAAACACCCGATGGGTGGTAGCTTCAAAAAGAAACCCCAGTTTCTCACTGAGAGACTCATCTACTTACAAAGCAAAGAATTGGAACACGCAACTTGAACATTGGCAAACTGTGAGCCTCGTCACCAGAATTCCTCGAGTTGCAACCTTGGCAGGTTACTTGGGTGTTCAGCCAAGCAGGGGCTGCCAGGCGTATGCTTCCTCGGGGAACCCATTTTGGGGGGTCATGACCTAAATGACTCACCAGTTATCTTGGCTGAACACCCAAGTGGGTCTGTCTTCTTGAGGGTACCCTTTTTTTGGTAGCACAGGAAATGGGTCCGATTCCTAAAAGACGCACACCCAAGTGCTCATTGGAAAAGCAGCCCGCCCGTCCCAACATTTCACATCGGTTTTGGTGGGTTCGTGCGCAGCTCCTCATGTTCCGAAGCCACAACCAGGCCACCTTCTCTCCTGGGTCCAAATGGGGGTTGATCAATATTTCTGACCCCAAAACGACCATGGGCGACTTGGTGAAAGTAATTTGTGTTGTGGGCTTCCCTGACGGTCATCCCAAGCAGAGTGAAAGGCTCGAGCCTTCGGGGGGGCAGCTGTCGGGCACTGCCAAGCTAACTTTTGGAACCATCACTCGTGGGTGCGCCTTGCCTGCAAGACATGCTTGGAGTTGGGGTGCCGGAAGAGACACCACCAACAAAAACACAGCTGTTTCTTTCTCGTTTTTTTGGAGGGGGGGGTCCACCATCGTCACAAGCCAAACTTGCCCAAAACCGGAAAAAAAAAGGAAAAAAACGCTACAAGTCACACATGATTTTGCATAGGGCTTCAGTTCCACAGCAAGCTGAGCAGTGAGCGAACCCCGAGCCCCGACGCCTGCCGCGCAGATATCAGGTCTTGGGGGGGTTCGCTTCGCGGCCAAGGCGGCACAGCAGAAGGGAAACATATTAATATCCAGATCGGCTTCTGGCTTCTGGCTTCTGGCCCCCGACGTGTTTGGTTTGACGGTGTTTGGTGCACAGGTGAACTCGGTTGCTTTCTGCTCTGCTAAGAGTGACTCACTTTTAGTGGGTTTAATACGGAAAACTCATTAGTTGGTAAACAGTTAAAGCCCTAACATCCAAGCAATAGGCACCAAAGTGAAAGTGTTGCGGGCCAGGCTTGCTCGCTTACGTCTGCGACATCTGCAGCGCAGGCCGCCGGCATTTCACACAAATGACTGCGATTAGTGATGCAGGCGGCGCGAATCCATCCAAAGCATGACTCAGGGCAAAGCAACCTAACTACAAATTCCATTGCAGATTCCCGAAAAAAATAATCTAAGTGTATTCCCTGTGAGGCGTTCAACACCCTTGACATTGCATACCAGGCTTGACGCAGAAAGCATCGAGCCTACGCTCTCCTCCTATTCGGGGTGTACGGCCAAGTCCAAGGCTCTTGCAGAGGAATCCAGGCCCAATCTTTCAAAGACCCCATGTCCAACAACCGCTTTTCTCCACGTCCAAAATCCCAAGAGCAGTCCAACAAACAATTTATATATATTTGGGGGGGGGGGGGGGTGCAGGTGATGCATTCCTACTTCTTCCCTCTCTCATTGGTGCTTGCCCAATTGCCGGGCCCCAATTGCCTCTCTTCACCTCAGGCTCGAGCGCTCTCTTCTGGTTTTCGTCCACACCAGATCGAAGTTGTCCGGCCCGCAGTAGTTCTGCGTCACTGCCACTGTGTCCTTTAAATCAGCTTGGCCAGTAGTGGCCAACAACCGCCTTTTGGAAGATTCCTATTTGCAAAGCACTGCATTGTATGAGGCCTGAAGGAGTCAAACACCGAAGAAACACTCGATGTCTTGATTATTGAACTTCGGCTGAAAGAAATGGCAACCTTCTTGTGCGAAAGTATGCAAAGCCACGAGCACAACGGGACTCGGCATGAGAACTTGGAAAGCTGTCGTCATATGAGGTCCTGAATAAAGTACAACATGTGGTTAACCCTGAAGGGCATGCACTCCTCCCTGGCTTTTTTGGTTGACATTTCGAGCTCGCCCCCCAAGCTCGCCCCCCCACGTCCCTCCTCCATTGGGTATGCTACAAAGAACAACACACACAAACAATTGGACAAATTGGGTCATCTGTTTTAGGTGGGGATTCGTCTACCAAGAAAATGTGGTTCCTGATAACCACAAAAAACACCTAAACATGGGGACAAATGGGATGACTCTGTTTAGGTGGAGATTCATGTCAACCAAGAAAATACCCGTGGCTCCTGATTTTTCTTTTTCCCTTCTACAGCCTCGAGAAATCGGGAGACGACTGAACCCACAGTCCTCCAGGTTGAGCACTCCGTGCCACCACTCGCCCGGCACAAAAATCACCTCGCGGGGGAGTTCCCAGATCTACCACACCTCAGACTTATTATTTGGCTGTGGCTCAAAAAACCGGTAGCAAAATGGAATCCTGGTAAGTGGAAACATGGACCAAAACCCGCGTAACCCCTCCTGGTTAATTTTGAGCCACACCCATTTCCTACCCTGACTTCCTGAGTCCTAGGGTGTGATTCCAGGGCTCCATGTCAACCGGAGAAACTCACAACATTCTAGGGGTGGATTCCAATTCCATTCTTTGAAACATCGTTCTTTTCGAAAGCCGATCGCTGTTCTTGCCTGGGTTTAGTGAGAACTGTTGGAAAGAAGGATCCCTGGAAAGAATGGGGAAGGTCCCCCTAGATGAGTGGATTAGTTTTAAAACATACAAACTATCTATCTACCACTAAAATGGTCTTCCCGAAAAGTGCAAAGTCCAGGAACTCAGGAAATGAGTACCCGGCAATTTCAAACTTTAAATAGCTGAACTTTTTTGGTTTAGTGGCTACCAAAACAACAGTTTGAATGGAGAACTGGCTATGCCAAATTAGATGGAACCACCTAAGACATAAGTCGTATTTGTTGGGTCCCCGAGCAAAACACATACCCGCTGGGGCAAAAAACAATCATGAACCACCGAATCATGATGTCCAGCAAAATGCCTATCTCAAAACTAGGGACCTCTCCAGGTGGCTGGCTTCCTGTTGGCTTCCCTTTAATGTCCAGGGGTGCTTTGTACAAAAGGGGTATATACTCCTTATAAAGCGGGTTGTAAACCAGGGAAGCCAAGAGGCATTAGCAAGGGGTATGTCCTGCCACCTTTTGGTAACGGCATCCAAAACGGGCGCCCCTAACTTGAGAAGGACAGATCCAGCAGCTCTTGCCGAGGGGCGTCCCCGGGCTTCTGCAAGCCCTCGTAAATCTTCAGGTCGGGATAGGCCCGCTTGATCTGGCGCCATCCGACGCGAATGGCTCGAAAGCCCTGAGCGAATGGAACACACTGCCAAGCCTGGGCCCCTCGAAAGGCGGAAATGGCTCAAAGCCCGGGCTGAAGTTGAAAACATATGAGGCCCTGGGCCCCTCAAAAGGTGGAAAGGGCGTAAAACGCAAAGAAGGCCAGCCAGCCGTTTCAACGATGGTGTGAGGGCAAGTTGGCCCAACGGCCCGGCCGTTGGGAATTCTCATTCGGGCAAACCAGAGTCCCCGACCCGCGGAAGGATGAAGTCGAAGTACATGATGGCCTCAGCGAGCCGTGGAATCCCGTCGAAAACAAACCCGGACCCCCAACAGCAACCTGTCGCTGAGTCGGTGTCCATTTTTTGGGGACAGGTGTGTCGGGCCCCAAACCCCAGGGTGTGGCTTCTTCTTCTTTTTGCCCCGGGTGCCCCAAATTGGAAATTGGGTTGGCACCCTTAAGGTCAATGCGAGGGGCACAAAGCAACTTCCCTTGACCTGGTGAGCGTTGGGGATGGGTTTTCAATTACCAACCTGTTTTTTGGCCCAGAGGCAAAATTGCTTAGCTTATGCGCCCCAGAGGTTTGCTTCCGGATCTGACCGAAACCAGTTTCGACCTTTGATCCATATAGTTGGCTCGTTCTTTTGTCAGCTAACCCCCCACATAGCGCAAGGGTCTCTTCCTGTTGGTTTCCCTTCTCTTGCACACGCGAGGCGAGCGCCTCATCATCCTCTCCGCTTTTCAATAAATCCTTTCCTGGCTCCGGACTCACAGCCGAAACCATGGTATGCCACAGTCAAAAAAAGGGGTGTCTCCGGTATGTTGGGTCCACCCAACATGGCGGTCCGAAAAGGGCACCCTCGCGAAAAGACACACATATTGGTTGAAAAGCTATGGGTCTTCATGGGCTTGCGGGAAACTGAGTGAGTCTGGATATGTTGACCGTTTCTCCAGGGCCCAGCCTACCCTTGCCTCCTTCTCCTTCGACTCAAATGATCGTGTGCCAAACGACCCAAGGGTTCTCTGCCGCGCAGTCATAGATGGCTTCGTGTGCCACTTTCCCTTTCGAAGCCAAACACCAACACCTGAACCAATTTGGAGACATTCCCGCAAGCTTCCTCTTGGTTGGCTATGAGGACGTGCCAAAAAGGAACCAACCATTGATGATTCCCAGTGAGTGGCCAAACAAATCCAAGCCTTCTCCACTAAAATGATCTTTCTAAATGAATCTGTATAAGTCCACATGCTGAACTGATTTTCCCAGCATGTGTTGTCATTTTGGGAGGCGGTCCGGGGGTTCAGAGGAAGACCTACAGGAATCCACCCACGGCTTCGGTTTGCCGCAACCCCGCACAAAGCAATCTAGCCAGAAAAAAGGATCGAGTCCAATTGCCGGCACATGGTCCAAACGCCCCTCGAAAGTGAGAAAACAAATGTCCAAGACCAACAGGTGCCCACAAAATGGGCCAAGCCTCATTTTTTAAGTGAAAGGTGAAAGGAATGAAAACAGATGTCCACAGCAGCGAAAAGTGACCACAACAAGTTGCTCCACCACCACACACACACACACACCCCTCAAAAACAAAAAAATACTATATTAAGAGGTCCTACAACCAGAACATAGGGTCCAAACCACAAACCCGAGGTTGACCCACCATCGCCGAGGCTTTAACCGCACCAAAAGCTTAACCGCCGCTCCTTTCACGCGCTTCTTGGTCTCGTGGGGCTCGAAGAGCACCTCCGAGCAAGCCGAAGGCTTGGGGTCGTTAGCCAAGGGGAAAGCGTTGGGAGGTCGATCCCTCCAAAAGTGATACACCCCCAAGTAAAAGGGGACTCGCCCCCCCAATTCATCAACCAGGGGAAAACCTGTCCCAAAGGTTCCAACTGGCTTGTTGAGGGAAAAATCCTGGTTTATCCGGCAAAGGGTGCTCTTTTGTAGGTGGGTGAAATGGGGCTGTGGGGCGAAATGGATTTCGCCCATCCACAGTATGGTAGCAAAAGATAAACGGTCTTTGGTCGCCAGCTGATTCAAGATGAATAGAACAAAAGAAAACTACAAACCTAAAAAAAAGCCAAAAAACTGTCAAGAAGCCCGAAACCCAAGGGGTCTAGAGCTAAAGCCGCCCAACACCGGGGGTGTCCAACTTCAAAACCACACGCACGCTGGCCCCGTCTCCGTCTCTTCGTTTTCGGGTCCCCGGCCCAGCGCTTGACGCCGTGCGTCACAGCATTCCAGGCGGCCGTGCCCAGGGGATCCGTGTGCACCTGAGCACGGCGCCAGAGGCGGTGGCGGCTCTGACGGGTTCCACTGGGTCTCACTCCAGTGGATCGGCCAAAAACAGCAACCAAACCTCGGTGGCAAAATCTGCTCCCCTGCGAAATGTGACTCACTTTTAGTTGCTGGAAAACCCATGAGTTGGCAACAGGTTGACGTCCTAACATCCAAGCAACATGCGCCAAAGAAACATTTTGCGAACCACTAAGAAGCCCGGTTGGTGATATGGTCTCCACCCGACTTAGTGCGGATTGGCCAATAAAAAGTAGTCAAACTTGGGGTGAACCAAAATGGCCCGAACCCAAAAAGTGACTACAGTCCAACTTGGGGAGTGAGTGGTTGCGGCGAAGTTTCTTTGGGGGTACCATTTGTTAGGTGGTTGAGGGAAATCACGAGGAAACCGCCAAGTTGCCTTGTTCTTGCGGAGGCACTATGTTGACACGGGTTTTGAAGATTGGGTTTTGCCCACATCAACTTGGTAAGGAGGACACTTGCTTTACATTGCAAAAGGGTTGAACAACACAAGTGACTTCAAACCCGGACAACAACTTCCGATCGCATGCATTGCCCCAAGAAAAGTCGCCACTAATGTTTCATCCAAACCCAGAAAGTGGCTCAACTTGCTGGAGCTCAGTAGGGAATGTGGGAATGAGCCCAGGGGTCGTCTTGAAGGAAACCACCAGTTGGATGGTTTATAAGAGTTCCATGGTCTCATTCCCAGCCTATCGCACCGATCGCAAGTCAGGTCCGAAACGGACCAAAGCGCCTCAGGGCCCCCGCGGTGGTCCCTGACCGCTTGGGCCCGATGCAAAACCAGCGGAAGGGAGGCCTCAGGTTTGCCGCGAAAATTGATTTGGCGCATCGCATGGTTCGGCAAATGTGCCATTTTTCTTCTGGTGCCCTCCCAAACATGGAACCTGCATAGGGTTTTTTCTTAAAAGGACAATGGTCTTCCAGAAACCCTGGAGCAGGTCCTATGTTTGTTTTCGGGAGGGGTGGTGTTACAAAGAAACCAACAACTGAAAACCACTCATTTGTTGGATCCCCCCCCACAATTTTGAGGCACACCCATTTGGTCGTCCTTTCTGGGCAAACAAAGCTTTTTGGGTGATGTTGGGAAACAATAAAATGTTTGGTTCCTCACAGAAATGAGAGGGCTGTGAACTGAACTGCGGATGTTCAAACTAGGACACAGCCATGAATGCGCGCTCCTGCCAACGGAATCTGGCCATTTCTCTCGCAAAGAACCACCGCTCAAGCCACTTGCGTCATGGTCAAAACTCCAAATCCGTTGGTTGCCCTGTTAGGAACCTTTACATTGGTTGTCTAAAAGCCGCTAAAGATGCTGGTAACAACGTAAAGTGGGTCAGGATTTCGTCTTTGAATAGGTAGACATGAACCAGCGGTTGACTTCCCAAGAGGACTTGGGTTGTCACCAAAATGAAACCCAAGGCGTCCTTTGACCAGGGCATGGATGGTTGCAAGGACATGCCTATCTTGCACAAAGACCCCAGCGCAGAAAAAGAAACGACACGTCAGCCTCATTCAGTTACCCCATATTCAGTCTATGCCACTCCTGATCTGCAGTCTTTCCCATATTTTTCTCCTTTACACCATCTTCGGGAATGGTGCAGGGGTCTGGTGGAAACCTGCAGGGCCCTAACATTCAATGGGCGTGGCTTAGCTCGAAAGACATGGCACTCGTACGCACTTCCGGCATTGACATTTCGAACAAAAACATGGGTTGCACGGTGTTTTACTGTACATAAACTAACATTGAAAGAAAGCAACATGGCAGCCCGCTTTCTCCCTTGTTCCTTTGTGTGCCCCCGCCTGGAGTCCTGGTTCACCAGAGAGAACCAGTCATGTGGAAAAAGGTCTGGCACCTGCGTTGCAATCAAAACCTGGTCTGACCAATGCTGCCAGGGTGATGCTGTGAGCAATCAAACCACCAGTTCTGAAAATGATCTACCCAAGACCATGTGAAGAATCTAAAGGAAGGATATGGAAACCTGTTTATGGATGGGACTGTCCTTACTAGCCTTTATTTACCTGGGTTCTGATTGTGGCTCGCCTGCTCTCTCTCTCCCTCTCTCTCTCTCTCTCTCTCTACACCACCTCTCCAATTTAGGTCCGGCAGGTCCGGAAAAAGCCATGCCCGCGACAAGCCCGACCAAGTTGAACGATCCTTTTTTCGGGCGGGGGCCAATGATTTGAACATGGGGACACCAAATGGGGCTTTGTGCGGGCCCATTTGCCGAAAGATACTCCGTAGTGTATTGCGAGGTTTTGCTGCCTCCCCAAGATCATGAGCAATCAAATAGAGGCCTTTTGCTCAAATGACCCCAGGGCTGACTTGGGGGGGTGGATGTTAAGGCAGTGCCAACCGCTCACAAGTCTGTCCCAAAATGGAGGACCCCCTCCCTCCTTCTTGTTGGGCTTTCAGCCAGTTTTAGTGAGCATTTCGCAAAGGGATCCCTTTCGGTGGCTGAAGTCTTTACCCAAAACACCATCCAGAAAGCGCAGATTTTTTTGACAAACACCCTGCCCTATGTTAGGACAACCCAAGCAAGTGTGCGCCTCGTAGTCATCCATGAGGGGCCTGCACGCCAGCGTGGGGATCTTGCAGTACGCGAGCGCAAGATCGCGCGGAGCGCGCGCGGAAAGCGCGCGTTGCCGAGCCTGATGTTGGCATTGTCGTCCATGTCCGTTTCGAACAAGTACAAAGGGTTGTCGTCCTGCGATGTCACCCTCGGCCCACAGGATCGCCATATACCAAATTGTAAAAAGATAAAAGAGCCGCAAGGGCTGGCCCTGTTGAGTGAGTGGCTTAGTTTAGACTGCAGGTCACTCAATGCTCTTCCCCTCCCTCGCGCTATCTCTCTCTCTCTCTCTCTCAATGAACGGAGCGGAGGGCCTTCTGATTTCGAATGTAGTCCGCAAAATACTTGAACCTCGGCAGTGGATCACCGAACAATGGACTGGATTTGCCTTCTGACAGCTTTTCTTCGAGCGCAAGGTGGGACCCAAAGCAAAAAGAGCTCTGCCACGCTGCATGCAACTTGTTCAAGAGGGATCAAAGGCAGCCCTGCGTGAGACGCCGCATCAACCCGGCCGGCTGGTTCAATTATTGCACAGTGTCACAAATCCGACCAAAACTCTGTTGACCCCACCCCTCTGCAAAAAGTTTAACTGTTTTGTGGGCTCCATGGAAAACCCTTGATTTCAACCCAAAAGTTAGAGTCTAAAGATCCAACCCAATAATTGTAGCAATCAAGACAAAAGGAAGGCATAGTTCAAAGCATGAGCTACAGGAGCTCTCTAGCTCTCTTGGCTCCCGGCTTCATTCGAAGCTTCTTGCCGTTGTCATCTTTGGCCACCTAACCGCAGCTTCGCGTCCGCAAAAAGCTCGGCGGTCCCTGTAGAGCCCGTTGGCAACCGTATATCCCGCCAAATTGCCACATTGACCCTCCATACTCTATGCCCAACCAAACCGGGAAGGAACATGTAGACCGAATTGCGGTTCCCAAAACGAAAGGGGTGGGCCCCGATAACAGTCATGACACTGGGCCAACGGAACCCACCAGTTGACCCAAGCTCTGAAAGGTCCCCAGCCAGATCCAGACATGCGGCCGGAAAAAACGGTGGGTGTCCTTTCTAGCCTTTTGTGGGACCCCTTTCATGGCGGCGTTCCTTTTGGCTTCCCTTACAAAGCCCGCCAAAAAAAAGGGCGACCACACAGAGCACAGGCTTTTCCACTTCCGCCAATCCTTTCCTCAGGGGGAATGGGTTCCACTGAAAATACACAAAAGGGCTCCCTCGGCTTCCTTAAACAATCACTTAACGGAAACTCATGGTACATGGGCAATCAAAAGGTTATGTTTACATCACCCAAAGGAAACACAAGGAACCGTGTGGCCCCCTGGACCCCAAGACTCGCTTCCTGAATGGATTGGCAAAAACAAAGCACAACTGATGTTGTTTGCCACCAACATGGTCGAAACGCAAAAAGTATAGAGTCCAAACCTTCCATTTGATTAAGGCCCCAGGAAAAAAACTAAAACAAATTCCAGTGGTGATGAATTCCTTTTAAGACAAGGGAAAATAAACCATACTCCTAAGCAAATGAAGGAAACACACCGATTTCCCGCCTTGAACGGCACATGTCGGAACCTCTCGTCCAAGGCATCCTGGGCTGTATGGGAATCGATCTGAGGTCGGCCATTTTGTGACGTTGGGATGCGGCTTTTGTGGATCCACCCCTGTAGGATTCTGAAAAGAGTACCAAAAGAGTACGGTACTAAAAAAGAAACCGACAGGGGGAAGAACTGGTGAACGCCATGAAACGCGCGAATCCAAGCCGGTGTCTAGATTGGAGGTGTGGAGCTTGGAGCCACAGCCCTGCCTAAGCCTGGAGTTGCCCTGTGCCCTGCGCACCAGGCTCTGAATCTTGAACTCTTTGACTAGGGGTTGTCTCAAACCAGACACGGCCCTTGACGCGGCCCTGACTCCTACCCTCCAACAATCAAAGCTGAGTGTTGGAAGACCACTTTCCTTTCGGGGAAGCCCCAGATCGTCCACTTCCATGGTCGATGGCAAGAGGAACAACACAACAAAGAGCATTGTGTCATGTTGATAAGGCTCGTACATGTGCAGGTGTGCCTCTAACATGTCCTAATAATAATTTGGTAATTGTACCCGTCGTGCCATCCCCCTTGCTAAATGACGACACATATCTTCCGCTTCCCTCAATTTTCTCCCTGACAGATTTGTCCTTTTGGTCTGGCAGGAATCTTTAAGAAGCCCTGTAAGGAAGATGACACTTTTGGAGCCCTTGCGGCCAGAATTTCGAGCCAAGTATCAATGTGGCCATGAACATTGGGTCACTCTCATGACGCTTCCTACGCTTCGGGTCAGTATCCCTTACCCTGCCTTCCACTAACACAGGGTACCCTCCCGCCTGGTGGCAGGTGCTACCTTTAAGGGTTCATGGCGTGTCCCGGGGCCTCCCTTGGCTTTCAGGAGCCGATGTCAACCGCCGGGAACGAACATCCGCATGGATCGGCGCTTATGGACAAAATCTTGGGGCAAACCACCGGCGCCTGGCGCGGTCCCCAAGGTTTTGGGGGACACGGCGCCTCCACACGTCGTGAAAAATGACGGCCCCGGTGAAAAATGGACACCCACAAGAGGGTGAAAAGGCGCTGGAACCCAACCTGTATTGAATCAACTGTGGGCGTTCCTTCAGCGGGTCCAGTTTGCAGCAAGTCCCAACCTTGCTTACACCAGGACGCGTTTGACCTTGTCTTGTTCCGCCCTCCCTGCAGCCAAGACATCTCACTGTTCTTGACACATGGCATTGTTTCTCTGGGGGGAGGGGGGCGCGGAAGGAAGAACGAAGCATCACGGCCCTTCCGCTCGTTTTAGTCCCTGGGGTCTCCGGCAATCGACCAGCGATCCATCGCCGGCCAGTGAGAGCAGCAGTCCTGAAGACTTGGTGTGGGTCCCAAATCTCACTTAGGGAGGGGATCGGGCCATTTGCTTCTTCGCCCCCTGGAAAAAATGAAAAAAAATCGTTTCAGACTACGTACCACGCGGTGATTCGAAGACGCTTCACTAAATCTGTTCATTGCGCGGGCTTGCGCAACTCAGTGAGCCAAAAACATTGGGGTGTTCGATTCCCCCTCGGGTGCGCTTTCGCATCCTTAGCAGCTCCAGCGGCACATCGCCAGCATCACATGCATCATCCGCATCAGCGCCTGCCAAGGATGCGGATGATGCAAGTGATGCTGGGGATGTTGCCCGTGCTGGTGAAGGAAATGAAGGGGGGAAAGGGGGAAAGGATCTCAACAGCGAAAGGGGGGGAAAGATCTCAGGGAGGAAAGGGAGAAGATCTGGGGAAAAAATGCCTTAAGGGGGAAAGGGGGGAAAAGATCTTTGGGAGGAAAAGAGAAATCTTTCTCGGGGGGAACAGGCCCTAAGGGGCAATGGGGGGACAGGATCTCAAACGGGAAAGGGGGAAAAAGACTTTGGGAAGAGAAGGGTGGAGATCTTGGAACGAAAGGCCTTAGGGGGGAAACGGGGGAAAGGATCTTAAGCGGGAAAGGGGGAAAAGATCTTAGGGAGGCAAAGCGAGACGAACTCAGGGAAAAGGACTTAGGGAGGAAAGGGGGGGAAAGATCTTTGGGAGGAAAAGGGAGAAGAACTGAGGGTGGGAAAAGGCCTTAGAAGGAAAAGGGGGGAAATAAAGGATCTGAACAGGGAACTGGGGG